TGTATGTATGTATGCGTGTGTGTGTGTGTGTCTGTATGTCTGTCTGTATGTGTGTATGTATGTATGTATGTATGTATGTATGTATGTATGTATGTATAAATGTATGTATGTATGTATGTATGTATGTATGTATGTATGTATGTATGTATGTATGTATGTATGTATGTATGTATGTATGTATGTATGTATGTATGTATGTATGTATGTATGTATGTATGTATGTATGTATGTATGTATGTATGTATGTATGTATGTATGTATGTATGTATGTATGTATGTATGTATGTATGTATGTATGTATGTATGTATGTATGTATGTATGTATGTATGTATGTATGTATGTGTGTGTGTGTGTGTGTGTGTATATATGTATGTATGTATGTATGTATGTATGTATGTATGTATGTATGTATGTATGTATGTATGTATGTATGTATGTATGTATGTATGTATGTATGTATGTATGTATGTATGTATGTATGTATGTATGTATGTATGTATGTATGTATGTATGTATGTACGTATGTACGTGAAAACGACTCACGACAACATAAACTCCAACAAATATTCTTCTTCTTCTTCTTCGTGTTCACCAGCTGTAAACTCCGGTGGCAAGTTCTGGTTGTTCGTCCACTTCTGGAATGCAGTCCTGTTCCAGAACCCGAGTGTTGCGTGTGCATCCGTTTTACAGATCTGACTCATTTGTATGCAGACTGCTGGTTCCTTGCCTCTCAGGCAGATGCATTTCGACTTTGAAGGAAGCTCCCATTTAGTCGACTTTTACGACATGCTTTTGGGTAGGCAGTGGGTTTATTCTTGTTTACCCTATAACAGGGCCCCAGAGCCCACACTGGGACAACAAACATTATAAACCCAGAGCAGACGGCAAATCAAGTCATATCATAACACGTCCGCAACATCAGAGAGGTCCTTAGACCTTACGAGCCATGCATGGCAAGTTCTGGGCCCGACTTTGTGAGTTGTAATAATTTTTCTATTGCTATTGACCAGAACGTTGACATCATTAGAATAGCACCGGTTGCTGTTTTCTTTGGGGCTTATGGTAGTGAATTTAATATTTGTAAAGAACTGATTGAATTGACTCCTGTGAGGGTACCATCGGGACGGACAGGACACACTTAAAATCGTGACTATCCAAGTGAAAACCGGACGTATGGTTTCTCTAGCTCATTTTCATATGTGCAAAGAGCTGAAAAATACTGCCAGTACTGAATCCTTACTTAGCATTGCTAGGTATGACAGTTACATGCAATTGTCAAAATACTTTCCGGAAAGATTTCGTGATTTCTCATCTTTTGAACACCACTAGCTAGTATTCTCAGTACCAAACTCCTTTCGTGCTGCAAAGGAAGGCAGAAGAACGCGTCTTAATGGAACTATCAGAAATACAGTCGGATTATACACCTAAAGCAAAGTATATCGAACTGATGACTTCTTCTTTCTTCTTTTGTCAAAATCTGCTTGTGCCGCTAGGCGTCGCAGTCTATCCGATGATCGGCAACCGAGCCAGGTCGCGCTCAGTTGCTTCATATGCCGTGATGTTATGAAGTCTCAAGTTGTCCGTGACTCCTTCAATCCATCTTCTTCTTGGTCTTCCCCTGCCTCTTGGTGTTTCGATTTTCATGTTGTATGCTCTTGATGCTGGCATCGTTGGTTCCATTCTAATTAGGTGACCAAACCATTTCATTCTTTGCTTCTCAATAAATTTAGCGATGGGTATGGTTCCAATAGTTCTTGTAATCACATCGTTTCTCACTTGATCTCTTCTGGTTTTATTCGCAGCCATTCTCAAACATCTCATTTCACAGGTGGTTAGTGAATTTAAGTGGATTTAAGAGTTCACAAAAATCTGCTCCAGAAACAATATATGAGATTAGAACTGATGACATCTGGTTTATTTTTATAACTTCCTAAAGGAAAAAAAAAACCATAACAAGTTTTAAGATGAGGCTAGGCACCCTCCCCCCCCCCCCCTTTTTTTTCCTTTTTAAAAAAATGTTTTTTACTTCTCCAATGTTTTTGTCATGTTGGCGGGTCCGATGGGGCGGAACGCGTTCACGTTGTAGTCCCAAACGGGAGAATACAGGGTCGGGATGGGGAGGACACAATGCCTGTTTTACAATGGCAACCTAGTATCTGAGCATCACTGGACCAAGAAACCAAGAAATAAACACAAGAAGATGTTAATAACAGGCCAGCACAAAAGAACAGCAACAATGAGCAAGCACATTAACAAAAAGAGTTTGGGAGCCAAAACAACAATGCCAGCGGACTATACATTTTAGCAAAAAAAAAAGAGTTACCCGCTCTTGTCAACAACAAACATGGCGGAGGAAGGCGGAGCGGATGCACAGAGTGGGTCTTCAGGGGACAAGCTCAGTGCGCTGTCGTTTGATATTGATGAGGTATTTTGCTAATCGGTGACTAAATTTGCACATACTTATGACGTCCAGCGAAATTTTTAGTTTGTTAAATTATTTCGGTTTTATGATAATCAGCTGTTTCTCAATTAATGTTGAATTAAGAATGATACTGACTGCACTTGGTGTCTTCCCATAAGTGCTTGGTACCCATCTTCAGCAGCAAACGCAGAGTTCCAACATTGACATTACCAGTAAGTTACTGAATATTAGTCTGGATGTATATCCGTCTGGCCTTACTTTTGAGCATTTTGTGTAATTGGGGGTTTCCTTCAAATTCGGGAACACTCAAGGGAAAGGCGAGACGGATATACAATCAGACAGGGCGTTACTGGTGCCATCGGAATTAAACTTTTTGTTTGCTGCTGAAGATGTGGACTGAGCGCTTATGGGAGTGTCCTGAGTGCTAGGATGTTGATTCTTAATTCACCATTCTTCAAAGTCCGGATGCATCCGCCTGAGAGGCAAGGAACCAACAGTCGGCATACCAATAAGCCAAATCTGTAAAATGGATGTGCACGCAACACAGGTTCTGGAACAAGTCTAAAGTCCAGAGGTGGACGAACAACCAGAACTTTCTGCCAAAGTTTACAGCCGGTGAACAGTAAGACAAGAAGAAAGCAAATTATTAACTCTTTGAGTCCCAGGGGGTTAAGCATCACAGGCCGAGGGGGTAGTAAGTAAAGTAACAAAATTGGCGCATCATGCGTTCATTGGGCTTCTAGGTAGGAACCTATGAACGTATTATGCGTTCCTTGAGACTCAAAGAGTTAATACAGTAATATACCAAATCCAGCAGAGTATATGGGTCTCTCACTATACACCCACCTCTGGACACATAGAGAAGATCGAAGGCATAGGGGGTGGTGGGGTAATTTGTAATTTAAATATGCCATGAGGATCCTGATGTTTACATCTATGTTGGGATAGGCAGTATTTTCTTTTGGCTCTAGAAGGTTTAACATAAGAGCACCAGTGGTACTCTTGGAGGAGTGGATGTGTTGTGAATCTCAGAAGTGTGACATGTCAGTCCCAGATGGATGCTATGTTGGATCGCCATCGGGATTTAAACACATGACCAAGTGCGCTAGCCACTCTACTCCAACAATCTATGTTTCAGGAAGTAAACATAACAGAGAAATTAGTTGCATAAAATTTGGAATAAGTAAAAGTTTCATAATATGCCAAATTTAGTAGAGTTTAGAAGTGACTGTAGAACTTGCAACACTCTCATAACCACTCTGTCCCCATCTTCAGCAAACAGTGCAGAGTTCCATTTAGGATAGTACCACCAGTATTTATAAGTTCATCTTGCCTTTTCCGTAGTGTTAAGTGTCAGCCAGATACCCTAGTCACTGCCTGCTGTACCATTTTCTGAGGCCATAACCATCAGAGTTAATGATTGTAATGAGTTATCTGATTGAAAAGGAGACAAAGTTTGGTACTTTATTAATATCCTACCCCAAACAGGGGAAATCCACAGGTCACGGGACAAATATTTCAGGGGGTGGTAGATAGGCTGCATGCAGTCATGTGACCTTGGCTGCACTCTCTTGTGGGACGAAGGTGTGTTGGGGTTAGTGCCAGTTCTAGATGCTTTTTGGTCGTAAAAACATCAGAAAGCTGGGAAACCCGGTCTTACCATCCTCTAAAATGCATGTTGTAAACGTCAACAAAGTAGAGTGTTTCATTCGAAGTTGGAGTGCATTTACCTCAGAGGTGAGGAATCAACAGTCTTCATACAAATAAGCCAAGTCTGTAAAATGAATGTACACTCAAAACTCGAGTTCTGGAACAAGCCAAAAGTCATGTATTTATCGCTGTATATGGTTGAATTTGCCTTGAATTTACTGTTTTATTTGACTTTTCAACACCAGCTTGATGACTCTGAATTTGACATTCCAAAAGTTGACAACGTTCCAACCTTGGAGAGCATCCTGAATGAGGTAAAAGTCAATAGTCTTGATTTCTCTTAAAAACATATTCCATGAATGAAGCATAAATGAGATATTTTTACACAAATTTGAAATGAACAATTTGTGAAATATTAAAGCACACTTGAAGAATTCAAATCCAGACAATAAACTTCATTGAACTGAATTTGATCCATTACAGCTTATTCTCTCTGTGCAGAATGACTAGCCTTATGCCGATAGCGTCGCACAAAGCACAAACTCATTATTTCGGCAATTATCCCCAGGGATCTTTATCAAAATTGTTACACTCATGAATCAGAAGAAGCAGCTGTGAAATGAACCCATGACTTATAGAGCACGAGGCAAATAGCTTGACCACTTTGCCACAGAGACACCCACATTTTAAGAGTTAAAAACAAAAAAAGTGTAAGTGTAAATGTAAATAAAATTGTACACTCTTATCAACCAACTGTCAGCGTAAGAAAGATGTTGGTTTGTTGTAATAAGTACAATCGAAGAGCTAAAGCTGTTTTTTTTAAAAAGTCTTCAAGAAAACTCACACGCAATCAAGCAACAAGTTCCAGAAAATGACTTATAATTTAGTAAAAACCTGTGTTGTTCACCACATCACCCATACTGTGCTGGTTTGTTTTAAAAAACAAATAATCTAAGTCTACTATCATGAGCCTGGTGGGCCTTTGCGCAACAAAGATCCTTTAAAAAAAATGTACCCTTTTCCACACATATAGACTAATAGGGTTAGACTTATATTTTTATAGCCCAGTCGGCGATTGGTGGGTGATGTGTTGTTAGCCACCTTTACGTCCCAGGACTTTACCTTGTACCCATTTAAGGCAGGGTCAACCTGGGAGCCAAGGTCATTTTTTGGAGAGAACAAAATTCCAGCTCCGCAGGATCTGAACCCCCAAAAAGATCCTTTACTTTCACTTTAATTTAGCAAAATTAAAGTTTAAGATCATTTTCCCGCTCATTTAACTCTTTGAGTCTCAAGGAACGCTTCATAGGTTCCTACCTAGCGGCCCAATAAACGCAAGATGCGCCGATTTTACATCTTTTTGACTACCCCTTGGGCCTCTGATGTTAAACCCCCTGGGACTCAAAGAGTTAAGTAAAGTATGCATATTCTGATAGTCCTGAATTTTTATTTTTATCAGTTAGCTCTTTGTGTGGGATGTGATCCGTATCTTACCAAACAACTTTCATATCCATGACATACCCTAGTGAAAAATTGCCTTTTCTTCCATACATGCCCATACCTGTTTTAGGCTGGGTCAGTCTGAATGCATGTTTGCCTTCTGGCCCAAAGGTCTTTGGTTTGATTTCGCATTGGGTCTGATTGTTTTTTTTAAATGAACCTAGCTCCCAGATTGGCCCAGTCTGAGGTGGGTAGCAGGTAAAGTCCTGTAAAGATGTGTGGTGTGATGTTGACCACATCAATCATCAAGTGCTGATTGGTCTGTTAAAAATATGAGTAGCATTATATGCCAACATATGAGTAGCATTATATGCCAACATATGAGTAGCATTATATGCCAACATATGAGTAGCATTATATGCCAACATATGAGTAGCATTATATGCCAACAAATGAGTAGCATTATATGCCAACATATGAGTAGCATTATATGCCAACATATGAGTAGCATTATATGCCAACATATGAGTAGCATTATATGCCAACATATGAGTAGCATTATATGCCAACATATGAGTAGCATTATATGCCAACATATGAGTAGCATTATATGCCAACATATGAGTAGCATTATATGCCAACATATGAGTAGCATTATATGCCAACATATGAGTAGCATTATATGCCAACAAATGAGTAGCATTATATGCCAACATATGAGTAGCATTATATGCCAACATATGAGTAGCATTATGTGCCAACAAATGAGTAGCATTATATGCCAACATATGAGTAGCATTATATGCCAACAAATGAGTAGCATTATATGCCAACATATGAGTAGCATTATATGCCAACATATGAGTAGCATTATATGTCAACAAATGAGTAGCATTATATGCCAACATATGAGTAGCATTATATGTCAACAAATGAGTAGCATTATATGCCAACATATGAGTAGCATTATATGTCAACAAATGAGTAGCATTATATGCCAACATATAAGTAGCATTATATGCCAACAAATGAGTAGCATTATATGCCAACAAATGAGTAGCATTATATGCCAACATATAAGTAGCATTATATGCCAACAAATGAGTAGCATTATATGCCAACAAATTAGTAGCATTATATGCCAACATATGAGTAGCATTATATGCCAACAAATGAGTAGCATTATATGCCAACATATGAGTAGCATTATATGCCAACATATGAGTAGCATTATATGCCAACATATGAGTAGCATTATATGCCAACATATGAGTAGCATTATATGCCAACATATGAGTAGCATTATATGCCAACATATGAGTAGCATTATATGCCAACATATGAGTAGCATTATATGCCAACAAATGAGTAGCATTATATGCCAACATATGAGTAGCATTATATGCCAACATATGAGTAGCATTATATGCCAACAAATGAGTAGCATTATATGCCAACATATGAGTAGCATTATATGCCAACATATGAGTAGCATTATATGCCAACAAATGAGTAGCATTATATGCCAACATATGAGTAGCATTATATGCCAACAAATGAGTAGCATTATATGCCAACATATGAGTAGCATTATATGCCAACATATGAGTAGCATTATATGTCAACAAATGAGTAGCATTATATGCCAACATATGAGTAGCATTATATGTCAACAAATGAGTAGCATTATATGCCAACATATGAGTAGCATTATATGTCAACAAATGAGTAGCATTATATGCCAACATATAAGTAGCATTATATGCCAACAAATGAGTAGCATTATATGCCAACAAATGAGTAGCATTATATGCCAACATATAAGTAGCATTATATGCCAACAAATGAGTAGCATTATATGCCAACAAATGAGTAGCATTATATGCCAACATATGAGTAGCATTATATGCCAACAAATGAGTAGCATTATATGCCAACATATGAGTAGCATTATATGCCAACATATGAGTAGCATTATATGCCAACATATGAGTAGAATTATATGCCAACATATGAGTAGCATTATATGCCAACATATGAGTAGCATTATATGCCAACATATGAGTAGCATTATATGCCAACATATGAGTAGCATTATATGCCAACATATGGGTAGCATTATATGCCATCATATGAGTAGCATTATATGCCAACATATGGGTAGCATTATATGCCAACATATGAGTAGCATTATATGCCAACAAATGAGTAGCATTATATGCCAACATATGGGTAGCATTATATGCCAACATATGAGTAGCATTATATGCCAACATATGAGTAGCATTATATGCCAACATATGAGTAGCATTATATGCCAACATATGAGTTGATTTATATGCCAAAATATGAGTAGCATTATATGCCAAATGCACCACTAGTGTGAAAAGCAGAGTAAACACTACTACTGGTATTTACTAGTATTAGTCATCATCATCATCATCATCATGTGCCCTGCCAGCTGGCATAGGCACTCGTGCGTCTCCGTAGATCACGATCCCTGATTTTCTGGAACAGCTCTCTTGATGATATCCCTCCATGCCATTGTTTCAGCCCATCCAGCATCATCTCTCTGGTCTGCCTCTACACCTATTTCCACTGATCTTTCCAGTTGTCACGATGTTCTGCAGTGTCTCTCTTCTCATTATGTGGCCAAAGAACCAAAGAACAGTGTGTGTCTGTTTCTTATTGTTGTTTATAGAGATCTACTTTCATTGGCTTCTTTCAAGCAGTCGTTGTTAGTTACTCTGGCCGTCCAAGGTATTAGTAACGTTTGTCTCAGAAACTACATCTCTTTTGCTTCAAGATTCTTCCTAATTTGTTCACTGACATTCCAAGATTTGCTGCCATACAGCAGAACAGGTTCCATGTAGCATTTTAGCACCCCCTTTTAGTATTACTACTACTACTGCTACTAATACTACTGCTAGTATTTACTACAGTCTGCAGGCCAGGTCACTTTTATAATTGCCTGCCTAATGGTTTGAACCATTAGCTCTTTCGGTACCCAAACAATGCACCATATTTTTCTTAGCCATTACAAAAGATAATGTGACGCCTCTTCTGTCTTTTACCACATGTTATATTAACCTCTTGTGTATGAATGATTAGTTTCACTGTTTCTGTCCCACTTTGTCTCTGTTTAGCGACTTCAGATGAAAGTGTAGAAAAGGTAAAAGTAACAACTGTTTGGGACTGAAAGAGTCAACAGCCGAGCTGTAAATGTGTGTATGTGTGCATGTGTGTATGTGCATACATGCATGTATGTATGTGGGTGTGAGTGAGTGAGGAGTAAGTGATGAATGCATGAGTGAGTAAGTTAGTGTGTGCATGTGCGCATGCATTTACCTTCCATGCTTTCGTGTTTTTCTTTGCTATTCATATTATTGTATTGTTATCTGCACAGACATGTTTTATTGATAAAATACAATTGATGTGTGAAAGATGAGTGTTTGGAAGGGCCGAATGTAAAACCCAATTTATGACCTTTTGAAAATAAAGTTTGTTCCTTCATTCGTTAATCCATCCCTTTGATGACCCTTTGAAAATAAAGTTTGTTCCTTCTTTTGTTCGTCCATCCCTTTGATGAAACTTTGAAAATAAAGTTTGTTCCTTCTTTTGTTCGTCCATCCCTTTGATGAAACTTTGAAAATAAAGTTTGTTCCTTCATTCGTTCATCCATCCCTTTGATAAAACTTTGAAAATAAAGTTTGTTTCTTCATTCGTTCATCCATCCCTTTGATGAAACTTTGAAAATAAAGTGTGTTCCTTCATTCGTTCATCCATCCCTTTGATGAAACTTTGAAAATAAAGTGTGTTCCTTCATTCGTTCATCTATCCCTTTGATGAAACTTTGAAAATAAAGTTTGTTCCTTCATTCGTTCATCCATCCCTTTGATGAAACTTTGAAAATAAAGTTTGTTCCTTCATTCGTTCATCCATCCCTTTGATGAAACTTTGAAAATAAAGTTTGTTCTTTCATTCGTTCATCCATCCCTTTGACTCCAAAATACATCATTAGGAGGTATCAGAGATGTTACTTATATTATTATACCCTCTGAGAGATAGGACTTTGCGGGCAGTGAATCCACATCACTCGCCAGAATGATAGATTGAGAGTTAAGATCGGCAAAAAAACGAGACACACCCCTGGCACATCACAGGACTTGTTAATCAATATTGAACTGGTACTATTAGCCACCGGACGCTGGGGTTTGTACTGATGGGAGGATCTGAGCACCTATGGGCATGTCCAGAGTGCAGTGATGATAACCCAACTAACAAACCGACTAAGAGAAGTTAATATGCTACCACAGCCCCCATAATGATTACCCATCAACATCTTCAGGTCGATGACAGTGCATCCATTCTAGAAGATGAGGAAACTTCAGTGCCAGCAGCAAGCCCAAGAACTGGGCTACATCTTCTACACACTGGTGAATCAGGAGAAACTTCCTCCCTGTCCAGCCAGGACAGCCACGATTCCAGACGCAAAGTCAGGTGAGTGTGTCTGCTGCTTATTTCACTGTTAGAACAGAATGGCTAACTTTTTTTGTCCCTAGCAAAACAACTTCTGTCACTGGCTGTTCTTTATGATTAGCAATGTTTCCTAATGCTTAGCTCCCATTGTGGAAGCCTGGGTTCAAATATTTGGTAAAGTGACGGAGATGTATTAGCCTGGAGCAAAATTAAAAGACCTAACCTGCACAGCGACTGCACTAGATATGTGATCCTAAGTCCTTAGGCTCAAAACATTCCTGTACTGTCTTAAAAAGTAGTAAATGCAGACAGTAAATAAAAATATTTATATTTTATTTGTAAGCGTACTTCTTATGTTTTATAACAGAATCAGAAGAATTCTAGCAACATGTTTTTGTTTTATGAGGTGTATATATCAATATATTCTTGAAAGGGCAATTGGTGTGTTGTGGTTTATAGCAAGGGTGTGATATATGTGATAATAAATTCTAAAAGTCTTAGAACCACTTGGAGATCATTGTGTTCTGAACATCAGCTCCGCTTGATGCTGGGTATACTGCCAAACATTCCAGTGATGATCTTGTGAAAGTAATACTTCTTCAGTTAACTCTAGTTTTGTGCTTAATGCAGTGTGGGTTGTAAACTAGCATGTCATCTTCAGGTCTCTTAGGTTCCACAAAGGTTTGTTGTCAGACCTGGGTAAGGTAACATGTTGTTTCACAGCCGCTCCAGGAGAGGACAGTTTTGCGAGACATGTTCTCGGGTCAGTTCAGCACAAAGTCTTGTTTTATTTGAGTGTTTGTTGAGTCTGCAATGTCCAATGTGTGCAGGTGGAAAATAATGAATGTCGTGTGAAGTCTTTCATTTTATACCCCAGACTGTAGTGGTGCATTCTATAATTTTTCTGTTTTGCATAACTGCAGCTTCTTTTTCTTATAATTCCTGCATGTGGTATATGTTGTTATGGTTTTAAACAACCTCATCTCTAATGTGCTGCTAATGCTTTTCCAATACACTTGACCTTCATTGCTGTTTCAGTTCTCTAGTATCTGTCTCTCTTCCACTGCCTTAACTATTTTCTTAATGTATTTTAATTTACTTTTTTTTTTTTTTTTTTGCTGTGTTACATCTGAATAATGTAAATGTCTCTTTTTGATATGATTAATTAGATTTATTTATAGTTTATTTCCTTCAGTACATCTTCATTTAATTCTTTTTGTGCCTTTGTGCCAACCTGTCTGTCAATGAGCCTCTCTTTCTCTCTCTCTCTCTCTCTCTCTCTCTCTCTCTCTCTCTCTCTCTCTCTCTCTCTCTCTCTCTCTCTCTCTCTCTCTCTCTCTCTCTCTCTCTCTCTCTCTCTCTCTATCTTGTGGTTCACCCCCCCCCCTCCACCCCCACCCATTTGTCTCTATTTCTCCCTACTCTTTAGGGTAACCTTGAGGACAATGTTATCAGTTTTAAATACAAATGACAGAAATGTTATCGCTAGAGCTTATCATTTCAGGAGCAAGAAGCCCATCCCAACAGTTCATGGATCTGTACTGAGACCCAGCAAGTTAAAGAGTATCTCAGCTCAGCTCCAGTCCGCTGCTGTAAGTTTCTAAGTGCTCTTCAGTGTTGAAAAATGATAATGATTAAAAAAAAAACAATGAAGGTTACTGCAGTCATGCAAAAATAGCTTAAAGCTTAAACATTCTGCCATGCCTAATCCTCCATTTTAGACCGGAAGACATTAGACTGTTACACTAACCTGCTCTGCATCAATTTTTACTTCAACCGCTTCTGTCCCATTGTTATTGTACAATTCCTCAACCTGAAACATTTCTTAATATAATTACACTTAGTAAAAAGTTAAATTAATGTCTACTTTGTACTGGAAGAGTGAAGCTATAGACAGGAAAGATAATGCTGAACTCTGTTATCTGTCAAAAGTTGGAGATCCAGTACAGTAAATCTTTGATGCAAAGAAAGCAACTTCACTTATCCGATCTACAGGGCGTCTCATAAGTGTCCACACATCGGAAAACTAAACACATCACCAAAGCCATTACAAGCATAACACCAGATGTGCTTTTACCTGTTCTTCAGCAGTGGATGCCTGTAGTGAACCTATTTTTTTTTAGATAAATTATGTCCCAGACAGAATGAAATCAGCTAATAAATGTGAATGGAATATTTGAGTGTAACTAGGACAGCACGAGAATTACAGAGAAATGCTGAAATAAATGAACTTCATGTGAATCACGCAGAATTGCTGGCCAAATGAAACTCACTCGGATCACAGAGAAAATGCTGGCCAAATGGAATCCGTGTAAATCTAAGAACATGGAGAAGTTGTAATCACACGGAAGGCATTAGAAGGTTATATAATGCCTTAGAAAGGGCTGGCCGGCAGTCTTGTTTGAGCCAAGGAACGGAGTGCGTGAACAACGGTGGAGTGTGTGTGGATCCAAAATGTGTCTCAGTGTGAAAGTAGCTTCTACGCCCAACCTGGCCAACAGCAAGGACAGACGGCAAGATGTCTGCCAGCTGCGTTAGTCACCATCAGAACAGCAGTTTTTTTGTTTCATTGTGCTTGTGTTAAAACGATTGTAATTTCGGTTAAAAGGTAACGTGATCAGTATGATTGTATTGAGTTACAATGTATGCCCTGGACATTATTCTATTTTCATGTTCCGGTTGAGGAAAGACGAGTGGAAGAATAAAATGCAGAAATAGTCTTGTGTTGTTTCCAGTCGTCCATTTTCTGCTCGTCATGTTGATGTCGGTGTGTGAAATAGGAATCTGCAGTGACTAGAGCCAGAAAGACGAAGAAGAGAGTCATTGCAATGCCACGCATCAAAATATGTTTATTGTATTATATGCTCTATTATGCATTTGAATATAAATGTTACAGACAGGTTCTAAGAATATCTTGGATAAAGAAAAGAACAAATGCATCCATACTTCAAGAGCTGAATATTGAAGAGGGTTGGCTAGTAAAGACAATAAAACAAAGAAAATTGAAATATTTTGGTCACTTGAAACGTCATGGAAGTCTAGAGAGAACAATAATGGAGGGGTATATGCCTGGGAAGAGAGGAAGAGGAAGGCCAAGGAGAAGATGGGTGCAGGATGTGGCAGATGATCTCCAGATGGGTGTATCAGACGCAGGACATCTTGCTCAGGATAGGAAGGTTTTCCGGAGGGTTGTTATGGCAGCGAGGTTCCGCGAGGGACATGCTACTGAATGAATGAATATGCTCTACATGACTACCATTGTTGTGTCATGGCTGTGACTAAAGCAGTAATATGGCTAGAGACACAGACTTTCACTGGGGCACGCTTTCTCAGTGACTCAATGAATATGCTCTAGAAGATAGAGAAGGGCTGGGTCCGAAGGCAATGGTTGGTGGCTCTGTAGCGTTCACGGCTTAAAAGGATCAGTTTCTTTTTCATGCCAGGATATGCAGGTGTACAAGGAAAAGAGCAAGCTGATAGACTTGCAGGTAAGGCTACTGTGAAAGCCAGACAAACCATAGACTAGGCTAATATACGGAATGCTCTACAAGATTTAAGATGTTTGCATGAACCAGGTGAGAACTGTGAATCTGCAACCAAGTCACACTGCAAGAACAGCAAGTTAAACAGGGTGTCATTAAACAAGAACAGTGTGTGGGTAGCCAAAAAAGAGTAATAAACAAACACAGAACTGGTGTCGTCAGCCACTACACGCTGCGGGATTTACTGAGGAGGGGGATCCGAGCACTTATGGACTGAGTGGTTCGATGTGCAATGAGGATAATCTGTCGACTAACTAACCATTGTTGTGAAAGCATATTTTGATGCATGTTTTCAACAGCTGAAGAATCTTTATAAGCCCAGCTGGTGTTATGTTTTTAATGATGTTGCTGATGTGTCTTTTTTATTTCCTTATGTATTGAAACTTACAGCGGGACACCCTGTAGCTCTCATACTTTTGTTTGTTTTTTTCCTCGCAAGTGCGACATCCACCTCTGACCAGAACATATCACATACTATTTACATTGTGTCTAGTAGGAATATTTTTTACACTTATGCAGATGCACACAAAGAAATCAGAGGTTTTATGTTTTTCCTTGGTTTTGGGTAGAAGATCCATTTCTTCCAACCCTCTGTGATTATTGTGAACAACTAAGAATAAAGTACTTGAAAATGATTCTTTACAGTTGAAACTAAACTTCAGCTCCTGCATCTAAACATTCTAAACATTAACATTTATATTTTATTTATTATGGTCTACTAAAGTATCGGGAGTCACCGGGTTGCTCACCTGCGGATCGGATGGTCGTTGGTTCGCCCCCTTGGCAGAGCCTAACTTTTTTTTTTTAAATGACCTTTGCTCCTAGTTCGACCTAGCCTTGAGTGAGTACCAGGTGCAGTCCCGGGAAGTAAAGGTGGCCGGCGTGATGCTGACCACATCGCCCATCTTGTGCCGATTGGTCTATAAAACAGAGGTCTAGCCCTATATGCCTTAAACGCCTAAAAGCGTGGCAAAGCGTCCTTCTCTTACTTTACTTACTATTGTATCTCCTGTGTTTGATTCTTTGAAACTATTCTTTGCAGGACCGAGTGGATGCAGGGATGCCCACTGGGATTGTGAGTTGTATTATCTCTCATCATGTGTTTCTTTTAGATAAACATACTTTACTCATCCCCATAGCCTTTCCTTGTGTTGCTTGTTTGTGACATTTACCTGTAAATATAATCTCTCTCTCTCTCTCTGTCTCTCTCTTTTTTTCTCTCTCACTCTCTCTTTTTTTTCTCTCTCTCTCTCTCTTTCTCTCTCTCTCTGAGTGTTTGTGTCTCTGTGGGAGTGTCCGTGTGTGCATGTGTGTGTCTCCATGCATGACTGGATTTATGACTGTATGTGTGTATGCCTGTATGTTTGTGTGTACGTATGCCTGTGTGTATGCGTGTATTCATGTTTGTTTATATGTATCTGTGTATGTATGTATGTAATGTATGCATGCATGTTTGTGTGTGTAAGTGAGTGGGTGAGCGTGTGTATGCAGGTGTATGTATGCACGCGCGGGTTTTTGCATGCACTTTACAACTCATGCTTTTGTGTTCTTTTATAATATTCATAATATGCATAACATCATATGATCATAACATTAGTAAAATACAACTGCTGTGCGAAAGATGGTTGACTGGAAGGGCCGAATGTAAGACGGGCCTGCGTGCCCAATTTGTGACCCTTTGAAAATAAAGTTCGTTCAATCATTCGTTCTCTCTCTCTCTCTCTTTCTCTCTGTCTCTCTCTCTCTCTCTCTTTTTTTCTCTTTCACTCTCTTTCTCTTTATTTCTCTCTCTCTCTCTCTCTCTTTCTCTTTCTCTCTCTCTCTCTTTTTCTCTCTCTCTCTCTCTCTCTTTTTTCTCTCTCTCTCTCTCTTTTTTTCTCTTTCTCTCTCTCTCTCTCTCTCTCTCCCTCCCTACCTCCCTCCCTCCCCCTCTCTCTCTCGTGCATGTGCATACTGACACCTTACACACACACACATACATATACTTTTGATAATAATATGTTTTCCTCATTCCTCCACCTTATGCTGCACATGGATGGTTCTCTCTGTTTTCAGCCAATTATTTCATCATTGATATATTTACCAACAAAACTTTTAGCCAGAGAATATTTGATGTCTGAAGATGTACTAAGAATTATCTAATTTTAGCATTTACTTATTTGTTTGTCTGGAGGCGCGGTGGTGTGGCGGCAAGACGTTTGCCTGCTGCTCTGATTGTTATAAGTTCAGATCCTGAGCTAGCCAGACCTTAAAAAAAAGGATCTTGGTTCCTAGGTTGACCCAGCCTTAAATAGATATCAGGTAAAGTCCTGGGAAGTAAAGGTGGCCGGCGTGATGTTGACATCACCCAATGAGGGCTGATTGGTCTATAAAATGCAGGTCTAGCCCTGTATGCCCAATGCACCTCAAGCCGTGGAAAAAGGTCCTTTTTTTTAAATTGCTAATCATTTTCGTTTAGTTATAACAGAATATATCCCTGTTGTTATTAGTTAACACTGGTTCATCCTTTTCTCTTTTTAGAATAGTCTGCAAAGTTAGATTATGTATGTAAATATAAATTGATATTGATGTATTTATTTGTTATTGTTTGCTTAGGCTGTTTCATCATTAATTGCCATAGGGACATCACATGGTCTGGTACTTATATTTGGTAAGTAAAGTTATATACTCCTATATACAACTGTTTTTCAAAACTGTATCACTTTTAGCCTCGTCCTGTTGTGATAGTTTGTTTAATGAATGGCTATCATTTACCAGAACTTGCTGAGTTTTTGTCATTTACATATTTTTTTTTTAGGTTTTCAAAGGGTTTTAAGTACTTTTTTCCATTACATGTGATGGTTATTAATTCATTAACTACTGTGAACTCTTTAACAGACTCACACGTCCAGTTACTTTAAAAAAAAAAAATTAAAATTAGCATCTTTTGGAAGGTTTTAAATACTGCACACAGTTATTACCTTACATTCCTGATGGTTATATTTTGCATTAAAAAAAAAATTAGTTACAAATCCTTTACAGGACAATGCAGAACCAACCCAGTATTGTCTGATTTTTTTTTTTTTTTTTAAATTGTTTTAAACATTTTTTGCTGTTTCTGATTTTGCTAGGCAGTTTTACATTTAGTAGTTTGCCATTTCTCCTGAACAGTTGGTTGTTGATGTTATTGTCAAATCAGCCCAACGTGGTTTTTTACAAAAGTCTGATAAATTGGTTATTGGTTCACTTAAATAATGTCACAGCACTCAGAAAACATTCTTAAGTACTCCATCTCCCTCAGCTCATATTAAAATCTCTGAGTATTAACCACATGGCAGACAACAATTGCACTGTGGTTTGAAACATATCTAAAGTCCCATACAGTCAGCATGTAACACTAATTCCAGTTACTATTTTGTATCCATTAATTGTGTGCATTGTTGTCTTGTTTCATGCTTTAATTGCTCAGAAGATTACCCCTGATTGTTACACAGTGAGAGATTTATCCATTTGACATCTACCTGCATGCTTGAATCCAACCAGTCTGCCTTTTCATTGCTTTTCTCCCACATGTTCAGGGCTCCTTTTTTTTCATCTGTTAGTTCATACCATGTGGCATAGATAGTCTTGTCCTTCCACAGCTGTCTGTTTTGTGTACTTTCAGTCATTTCTAACACATGATCTAACAAGCCACGATGTCAGACTGTTTAGCATCCTTCCTCCATGTCACCTTCTATTCTTTTTCTTTCGAGCTTTCTCACTGTCATGATGCCCATCTTCTCATAATGCGAGAATGTAGATTGTCTCCTTCTGACGTGGGTAAGTTCTCTTTGTGAGTTAATTTCTTTCAAGACATCTTCATTACTCTTGTTATCTCTTCATTCATCTTTAAAACCACATCTCAGCTGCTTCCACATAATTGTTAACTATGAAGGACAATAAGATCATAATGGTTGTGGATTTGACATCATGATGATCATCATCATCATCAATTTCCACTTTTGCCATTAAACATTGTGAGGAAGGAACAGTTTATGATCTATTGCCTAGTAGGTAGCACTGGCTACAGTCTGGTAATCTGGTAATCCGAGTTTCAGCATCATAGCAAACGGGTCACCCCATTGTTGCTCCGCTCCTGTGCCAACAAAAAACACTCGTATCTCACAGTGTCACACCACGCACTCAACTCAGAAGCTGGGTGACGAAACTATATCCTTCCAGTCTACAAATGGAGCAAAAATGCAACGGCCACCACCTGGCAGAACTGCCACGGCTTAAAAAATAAAAAAAAAGTGGTCGTGCCTAGTGTCCACTGTGACTTGAAGCATTATGTGAGGGGTTAACAAATGGTCACCCCAGCAGTACCCTCACTATTAGCTGGGAAAGGGACTTAGGACATTACATCCACCAGCAGGCGTCGCCCCTACAACGACCTGACTGCCTTCGTTAACGACTGTTCACCCAACAGCCATGCAGTTCTTTGGCACGAAGGAGACACCTTGAACTTGGGTTTCGGAATGCCGACCACCTACAAAATGTTATTTTGTGTTTTGTTATCACAATCGACGTCACTGCACATTGGGCATACCCATGCGTGCGCAGTCCTCCGAAGCAGCAGCCACTCCAAAGTACTTCTACTAATTGTCCCCATGAGAAGCTGGTTATATTGTCTCCTTTCTCGGCCTCGCAGACGGCAAAGACGTGCTTCACCATGCTTAACTCCCATGTCACGCAATCGTGTTAGTGTCAGGGATTCGATATTATCCACTAGCCCAGTACGTACAGCGTTAACGATATCTGCTCTGTCCATGCTTTTTCCCGCAATCATTAGTGCTGTGCTTGCCAGTTGGTCCGCTCGCTCATTTCCCTTTACGCCCGCATGACCCGGTGTGTAGATCCAGGTTACGGAAGTTAAGTGCGATTTCCGAATGCTTTCTATCCATTCAGAGCGCATACTGCCTGTTGCTATTTTCTGAAGCATATTCATTGAGTCTGAGACAATTACTACCTGTGTGGCGGTTTGCTCGGCTACAGTCATTCCATGTCAGTGTAAAATGTACTGAAAGTCATCAATCTGTCTTTTTCTTCTTAGGGATAAAGTAATTAGGAACAGATTAATAACTTGGGAATAATATGGCGTAAGCTGCATGAGTTGGCACAAGATTGGATGGCTTGGCATTTGTTGGCTGAGGGTTGGCTTCTATGAGAGATAAGAGGCAGAAGAAGAAATAGAAGACAACTGAAATTGTAAACATAACTGGTAGGAAAATATAATCCCATTTCAAACTGGGCATATTGTGCTTCAATTTTGTCATCACCTAATGGATGGTGCCAGACCGCTCACCCCCAGCATATTTACTGATGCCTAATTAAAGCTGGATAAAAATGTATTCACACCAGGAGAAACAGCTAAATAGATTTCACATGTGATGTCTAAGAAGAATACCTGGCATTAAGTGATAGGACAAGATCACAAACCCTGAGGTATTGGAAAGAGCAGGCATTGCAACAGTTTTCTCAGTTCTCAGTCTATGAAGGCTCAGGTGGCTGGGTCACACCTGGAGAATGGAGAATGGTAGAGTCCCTAAGGACATTCTCTATGGTGAAATAAAGATGGGTAGAAGCCGTTCTGGCCGACCTCTACTACGATATAAAGATGTGTATAAGTGGGACATGAATGATACAGGTATTGAGGTGGACTCTTGGGAACAAAATGCCACGGACAGTGTTGAGTGGTGGGGGCAAACAGGAAGGGAATGATAATGAAGGAAGAAAAGATTGCAGAAAGGATGTGAGCTGGGCCTCTGAGGAGAAACAGACTATACACAAATGTTAACAACAGTGGTCCTGAAATCCCATGCTTTAATTGTGGGAGACTTTTTTTTAAACATGGGCGGGTCTTGCTAGTCATACTCGCCATTGCCATGGGCTGTGAGTCCCATGCCTCCCCATAAAGATGGAAAGATGCCAGAAACTTGGGAACCCTGAGTGAATTCTAAAAATCTGTCTCAGTGCTGATTTGAACCCAATACCTTTGTACTGGCAGGTGGCCAGGCATTTAACCACTGCTCTACAAAAGTCTGTTTAATTGCACAGACCCTAAACAAGTCTTGAAATGGTGTTTGGGCAGCACTGTTGTGGGAGCCCAGTATGGTTCTGTGTCAGCCCTCAGTTTCAACAGAGACTGCACAAGGTTGTTGTGTGGATTTGCAAGAGGACAGGTAAGGGGCATTTATCTCATCCTTTCTTTTCCATTCATTGTTCATCCTGAAATTATTAGAAAAATGTTCTATATGTTTCCATGCTCGTACAACAGATTTAGTCTGTCACTATACATTACTTGCATGTTTCATGTGCGAAGAACACTCAGAAAGTAATGCCTTACAATTTTTCATCTGCGAATAATGATGATAGAAACTTAACATTTGCATACTTCATTTCCCTCAAACTCAGAATACATCTGCCAGTGAGGCAGGGAAGGGCAAACACATAAGCCAGTAAAACAGATGTACACGCAAAACTCAGGTCCAGGTAAAAGCCAAAAGTCCATAATGGACGAACTACCAGGACCATCTGCCAGAATTCACAGCCATTGAACACAAAGAAGAAAGAAGCACTCTTCACATGTTCATACCTGTATTGTGTGCACAAAATGACACTGCCTTCCATCGAATAAAAGAGTTCTAATAATCATTTAAAATTGAGTGCATGAGCAGTGTGCATCACCAGCAACAAATTGTTTTGAAATTTCTGATTGTGGAAGAAGAAACTATGAACATTAATAAATGTTTGTGCACTGTGTATGAAAGTTGTGCAGTTGATGGGCACATGTTCAGAGAATGTTTCAGAGAGTAAAGAGGTGGACCTGCTTGATTTGCCATGAGGAAAGAAGTTCAAGGCAACTTTCTCAACGGTAAAGGTCATTGATGGTATTGTTTTGGGGGTGTGTTGTACCAAGAGGAAACAGTCAGTTCTGAAGGTTACTTCAGAACTAAGAAAAACTCAGTATTCTGTTACGCAGAGTCTGCAACAACAAAGTATTGCAGCGTAACTTTTTGCTCTCACACACACATGCACACACACACACGCACATGCACACACACACACAAACAAAATGCTCTGCCTCATTTAATTCAGAAATTATTGGAAGAAATCAACAGATTAGATTCGACTACTTCGTCTTTCACCCGGTAGCCATAATTTGACTCCCTCTGACTGTCATCTCTTAGGTCAACTTTATTTGTATGCAGAAAACGTAATGAGACATGTCAACAGTGACCAACCTTGTGACAGAAATGATCCACTCATGATTGGTTGCAACCCTAATCCTGGATTTCGCTGTGCTCTCATGATTGGTTGCAACCCTAATCCTGGATTTCGCTGTGCTGATGACACAGTCCTCCTCCTTTCAAACAATGTAAAGGGAATAGAACAATTAATAATTTCTGTCCACATCCACACAAAAACACAGTGAAGATCAAAACCTATTCTTGAATTTGAATTAAATAAAAATAATGCCCATAAAATGTCACAAACTTTGAATATTTTGGCTCCATAGTAAATAGCAGTGGAAACTGTTTAACAGAAGTCAAAAGGAGGATGGCCATAGCAATACAAAGATTAAACAGCATTAAAAGTCTATGGTTAAGCAAAGAAATCATAGTCAGAATTTTGAGAGCATGCATCTTCCCTGTAGCAACAAATGTCCTATCTCTTAGTCTTTGAGGAAGAAAATAGGTGCGTTTGAGCTGAAATGCTATAGAAAGATTCTCAGAATACTATGGACAAAGAAAGGGAGAAATACTGATATTTTAAAAGTTCTGAGTATTAAGGAAGATTGACTAATAAACAGACATTCTCAGACAATTCAAGAACAATTCTGAGAATTATCTAGTGCCAGTTTTTTAGGCTAGGTTGACTCAAAAGCGGTATAGGTCAAAACAAGAAAATCAAATCAATTCTGGGAATTGTACCCGAACCTCCCCATTTGGATTCTAGGGCCCTATTGGAGGAGGAGGAAGGGGGGGGGGGGGGCGGTGTGTATAGACCCAAAAGCATGTAGTAAAGAGCGACTAATTAGTGGTGTTTTCTTTAAAGATGGAGTGCATCTACCTGAGAGGCAAGGAACCAACAGTCCACATGCAAATAAGTGAGATCTGTAAAACAGGTGTGCGTGCAAAACGCAAGTTCTGGAAAATGACCAGATACCTGAAATGAACCAACAAGCAGAGCTTTCCACTGGAGTTTACAGTTGGTGAATGCTAAGAAGAAGAAACTGATCCATTGTCTTGGCAGACAAGTCCACTTGCTGTGTGCCACAGCAGTTCCACTGGGATGGTGTTAGATGTTGTTACGTTGTTGCTCATCCATCACGAGTAATAAAGACCACTTTTATCCAAAGTAGTAATGATCAGTGATTATGAGTACAAAAATGGCTGATTAGTCCATTAGTCCAGTAGGAGCCTGGAAAGTTCTTGAGCAGTGCGGACAACAGATGGAAGCTGCAGTAAGTGTGGGATTAGCAGTACGATTTCTCTGCCTGTGCAACCTCCCCTGCCTGACAGGCCGATGGACCATGCCTGAAGGATGTATGCCATCCAGAACGGTCTTGTGCAGCAGCTTCCCACGTCACTGTGTTGATGCCAAAGGAGTTGAGAGCAGTCTTGAGAGTGTCTTTATATTCATTAGATGTTGTTATCATGTCTATGTGTCTCACCAGATCACAATGTGGGACCTGACAACAGGGAAGTTGCTACGGACAATAACAGATGCTCACCCACCTGGGACAGCAGTATTACATATAAAGGCAAGTTTCCTTACATACAGCAGAAGGTGGGTGAATGGATAAGATGTTAGTTTCCCAGACCAGATGGCACAGATTCAAACTACATTACATTCCTGTGTGGGTTCCGTGACCCTATTGGGGGGGGGGGGGGGGGGAGGGGGAGGGGGGGTGCAGGCTGACTGCCTCTTAAAAAGCATGTCCTAAAAGGCAACTAATGATGAATTTGCTGAAATCAGATGTCTAGAGTTAAAAGTGCAGATATCAAAGCCTAGCTGTCAACTCGAGCATTGTATGCCAACAATCCTTTCAAGGGCAAAAGCAGATGAACAAGAAGAAGGAACTACATTGAAGTATAGTAATAGATGCCTTTTGGTGTAAAAAAAACTTATAGAAATTAACTTTCTTTTGATTTTCATCTCACAGTTGAATGTTTAATTAAGAATCAGCATCACAGCACTCTGGATATTCCCATATGAGCTGCATCCCCATCTTCAGCAGCAAGTACAGAGTTCCAATTTCGGTGGTAACAGTCTAATAGTAAAGTTGTCTCACCTTTACCCCTGAGTACTGAGTATCGACTAATCTCCTGGTCACTTCTCGCAGCACCATTGTCTTTGGAGCATGATGATTTGTTTGTCCCTCCATATATTTCACTCGCTCCCAAAAGACCCTTACAGCATCTCGCTTGTCATGCATTTTCATCTCCCAACAGACCTTCAACCAACGTACACCACACCCTTTATATACTTGTACATGCTTGTTTAGTTTTTTGTTTCTAAAGTTTGAGGTAGTCTGTCTCATTCTGGTTTCATCAAAGTCATCCCACATCTACCAGATAGGCAAGAGACAAACAGTTTTGCACCAAAATAAGCCAGATATGTCTAATGGATGTGCATACCAAACTCAAGTCCTGGAACAAAGCCAAAGTCCAGAAGTGGACAAACAAGAATGGACTTTATGCCAGAGTTTACAGCAAGTGGATGCCATAAAAAAGGACAGAGGTACTCTGTCTGTAATCCAACTTCACTCAAGTTGACATAAACCCTATCCTACAAACTGACCCAGCTGCATCTGACTTGAGTCAGGCCTCAGTTTTGTCAAACAAACTCTTGAAGGTTGGGGTAAGGCTGGTTTACTGTCATGGAGAAAACTTTAACAAACCTTTTCAGCTGAAGTTTTTTTCATGATAATTAACCAGTCTTACACCAACCTTTTTTTTTGGAGGCTTTTTTATATCATACTTAGCATATTACATTTTTTTTAAACCAGATTTTCCAGGAAATTATCTGGTTCCTATTTTATAACTTGTTTTTCCAATCAACATCCTGGCCACATTGGCCTGACCCATTCATTATCTGTCCTATGATGTAGTGGCCATCTCACTGTCTCCATGTCCACCATACCCTGTATTGACATATCTTCTTTCTTTCTTCGCCTCGCAACTGGTTTATCCATGCTTGTCCTCGTTTAAACCCATTTTATTCAGTTGTGCCTTCCCCAGAGTTGTACAGATGGGGAAACAAATTTGCCACTTCGGGGTGTAAATCTGAACCAGGCTTACACTCTAAAATATATGTTGCCAAGCAAGAAGAGGATAAAAAGAAAATATTTTCTAAATATGGGTCTCTCATCCCATAAAAGTCATTATCAACTAATAACATTTTTTGTATTGCAGTTTACAGATAGCTTTGTTCTTGCAGTGTGCAGTGATAGTGGTGGTTCTGTTTTTGAATTGGAATTCAAGTAAGCTATAAGAATTATTGAAGTTTTTATGTGTACATGTTTAATGCTTCTTCTTCTTCTTCTTCTTCTTCTTCTTCTTCTTCTTCTTCTTCTTCTTCTTCTTCTTCTCCTTCTTCTTCTTCTTCTTCTTCTTCTTCTTCTTCTTCTTCTTCTTCTTCTTCAAGTCCTTTTTTTTCTGCATTGAGTATTGAAGGATATAGAAGATTCAGGTTCTTGTTCTCCTGACCTTAGACGCTTGTTTTTGTTTTAGAGTCTCTGTGATGTTATCATTTTGCATTGGTCTTGGCCAAACTCTCCACTTTTGCTTTATGCCTTGTATGGGGTAGCATCACAAGGGCGTTCTTTCTTAAATGAGAAAACCAGTTTTTTTTCTGTCTGTATATAATTTAGTATTGTTCTGTGCTGGCTTTCTGTGTGCCTTTTTTTCTGAATTTTAATTTTGTACATTTTTGTCACTCAAGCAGCCTTCCATAGATACCTCATGTCTGTAGTTACTGTCAGTTCTGTATTGTTGTGAATGAGCGTGTCTTTTACTAATAGTGTACTGCATGAACTTGTTGAACTTTTTCAGTTCCAAGAAACGCATCATATGTTTACATGTTTCTGCCTAAAAGCCCACTGTACTCATGATTTGTTGATTATATGTGTCTCTTTACTACCCCTTGGGCTCTGATGTTAAACCCCCTAGGACTGGAAGAGTTAATGCTAATATTTCTTCTTTTTCTTCATTGTTTTTCCAAGTCATCTAATTGTGTTGTGCCTGTTTATGATGTAGCTGTGCTGTTTGCACTATTAGGCTGATGTCCAACTTCTTCGGGCATTTATTTTCAAAGAGCATATAATAATGTCTAGTACTAAATGCTCTATGTGTAAGTGGAGTGAGTGGGTCTTTCACCTTATTTTTTTTTTTATTGTAACGCTTCATGTCAATACTGTGGGGCTTATTTTTTGAATAGATGTTTGCTAAAATTGTTTATGATTTCATGATCCTAAACCTTTATGATTTTAATGTTGTGAACATTACCTTAGTGTTTTGATAAATAATGGAATTATTTTTCAGACGCCTGATTGGTGTACGGACATGTGAATCACAGTGTCTGTTTTCTGGAAGGTGACTGTTTTTGTTGTTGCTGTTGCTTCTTTTTGGTTTTATTAAATGGTTTCTTTTAGATCTCTACTACAAGAATGGTTCTAAGATTTCATGTGTACAAATTTAATTTAAAAATAAACTGCTTTTCTATGTTAAAAGGTTTCCACACTACATTGTGCATTGTCAGTATGATCTTATGTTAAAAAAAAATGTATGGGACCATTTTCCACGCCACTAGGCCTATAGGGCATAAAGGACTAGACCTATATTTGTATAGACCAATCAGCACAAGATGGGTGATGTGGTCAGCATCACACCAGCGACCTTTACTTCCTGGGACTGCACCCGGTACCCACTCAAGGCTGGGTCAGTCTGGGAGCCAAGGTCATTTTTTTAAAAAGTACGGCTCCATCAGGGAATGAACCCACAACCTTTTGATCCGTGACAAGCGACTAGCCGCTATGCCATGGCGACTCCCATGATCTTATGTAACTGTAATATATGGCGGAGAGAAGAAAAAAAAATAGTATTAGGCCATGTTAATTGATATAACATTATCATAAAGATCACACTTATGGGGAAAACTGATAGGTTCATTGCATTCAGTCTAATATATCACCTTGAGTGTTCCAGGGTACTATTTTTAGGGGGAAAAGAATAGCCCCAGCTGCCTCTTCTAAAAAGCCTAATACTGTCAAAGATGAAATTAGGGATTCGCTTGAATTAGATGTGTTGGGCCAAGAGGTGCACATAATAACATTAACATAGCTGTAAATTAGAGCACAACATACCAACTGCCCTTTTGAGGGTGACCACTGAAGATGAAGGAGTCCATTGTGGAGATGGAACTTGATTGATTTATTATACGATGAATACATGCACACGTAAATATAGTTGTGAATCCTTTAAAAGACTGAAGTTAACTCAAGTCTGAAGCAGCTGGCTCAGTTTGCAGAAATGGCTTTAAATCAGTTTGAGTTGCTGTGTAAGAGATCCAAACTACCATGTCTTTGGGGACCTTTAAAAGCGTTTTTCACCTCTTTCCCAGCTAGGAAACCAGCGCGGTGTACAAGTCTGGTATTGAAGCAACACATCTGCAGAGAAGCATATTAACATGTAACCATTTCAAACTTCAACACGGCCGATTCTGACTGCCTGGGATTAGGTTTATAGTGATAATGTTACTTCATGAGGTTTTATATATCTCATATTCCCCGTACTGAGTCCAGTGCCTAGAGAAAAGACATTACTATACATCCATTTATGTGATTTTCTTTAAATTTAATTTCCAATACATAACAGCCTTCAAGTAACATTTTCGAATGGATATTGTTATTCTCTAAACTATTTTGTGCTGCAATAGTATACTTACTTATCTGTTCAACTCTGTCTCTTGTAGCCGTGGAGAAGTGTGTACAATTGAACCTCTTCACATGAACTACACAATTAAAGATCATCCTATGCAGGAGGTGATGGTGCTAGCCATGGCTTCATTCTCTAAGGTAGACTTGGTGTTCTTGTTCATTCAGTTTTTGTGGAGATTCATAGATTAGAAGCAAATGGAAATCCAGTAAAGGTAAAGTAAAGGACCCTTTTCGACAACTTTCAGACTTATTGGGTAAATAGGACTAGACCTATATTTTATAGACCATCGGCACTTGGTGGGTGATGTGGTCAGCATCACGCCGGCTGCCTTTACTTCCCAGGACTGTACCTGGTACCCACTCAAGGCTGGGTCGACCTGGGTGCCAAGGTGATTTTTGAAAAAAGTCAGGTTCCATCAGGGCCCGACCCCATGACCTTCCGATCTGCAGGTGAGCATCTAGCCGCTACACCACACTGACTCCCATTGAAGGTTACTAACACCTGAAATATTATATTTCCTTTCTCTACTCATAGAATGCCTTGTAGTGTCAGGGTAGGAAGATATCTCTGGAACAGGCCCTTCTGTTTGCTTTGTATATAGTACTTTTCCGTGTCTCCCATATTTCTGCTGTCCATCTTCTGTATGGTCGACCTCTGGCTCTGTTACCACTGTACCTGTGAAACCTCGCTCTCTGTGGTGCCCTGTATAATGCCAGTCTTGTTACGTGGCCAAACCATTTGATCTGTTGTCTACCAATAAAGTTCAGATTTGGTTCTGTGCGGACTCTATTCCTGATATCGCTGTTCCTAAGTTGATTTTTTTTTTCTCCTTACACCTAGCACAGTACATTAACATTTCATTTGTTTTCTCTTTTTTTTTTCCACCATAATCAGAGTCTCTGAACCCACACTGAGTGCCTTAGTCTCTAATGCCATTAGGTAGTTATTAGATTTGTTAACTATAAATAACTGTTTTGGAACAACTGGCAGTACTTTGAAATTGTCACACCATTTTGTCACAGGTTCTGCTCGTCACATTACGGCCACATTTGAAGGTCATGTTTACCCATCCATTGAAGGTTAGTAACAATTGAAGTATTATATTTTGTATTGTTTTCTCTAAATAATGTTAAGATAACATTTGTCACTTTCAATTGTAAACAGGGGTGTGGAGGAAGGTAATTTGGGTTGGGTTGTGTGGAAACCTATGGCACAGCACCTGCAAGCAAGTTGAAGTCAAAATTTTGAAATCATGCATCTTTTTCATGGCAACCTCCGGATGTGAGTCGTGCATTCTTACTCAGTCATTGAAGAAAAAGTTGAAGCTTTCTAACTTGAATACTTCAGACAATTTTCTTAGAATACGATGGACCAAGACATAGAAAAACATAGCCATCCTACATCGGGGAGAACTGGCTCATAAACAGCATCCTGACCAAACAAACAAGGTGCTTTATTAATATCCCACCCCAGACGATGTTATAGGACAGTCCAACATTTTAGAGGGTGGTAAGACTGAGTTTCCCAGGTTTCTGATGCTTTTAAGGACCCCAAAACATTTAGAACTGGCCCTTACTCCAACCCACCTACGTCCCTAGAGTGCAGCCTAGGTCCCACAACTGCATGCAGCCTATCTACCACCCCATGAAATATTAGACTGTCCCGTTACTTGTGGATTTCCCCTGTTTGGGGTAGGATATTAATAAAGCAACGCTCATAGGGCTGGAGAATTGGCTAGAGAAAAGGAGACTTTCAGGCCTGCCATGATGTGAGGGATGGTTTCTTACGGACCTGTTGATTGATGAGGATGTTTGGAAAGGAATATCCTGCAGGTGCTAGCCAGCTGTTTGCTGGCTTACAGAAACCTGTGACTTTTTAAGTGCGTCACATACCTCAGATGCCATATTCAAAAGCCTGCTTAATTTTCCTCTGCGCTTTGTGTGTCTTTCCTATTTTCTGCTCACTCCCTGTGTAATCAGTCTCATCAGGTATGGGTGCTGGGTCTGTTCTGCTGCATTGTCTGCTTCTTTTTTCTATGTTTGCCTTCAAAAGGTGATTGGTATATTGTGTTGTGGTTTACAGCTAGGCTGCAGTATCTGTACCTATTGTCGCAACACATTAGATTTCGGGAAACTGTTGATTAGTCGCCCTTTATGACATGCTTGTTAGGAAGCAGTGAGTCTACTCTTTTTTTTCCCTCCCAAAATAAGGCCACAGAACCCACATGGGAAATTCTCCATTTAATCTCAGAGAGCATTTACAACATCCATCTTGTTATGAAATGGCTTGCTGCGCAGAGCTGCTGCAGAAGACAATTTATCAGCCTACTCATTGCCCCACACACCTGTATGTCTTGGGCAGAAAATCCACAATAGGCTCCTGACCCTGATCCTATCAAAAAAGTGCAAATCACTCCAATGTTTAACACTGCTAAGAGAACACATGGACAGGATTTAAAGGGATAAGCTGATCACTGTGGTAAAACTAATTTAACCATGTAATTGTTTATCCCTGCCTGGTTTGGACTTCAAGTTACTTTGTAACCGTCCGGGACCCCAATATAACCTAACAGTTGAACAAGGCTTTCCAGGATTAGTACATGTAGGATTCTCACCCTTGAGATGTTAATCCTTCCGGCTGCAACCCTGGGGGAGACAAACTGCAATGCAGTGTATTGCTTGAGGTTAAATGAGTTGAGACTACTAAAATGTATGTTCTTTTAAACTTTTCTCCACACAGGGAGATCCATCCACTCTTCCTTTGCTGGCATGGCAGTTTGTCATCATTCAAGTCTCTGAGAAAGACAGAGTGATAGATCCTGTACTGTCATTTGCCAGAGATAAAACAATCTACTTCTTTCAAGTAAGTAAGTGTTTGCATGTAACAGCAGTGGAGATAATGGAAACTGCTCATCAAAAGTTATAAAGAGGCTTGCTCGAGCAATGTAGATGTTAAATAGTTTGAAGGGCCTATGATGCAACATCAGCTAACAACTTAAAGTGAAAATCCTTTGAGCATGCATATCTCTTATGGCAACATACGAATGCAAGTCAAACTATAGGAATAAAGCCAGTCTTACAGGTGGTCATCAATGAACAACAAATGAAGTGGTTTGGACACCTAACAAGAATGCCCTGGTACTATCTGCCACAGCGAGCCACACTAAAACGTTACAACGGGTATAGAGCAAGTGGAATACTTCAGAAAATATGGAGTGATGGCATTAAGAACAGCCTTACAGAAATGAACATTAATCTTGAAAGGGCTCTTGACAGAGCTCATCAACCAAAGTTTACATCTTCCCCCGACACTTCAATGAGGTACAAGGTGGAAGAAGTAAAGAAGAAACATAAGGCTTTGGAAATGAAATGTTACAGACAGATTATTAGAGGAGCGGTTTTCAAACTGAGTGACGCGGCAATAATCGAGGATTTTTCCAAATCTGCTTGAGATCAACGATGACAGCAGTTTAAAACAGACATACCACGAAGAAAGCCAGGAAGAGTTCTGGGTGCTGGTGTATTGAGAAAACAATACTATTGGCAAACCTGCAGTGCATTCTCAACGTATGTTTATGTTAAAAAAAAAACTTAGATACAGGAGCAACATTCAATTGATTTGAGGGTACAGTTAACTAAACCTCCCATAAACATAAAGAAAATAATGAAAAATTCATCCAAACAGTTTCATTCATCGCATTAAAGACGACTGAACATTAAATTTACACTGTCTTTCTTCTTTTCCTAAGTATTCAAACCGCTTCAAAGGTAGGTGTGCTGCAAAAAAAAAAAAATTCCTGAAAAGGGTGCCACAGTGACAAAAGTTTGAGTGCCATGGAACAAGAGGGGGAAAAACACTGATATTTTTTATGGTCTCAGTATTGAGAGGGACAGGCTTATAAACAGAATTGTTTCTTATAAACTGTAATACTTTGTCCATATTAAACTTCATACGTGTTTGGAAAGAACAGTAATTGAGAGTGTGGTTCCTGGAAGAAAAGGCAGCTACTGACATGCACGATAGTGGACATGGGATGTTAAGGACATCCTGGGTATGAAAGTGCATGAGCCGAAAAAGTTGACCGGTGACTTTCGAAGTACTACATTGACCTTTTTGCCTTGATAAGCCGCAAACCCAGCACATCCTGCAGTAGCTCAGTCCCATAAATGCTGTTTCCTAGCATTTATTTGTACGTTAGCTTGTTTCCAAGATGCCTCGGTAAAGCCTTGGTTGTGTTTGTGCCTGTGCAGCGTTTAGGAGATCACCATATGAAAATATAGTAGCTAAAAATAGAATTTAGGGGAGTGGGATGTTTTATTGTCAACAAAATACTTTTTTTAATGCAATTTTGTCCTAATAATTTGCATATGGCTTTAGTATTAGATCTGCGTCTATGGCTTAGGCGTGGCTAACGCGCTTCATAATGCCGGGGTGCCGGGTTTGATTGCTGCTGCAGATGATTTGCCTTGCGCTAATGGAAATTAAATCCAGCTAATTATTCACTCACTTATTTTTTTTTGTTTTTTTTTTGTTGTTGCCTACTCTCCTTCATATTTTCCTAAAACCCAACTTTAAAGAAAATATATACATGCATTTTAAGAATGTTCTTACAGTCCTGTGTAAAATGGTTGAGTATTTAAGGTTTTTTCCGCAAATTCCCAGGTTCATGGTCTTTTTTCTTTTTTAAGAGAATATGGGACAGAAGGGATAAGAGCGACATTCTACAAATGACTGCTACATGATGATGATGTTTGTATGCTTTGTTTAAGGAGTAGCTATGGCAGGACTAGACCACCTGTGTCACAAGGTGGCATAAGGTTTTAAGTGATGTTGGAAAGTAAATGTGTGCATTGAATATATTGTTTGTACAGTTCCAGAATTTTGGCAGTTAGATGCCCGCCTGCGGATCGGAAGGTCGTGGGTTTGCGTCCTGATGGAGCCGGACTTTTTTCAAAAATGATCTTGACTCCCAGGTCGACCCAGCCTTGAGTGGGTACCAGGTGCAGTCCTGGGAAGTAAATGCAGCCGGCTTGATGCTGACCACATCATCCACCAAGTGCAGATTGGTCAATAAAAATATAGGTCTAGCCCAGTATTCCAAATACGCCTAAAGGCCTGGAAAAGGGTCCTTTACAGTTCCAGAATTGTACTGTTAAGCAAATATTGCAGTAATACAAATTATAATGTGGTTTTATTTTTCATTTTAAAAAGTTAGTTTGCAGTGTGTGAGTATTGGTTTTCTACGCTCCTAATAAGGAAGTAATGTCTGCTTCTTCATCAGAGGGTGGTTGGAATGTATGTTGTGGTTTACAGCTAGACCGCAATATCTGTTGCCATTCAACACAATACAAACTATTTCAGCAAGTCCTTAATCAGTCACTTTTCACGACATGCTGTTAAGAGGTAGTGAGTCTGGTCTTTACCACTAACACAGGGCGCTCTAGAACCCACACACAGGGGAAAGTACTGTGATTTTTTTGCAGTATTACATTGTACAGTGTATGCAGAATTCTGCAGGCCATTGGAGGTCGTAGGTCAGCCCTCTTTTCATGTGTGTTGTGTGTGTGTGAGAGAGAGAGAGAGAGAAGATGGCTGACCTGTGAAAATAGGGCTGACCTCTGTGCGTGTGTGCGTATATATATATATATATATATGTGTGTGTGTGTGTGTGTGTGTGTGTAAAATATTCAGCAGTGTAGGATTCTGGAATTAGCTAATTTCGTGTTTTGTTTACAATTTATGAAGTGTTTGTTAATATATATTTTTTTTTTCATGTTTTAAATTTAGGTAATTTGTCACGGTCCTCAAGATATTCGAACTGTTGGTCTTCAGAAAATAATCGTCAATTACCAGCTGCTCAGTATTGCTGTAAGTAAATGTATAATGGATTCTCTTCATCTTTCTAGCAAGGAGCTTGTTGATAAAAAGTGAATGAAAAAAAAGGATTACTGCAGTCACGCTGGTATCTAGAAAATAATCCACTGAACTGTAACTACAAAGTTTAATGAAGGCGGAAAGGGGACAAAACACATGCACACGAACAGATGTTTTGGCAGTAGCCTTTGTCGACAAAAAATGTGTTTTTGTTGATAAAGGCTGCTGCTGAAACTTCTAATTGTTCCTGTGCATTTTTGTTTCTCCTTCCTTCCTTCTTTTTCTTCTTCTTCGATCCTTCTGTCAAAAAACTTATTTCCGGAAGCCAGTAGCCTGTATTAAAGCTTTCGTGCAGTCCAAATCTTCTCGTGTACCATTCAGCTTTGTCTTCATTGTGGTCGGAACAGGCCAGATTGCGTCTCTGTTGTCAGCATACAATTGACAGTGTTGGAGCACGTGCTCAGCATTTTCGAGTGCCACGCTGCAGGGACACAAATCCATTGTTCCTACACCACTGAAAAGTGGGAACATGTATTGACGAAGCCTGTTGTTTCCCCTTCCCACCGTTGTTAAACTTCTTAGTCAGTTCATTGGACCATGTGTCAGGAAGCCTTTTCGGGCACTGCTGATAAAGTTGGTAAACAGAACACTGACTAAATCGTGAGAACAAACCTGACGTCTGTATAGAATGTATTACAGAAACTAAAGAAGCATTTGATAAAGTCGACTTTGACTTTTATTGGCAGAAAAACATACTGGCATGGCACAAGAAATAAAACTAAGCTGTCAGCCCACTAAACTAACTGTCACTGTCCATCCAAATTTCTCTCTCCCTTTTCCCTCCCATTCAACACCAATGCTAAAATGTACAATGGTGCGCAAACATCTTTGAAAACAGTGCCACAACTGGGTCAATGACCGGGAGTGTGACATTTCATTGACACTATGCCAATGTCATCTAAGTGCTAAATCCTTGTTTTAAGAAAATTGGGCTTGAAAATTGAGATCTCTGAAAAATGTAGTTTTAAAAATAAAGTAATATTTTTTTACCCCTTTATGCGCATCAGGCATATGGGAAGAGCACCCATATTTTTACAGACCAATTGGCACTAGGTGGGTGATGTAGTCAGCTGGCCGTCTTTACTTCCCCAGGACATACATCCTGGTACCCATTTTAGGCTGAGTCGACCTTCGTCACCCCATACCATGATAAAAATCCACGCTCTAAAAAGTGTATGGTTGCATAAATAGTAATACTTTGTGTTGACCTATTTGAAGTATAAAATCACAAGTGAGGCTTTGAAATATTGTAAAGTGACAAATAACAGCCCTGAAAATGAAAATCTCAGAACTTGTACTTAGTGATTTTGACATAGGGCGAACAGTAAAGGAGTAGACTGAAATGGTGCATCACCTCTAGGGTGTCTCCGTCAGTTAGTCGTCAAACCATTCACCTTGGGCTCTGAAGATCGTCTATTCATTTCACGGATACTTTATTCTATGCATTGGTGCAGAGTTTACAGACATCCCTGGGGTTCATCATTGGAGCTATAAATGTGTGCTTTATGCAGGTCCCTAAGCAGGGACTAACTGTTCTGTAGAGAAAGAGACTACGCCATATTGGATTAACCTGGGATTTCAGGTTGTTTGTCTACTTCTGGACTTGAGTCTTGTTCCAGAACTTGAATTTTGCATCATCAGTTAGCAAGTCCTTTACAGAACATCACTCTCTCCACAGCAAGCCTGAAAGAATCTCTTTCCCTAGCCAGCTCTCCAGCCTCTTGCCCTTTCCCTAGCCAGCTCTCCAGCCTCTTGCCCTTTCCCTAGCCAGCTCTCCAGCCTCTTGCCCTTTCCCTAGCCAGCTCTCCAGCCTCTTGCCCTTTCAATGCCAATGCATATTCAATGTCCTACATCCATCTTCAGAGAGGTCGACCCTTGCCTCACCTTCCACAAACTGCACCCCCAGTCACCGTCTTTTCCAAGCCACTATGACATTTGATGTGGCCACAATACTCAGTCTCTCTCCATAGAATGGCAAGCCTACTGCCAAGAGCACCACACAAAGTGCAAACTCCTTAGCCTCAGATCTGCATAAAAATTGCACTTGCAAACTGAATGATGTAATCTATGATATAAACCCACTACATTCACAGTGTTATGCAAACAGCTTGACCACCTTGCCAATGAGACCTGAAATATGGATTTATTTGTGTTGTTAAACTATTGATGATTTGTCTTGCATGTACCTACTTATTTTTTTTTTCAAAAGTGACCTTGGTTGTTATTTTGACCAAGTCTCAAATGGGTACCAGGTGAAATCTTGGCTGAGTGCTGACTGGTCTGTCAAATATAGATCTGGTGTGAACCAAATGGTTGATGATTTGAACAAAGGATTAACATCATGACACAAGGGTAGTAACCCATAAATGCTCCATTCTACTTCTAACTAAAGCCTGAGTCTGAAGAATCTCAGCGCAGTGCATGAACTCTGTAGCACTGGCGAGGATCCTGAACTAGTTTGGGTAGATTTTTAACTCAGAATTTTAGCCTGTAGGCTACTGTTTTTTTATTTTTTTTATTTCCAACTGCCAAGGGATTTTTTACGCGTACAAAAATACACACAGGCATCCGGTCTTACTACCAAGAGACCAGGAGAAATTACTAGAAGTCCACGTGAAAAAATCCCAGCTTCACCAGGGCCTGAACACGGGACCTCCAGCACTTGAGACGGATGCCATGCCTCAAGATCACTCAGCCTCCCATAAATATAGATCTAATATTGTTAGCCCAATACGCCCGAAAGCGTGGAAAGTTCTTTTACTTGCATATGACACTTACTTAATGTTGAAGCTCATGTCTAATTCACATTTTCGTTTTTATCTTATTCCATGTTTTAGTGGATGAATGCAAGAACTCTTGTGTGTTTAGACAGAACTGAGAAGCTTCACGTGATTGATGTGCGGTCAGAGGAGGAATTAGAGGTGGTGTTTTTTCTTTTCTTATTTTTCTTATTTTTTTTTTTTCAATCCTACAGTGTCCAAAGAATAGAACAAAAGTTCATCATTTTGTTTCTATAATCCACATGTTAGTCATATGTTTTATATTTGTCACCATCTAACAAATTATTTCTTGTGAAATGCTTATTGGTTAGTCAGTCTATCCTCTTGAGCCTATGGCGGAGCATAGGGCAGAGGTCATAGCTCTCCATGTCTGGTGGCTCGCTGCCACTCGTTTTAGGTCTTGGATATTCATTAGGCCCATAGTTGAGCCTTCTCTGATAATGGTTCCACACAGGGTTCTCATGGTTTTCCCGGGTTTGTTTTCCCTTTGAGTGTCCATTTGGGGGCTTGATGGGGGAGTCTTGCCTTATCCATTTTGAGTGCATGGCCGATGTAGTTCCAGCAGTGCTGATCTTGAGATGTGTGACAAAACTGGGATGCATTGCTTATTTGGGATTCTGTATCCAGGATGTTGAGTAAAGAATTGACATCACAGCACTTGGGGCATTCCCTTGCATGCTCCCCCCTCATCTTCAGCAGCCAGCACAGAGTTCCAATACTGATGGTACCAGTCACAATATGTCCGTCTTGCCTTTCCTCTAAGTGTAGTGAGCCGGCCAGACCCTCTGGTTACACCCAGGCACCTCATTCTCTCCAGGCCATAATAATAATTTTTCTCTACTAATTCCTTTGCTTGTTCCCAAAGGGCCTTGACCACGTCTGGCTTGTCGTGTATCATGTATCCCCCCTTCTCGGTACCATCCTATCACTCGACTGTTCTCAGGCAGGTCAAGTGAGGTTAAATTTTCATTTTTTCCATCTAATTGTTTTTGTATTTATGTATTTTAGCATACGCAGTATACATTATTTTATACAACCCCCGTCACCGTATAATATTCCAATAATAATAGTTTTTTTTTCCCATGCGAATGGATTAATCATTCTCCCTCTATCTCTTATGAGAAAATTGGTATACATACTGTTTAGTATATATATTCAAGGATCAGGAATGGATTAAGTATGTATACAGAGGTACAGCTGTAACTGTTATTAAACTTTGTTTCCACAGAAACATGTGGGAATTTACATACTTTTTTTTTTTAAATTATTCTTATTCTTATTACGATGAATGTGTGTGTGTGGTGCCTTTGTTTTTGTTTATTAAATAAAACCACCATTCAGTGATGTTATATTCTGTAAGGTTATGTATCAAAATTTTAAATTTAAAAAAAAAAAAGGACATCACTCATATTTGCCATTATAATTGTTTAGTAGTTACTATTTGAAGCATGGGGTCGACACCCCACCTTTGTAAAAACTCCTTTCTCACAAAACAGATAGGCTCAGAATCAGATAGACCCCAGATTATTTGCATCATGTGGAGTAATTGACCGCAGAGAGAAAAAAACTGTACACAGAAGAGTTGAATTGGGGTAGACCACGAGGCAGACCAAGAAGACTGGAGAGATAATAAACAGGCAGACCTACAAACTCTTGGAGTCACCAAATGGAAAGAGAAGGCCAGTCAGAGAAATGAATGGAGTTAGATTAAATCTGCAGCATTAAACCTCAGGGGCTCAGAATCTTGAAGAAGAAGAAGAAGGAGATAGTTACTATCAAACTTTTTTTGACCAAAACGATTGAAAACTTACATACTGTGATGTAAAATATAATGAATGTTAGCTGCGTATCCTTTACAGGACATTGCAGAACCAAACCCCAGCATTTTTTGGCTATTGGGCTTTTTCTAGGCAAATTTACGTCTAGTAGGTTGCCATTGCTTTCTGGATGGTCGGCTTCTCGATAACACTGTCAAAACCAATGCAAGGTGCAAGGCTTGTAGCTGGGATCGATCCCGGCACCCTGGTATTGTGCAACGCCTTAGCCACAGACGTTTGTACCAATGTATAAAGTATTTGTTACAGGTAATTGATGTTTCTGGGACCCAGCTTGTGTATGGCACTAGTTACTTCAAATCTCTTGCCACTGGGGGAAATGTCAGTCAAGCATTGGTATGTACATGTTTTTTATTTTTATTTTTATTTTTTCAACTTTTCCCCCTCCAGGTTTGCAAGATTGCAGTCTGTAGGATTAATATCTCAAATATGAGAATCAAACAGGTACAAACCCCGGAAACCCTGTTCAATTGTAGAGCCATATAGCACAGTTACATTAGGGCACGAATCGGGTATGAAGTAACAAGCAGTCCAGTGTGACATGTTTTTATTTGACAGCAACAAAGTTCATAATAATGACTTGTAGTATTCAATCTAACAGAAGGTAGTACAACAGGAGGTTTATGATCATCAGAAAAGCCATCCCCTTTAAGAAAGTTTTTCTTTGTTCTTTGGAAGGGGGAGGCCCATCTGGATTATGACTCAAGTTTCTTTCTCCTGTTGTGTATGTGTACCATTGTCAGAGACCTGTTTACTGCTGTTGAGGCAAATGGCTCGTGGCAGCTCCATGACAGAAACGTCTATTCCTAAACATAACTAAGCCATCACGGTCAGACCATACACATCATTTTTTAATATAATTGTCAACAAGCAGTGAGGAAATTTTCCCCAGAGGTGGCTCACAGCCCTACCCCAACTGGCCAGAGGGCTTTACAATCACCACTCACACACTGGCCATCCAGTTGTTCCAGGCATTACCCGGGTCTGAACCAAAAGACTGAGCCTCTATAACCGCTTTCGGTCTGAAGAGATTTTAACATTGCCATGGTTTAATACTTCTTGATCAGTCTGTTTATATTTCAGTATATTCTTTGTAGTGATAATAAATCCTGTACCGGCTTGCTGGGAATTTTGGAATGATCCACGACAGCTACAGTAACGGTACATAGCGAAAGGCAGCACTGTGGTTCACCAAACCACAGCGGTCCCATAGCGAAAGGCAGCACCGTGGTTCACCAAACCCTAGCCACCCTTTACCTTGACCCATGACGGCTACAGTAATGGTCCCATGCCCTAGCCATCCCTTACCTAGTCCAGTTGACTGAATTATGTCCTCACCAATATAGGTTACGCCTGGCTAGTGTAGCCATTACGGGTGCTCTAATTATAATTTCTGTGCAAGTTTAACAGGGTATCTCGAATCTGCTTGGTTGTTCGAGCATCCGTATAAAAAGTTAGTTGTGAATCCTTTACAGAACTTTGCAGGACCAACCCCAGCATTTTTGGCTGTAGTGGTTTTTCTAGTCAAATTTTACATTCAGTAGTTTGCCTTTGCTACTGAAGGGTCAGCACTCAAGACCACTGTTGAAACCAATGCAAGACAAATCATCCGCAGCAGGGATCGAACCCGGCACCTCAACATAACGAAGCATGTTCGCAGCGCCTAAGCCATAGATGTCGTCATCCACAAAGAAATGTTTTCATATCAGGATATATGGTAAACCTGTAGGTAACAGTCCAGAGGGCCGATCGATACGACATTAAATAATGAAGACATGGGGGTTGAGCTTTTAGAGGCTACTAAATTCAGTTGTGTTATCTTATAATGAGAATTCAGATTCACAGAGCTACAGTGTAAAAGACTACATTTTCAAATGAAGTCTGTGTGTGCACAACAATCTATTATTAATGCCATGTTATTGTCATCTACAGGCATTTGCAGGCGACCAAGCCTGCTATCAGTCAGTGATCAGTCATAGTGGCCAGCTGTTTTTGCTTGGAACCAAAGCTGTACATATGTTTTCTATTCGTACATGGAGAGAGGTTTGTATTTGTGTCACAATATTATGATTATGCTAAACAAAACAAAAGAAATAACTCTTTGAGTCCCAGGGGGTTTAGCAGTACAGGCCCAGAGGGTAGTAAAAAAAGTAATAAAATCGGTGCATCATGCGTTCATTGGGCTTCTAGGTAGGAACCTATGAATGTATGATGCGTTCCTTGGGACTCAAAGAGATAAGACAGTCATCCCCTTGTGGGTTCCAGGCCTCTTTGAAGGGGTGTGGGGGAGGGGTTGTGTGAGTAGACAAATGGTCCCATAACATACATGTCATGAAAGATGAGGTATTAAGGATTTGCTCAAGTTAACTGAAAAGGTGTATATAACACAGCCTGTCTACAAGCCATAACACAACATGATAACTGCCCTTTTTCAGAAAGATGGTCTTTCAAAGAACATTGAACGATTAAAATGTATTTGCTTCTTGGTAAAATTAAAAAATAAGAGGAACGCACAGACCTTAGCTAATTGATAACCAGAATGTAGATAGACAAATATTTTATCTTTCTGTTCACAGAGAATCAGTGTTTTGGTCAAAGAGAACCGTTATCAGGAGGCACTGGCACTTTCTCTTTCCTTTTATAAGGGAACAGCAAAAGCAGTGATTGGTCTGACAGGCACGCAGGCCAAGAGAATGGAGATTGTGTCTGCTGTGGTAAGGAAGATTACAGCATTTCTTTGTTATATTTTTAGCTTGACAGTTTATTTATAATTTGTAATGTAGTTGTACAACAGTAAGAAAGAGACAAACACTGTTCTTTGGCCACATAATGAGAAGAGAGACATTGGAGAACATGGTGACAACTGGAAAGATCAGTGGAGAAAGGGGTAGATGCAGACCAAGAGTGATGATGCTGGATGGGCTAAAACGATGGCATGGAGGGATATCATCAAGAGAGCTGTTCCAGTCAACCAGGGATCGTGATCTGTGGAGACGCATGAGCGCCTACGCCAGTTGGCAGTGCACATGATGATGAAAGTAGTTGTAAATGTCTGTATGTGTATATCTCATTTATAAGGTCATTATTTGTTTAGTTAAATCTACCCTGGGTGTAGAGGCTTGCCAAACAGATCACCAAAGAGTACGCCAGACCTCTCTTCTTTTTCGCTTTCTTCCATTAGAGTCCACTTTTAGGCAGGTACTGTCAGATTTTTGTCTTCCCAGTGAACCCTGGGTCGCTCTGGTGGTCTGGTCTCCTGGTTCTTGGTCTACCATGGTGGCCCAGACTCCACTATTCTGCATACAAGTCCAAACCATCTAACTATGACTAATCCACTCAAGTTTGTAAAGCCTGGATTTCAAGATCATGACGTATTGTCTAGCTGGGAACTTTGTCCCATCTTGTCACAGGCAACCTATCTCATTTCTGAGCCCTGAAGCTGGCTTCTGTGGGCTGTTTTCTCAAAAGGTAAATAATGGTGTAAATTATGTTCACTTGAGGCCTAGATTTAGTTTGTTTATTGTTTAACACTAGCTGGCACTTAGATACAAACATTGAAAGTTTGATTTGTTCTGTTTGTGATTCAATACAAACTAGCACTTAGATACAAACATTGAAAGTTTGATTTGTTCTGTCTGTGATTCAATACACACTAGCACTTTGATACAAACATTGAAAGTTGGATTTGTTCTATCTGTGATTCAATATAAACTAGCACTTAGATACAAACATTGAAAGTTGGATTTGTTCTGTCTGTGATTCAATATAAACTAGCACTTAGATACAAACATTGAAAGTTTGATTTGTTCTGTCTGTGATTCAGTACAAACTAGCACTTAGATACAAACATTGAAAGTTTGATTTGTTCTGTCTGTGGTTCAATACAAACTAGCACTTAGATACAAACATTGAAAGTTGGATTTGTTCTGTCTGTGATTCAATACACACTAGCACTTTGATACAAACATTGAAAGTTGGATTTGTTCTGTCTGTGATTCAATATAAACTAGCACTTAGCTACAAACATTGAAAGTTGGATTTGTTCTGTCTGTGATTTAATACAAACTAGCACTTAGATACAAACATTGAAAGTTGGATTTGTTCTGTTTGTGATTTAAAAACAAACTAGCACTTAGATACAAACAGTGAAAGTTTGATTTGTTCTGTCTGTGATTTATTACAACCTAGCACTTAGATACAAACATTGAAAGTTTGATTTGTTCTGTCTGTGGTTCAATACACACTAGCACTTTGATACAAACATTGAAAGTTGGATTTGTTCTATCTGTGATTCAATATAAACTAGCACTTAGATACAAACATTGAAAGTTGGATTTGTTCTGTCTGTGATTTAATACAAACTAGCACTTAGATACAAACATTGAAAGTTGGATTTGTTCTGTCTGTGATTCAATACAAACTAGCACTTAGATACAAACATTGAAAGTTGGATTTGTTCTGTCTGTGATTTAATACAAACTAGCACTTAGATACAAACATTGAAAGTTGGATTTGTTCTGTCTGAGATTCAATACAAACTAGCACTTAGATACAAACATTGAAAGTTTGATTTGTTCTGTCTGTGATTCAATACAAACTAGCACTTAGATACAAACATTGAAAGTTTGATTGGTTCTGTCTGTGATTTAATACAAACTAGCACTTAGATACAAACATTGAAAGTTGGATTTGTTCTGTCTGTGATTCAATACAAACTAGCACTTAGATACAAACATTGAAAGTTGGATTTGTTTTGTCTGTGATTTAATACAAACTAGCACTTAGATACAAACATTGAAAGTTTGATGTTCTGTCTGTGATTCAATATAAACTAACACTTAGATACAAACATTGAAAGTTTGATTTGTTCTGTCTGTGATTCAATACAAACTAGCACTTAGATACAAACATTGAAAGTTGGATTTGTTCTATCCATGATTTAACACAAGCTAGAACCTAGATAAAAACATTGAAAGCTGGATTTTTTCTGACAATGATTCAACACAAACTAGCACTTAGATATAAACATGATGATGTGATGATCTTGTACATGTTCATTTTTTTTTGTTTTTTTGTCTTTAAAATTCATATCTTGTTGTTTGTCAGATGGTTGAGCTGTTGATGGAGTACGTGGACTTGGCCATAACAAAGACACCAAACAGTGGGAAAATAGAGGAGCTTGAAGATTATTATCAGGTGAGAAAAGGCTTCTTTATGCTCATCAGCTGTAAACCTGGCAGGAAGTTCTGATTGGTCGTCCACTTGTGGACTTTGGTATCCTTCCAGAATTTGACTTTTTTGCATGCACATCCGTATTACAGATCTGGCCTAATTGTATGCAGACTGTTAGTTTCTTGCCTGTCTGGCAGATGCACTCTGACTTCAAAGGAAACACCATTAATTAGTTGCCCTTGACAACCTGCTTGTTAGGGGCAGCAGTGGAACTCTTTTTTATATTTTTTCCCCAAAGAAATGGGGGCCCGGAACTCACAAGGGGAGAGAAGAGTGATTGTGAAGTATGTGAGATGTGACCAAAAGTCACCCAGAGTGATTGTGTGGAATTCTTATGTGGTAAGTTCTTCTTATAGTTCATTTTGTGGGGCATTGGTAATCATATCTATCCACAACCGTAATTTTTGTCCACTTTCACTCAGTTCTGACACTGATGATCTTCCAGCATCTCCTCTCTTGGTCTGCCTCTGCCTCTTTTCCCCTCTAACTTTCCCATTGTCACGATGTACTCCAGTTTTCTCCTTCTCAGGAGATGACCAAAGAATGTAGATTGTCTCCTTCTGATGAGGAAGAGTCAGTTTCTTTCAAGATATTTTCGTTACTCTTTTTATTTATCAAGGATGTTCTCATGTGTCTATAAAACCATATGTCTGCCGTTTCTGCATAATTTTTCACTAATTGACCAACTGTCCATCATTTACTTCCATATATTAGATAGGATTTCTATAGCTCTTAACTCTTTCAGTCCAGATGGTTTAGCATTAGAGACCCAATAGTTAGTAAACAGAGATGTAATATTGGTGCATCTTGCATTTACTGGGCTTCTAGGTAGGACCTATGAACATATGATGCACTTCTTGGGACTGAAAGAGTTAAGAATTCTTTTTTCACCTCAGTGGAGTCAATTAAAGGTGACTAAAAAAAATTTTTTTTATTTATGATGAAGACTACCCCTCAGCTAACTTGTATAATAGTTGACTAGCCTTTGTTGCTGATTTTTTTTATACAAATTGTATGAGTATCTGACCCTAAGGCTACCAAACAATCAGTGGCCTTTTTGACATGTTTGAATAGGGTGCTGTGTTGACTATGTAGTCTGAAACAAAATAATATGCTCTTTTTGGTAATGATGGACAAACAGCTTACCATGACAATAGTCGAAGGTTCAGTTCTCTGGAACGGCAGGACTGTTCTTCAGACCTGTGTGTATCTGAGGTTGACCAGCTTTGTAAAGTGGATGTTATGGATTCTTTCTGGGTGAAAAGATAGTGATGGGAAGAGCTTATTATTGCCCTTTATCATCATGTACTGACCTTGTACATTTGAAGGTCTGCTAATTTGAACTTCTGCTGTAGTAGTATGATGCTTAAGTATCTGAGTAATAAATACTTTATTTCTACAGGAAATAGTGCCTGTCTGTGTTGATTACTGCCTCCATCTTGGAAATCTGTAAGTTGATATGTCTGCATTTGCATTTGTTTTTATTCTTTATCAGGCTGTTTAAAGTCCAGAGCATCATCATCATGTTATACCTTACATAGGAGACCACAAGTAGTCTGTGAAGGTCATGGCAGTCACCAAAGCAATAACATGTCTAGAGACACAGACTTTTTCCTGCGCATGTTTTCTCAGTGACTCAATGAGTATGCTGAGGAAGATAAAGAAGGGTTGGGTCTGAAGACAGTGGCTGGAGTCTCTGAAGCGGTCGGGGTTGACACATATCAGTTTCATATTTGTGCTAGGGCATGCAGGCATGCCAGGAAATGAGCAAGCTGATAGGCTTGCAGGTTAAGCTGCTGTGGAGGGCAGACGAGCAATGGACCATGCTGCTGTTCTGAATGGTCTTTGAGAAATAAGACGTTTGCCTGAATCAAGTGATGACTGTGAAGATGCACCCATGACCAGACTGCAAGAACAGCATGTTAAAAGAGATGCGGCCAGACAAGAGCACTATGCAGGAAGCCAAAGAAGAACAAGAAAACATGGAACTGGGATCATGAGCCGCTACACCCCGCAGGATTTACTAAGGGGGGGATCTGAGCACTTATGGATGGAATGATTCGATGTGCATTAAGGATAATCTGTCAACTTACTAACTGTAGGAGATCACAGTTAATTTTTCCAATCCATTTTTTTTTCCTTCTCCTTTTCGTTTGTCTGAGTGAAGTAATTGTGTGTGCCTGTTTACAGCAAAGGAGGCTTTCATAAATGCAGAGCCGATAGATGACACTGTGGTCCTGGGCTCACCCAAGGAATCATCACATCCTGCACATGACTGTTAACCTCACATTCGTATGTTGAGCTTCCCACTAGTCATGGTCTGTGTCCTCCGGAGATCAGCAGGGAGCAGCCTGCAGATTCGGGGCCACTCTATCCTACCCTGTGCAGTTGTTTCATCATCATGTTTGGAATCCAGTCTAGCACTTTGGCCTTTCTCATCAAAGTTCAATAAACTTCATTGCACCACTCTTGATCTCATATGGCTCAGTGTCTCCACAGCACAGCTTGCAAGCTGCCGAGAGTGTCCCACAGAGCTTGAACTCCAATGATAATCGCTGAGGATTTCTGCAATATTACACTTGTGAACTGTACAGTGCAGAGTGAAGTGAACCTACAATCTTCAGAGCCTGAGACAAACTGCTTAACCTCTTCACCAACTGTACTAATACAGGGTCATAGAGAATGAATCCTGGGGTTTTAAACTCAAATGATAAAAGAAGTATTTAATGGATATACATGTGTGGTGTCTTAGAATGTTCAGAGTTGTTTTAAAGTTTTGTGTGACTGGGAGGGAGGCTTAAAATGGCTCTGGGAAAATAAGGACAATCTGGCACCTTAAAAAGAGAGTTGCTGCAACAGTTGCATCTGTAACTCTGTACATGATTCAGAAGATGTGACAAGAGATCAGATGACATCTCTAGACATCGCTAGAGCTACAAATTGTGGCCATATTGAAGTTTAAGTTAGGTCTAAAATTTTAAATTTTTCTGAACATTTAAATCGCTACACATATATATTTATTTAATACATCTTTTATTAAGATCCCAGCAGTCGTTCATGATTACCCTGTATGAAATTGGTAACGGCATTATTCTCTATTGATTGATAAAAAAGCAGAAGAATAAAAATTAACACAAAGCTGTTATGTCATTATTTGTTACAACCGTCTTGCAGTCTTTTCATCCATTCCGTTCTATCCTATCCAGTCCTTTCAGTGTCATGAATGGAATCTAGTTTGCACTTTTGGCTTCTCTTATCGGCGTTCATTTTAGGGTTTCTCTTCGACATCCTTGTTTCATCAGTTCATTTGTTTCTCATTTCAGTGCATACTTTTGATTCTCTGCTGGCTTCTTCTCACTGTCTGCCCAGTATAGTGTCATTGTCTTTGTCTTATAACTATTGATATGAGGAAGAGGAAATATTATTTACAAAAAGTAAATTAGAGGACCCTTTTCCCTGCCTTCAGGCATATTGAACATAAAGTGATAGACCTCTATTTTACAGACCAGTTGGCACTCGGTGGGTGATGTGGTCGACATCACGCCGGCCACCTTTACTTCCCAGGACTTTATCTGGTACTCATTTAGGGCAGGGTCAACCTGGGAGGCATGGTGATTTTTTTATTGATTTTTTTTTCAAGTCTAGCTGTGTTTGGATGGGAACTCATGACCTTTAGATGCGCAAGGTAGTGGTCTACCCACTGCACTGTGGCAGCTTCCAGAAATTTTACTGATGTGGTTAATATCCTAATGGGATATAGGGACTCAATCAAACCACACCGAGTCCTTGGCACACTTATTAAGGACTAGTTGAGTTTAGCAGCTAAAGATTTCCTCAGAATTTGATTTTCAGACTAATGCCAACTCTCCTTAGTTGCCTTTAAGCACATACCAAATAGCTTCAGACTTCTGGTCAGTATGGAGGATATGGAAGTTTACTGGTTTTAGTTGTGGTAAGTTGTTGCTTTTGACAGTAGGTGGCCATTACATTTTCCTCCAAATGTAGACAGAAGGGATACAGTTTCATCGTCCAGCAACTGAATTGAGAGCATGGTATGACACTGTGAGCCGCATATTTCATTTGGAATGCTTTTTGACTGTGCTCAATGTGATGTCTGTTGTGAACTGCAGATTCAGGAAATGGCAAGTGGCCAGTTGCGACAAAGTTAGTAGTGCCTTATGTGATTAGTCGTATGTGCAACTACTGATCTGTTGAAACTGCTGCTTCCGTCGATGATGAATTGTATTTCTAGTGTTGCACTGTTTGTGTTGGAACTTCTAACGGCTGCAGTTAATGCATGTGTATGCTACTGGATTTGCTGAGACTGCAGTCTGTATCAATATATCCACAAGAGACAGTGATGGATATTCTTTGAGGTTTTTATTAGCACAGTAACGGAGCAGCTTTGATGTGACCCATTCGCTTTTAAGCTGGAACTGCGATTACCTGATTACTGACATGATAGCTTACTATTCTTTGCATCCATTTTGGGCCCTAATATCACAGCTTACTATTCTTTGCATCCATTGTGGGCCCTGATATCACACAGGTGAACAACAGATAAGTAGATATTGACATCAGCCTCTGTATTGATACAAAGATGTGTGCTAGCTGGATGTGAATGCTACAGGTATTAAGCTAGATTCATGGTAACAAGATATCATGGACCATTTTGCATTGGGGGAATCAGGAAAGAACTGGAACAAAGGAGGAAATTATTGCATAGGGTAAGAGCTGAGCATCTGAAAAGAAGCGCATTAAAAACATGCGTTGGCCACAGTGGTCTTGAAATCCCATACTCTAATTGTGAACGACTTTTCTTAATGTGAGTGGATGTTGCTAGTTACACTCACCATCGCCATGGGCAGGGATTTTCTTGCTTCTTATAGCACAATATAACACTCTCGTCTGGAAAGTCAGAAAATAAAAAGGAGGGTGTGACAACTTTGATAAATCACACAGGTGAAATTAATAAAATTGTTTAATGTTATAATATTAAATTTTTTTTTCCTAACAAGGGAGCTGTTATTCGATCGTATCTATGAGCGTTTCTCGAATGATGTTATTGCCAAAGGCACTTTCCTTGAGTGCCTGGAGCCGTACATGCAGTCAGACAGACTGACCTACATCCCTCCAGCTGTGATGAAAGACTTTGTTGACCACTATGAGATGAGGGGGTTGCTGGACAGTGTAGAATCATGCATAGTTCATCTTGACATCACCAGCTTAGATATACATCAGGTAGCCATGTTTTAACAGGCCTTTCATTATACTCATGCTTGTATGGAAGCCCTATAGATAGTTATTATTGTATGTAAGCTCTGTTGACCCTCATGTTTGTATATAAATTCAGTAGACAAACTCTTGTGTCTGTATGTAAACTTAGTAGATACTCATGTCTGCATGTAAACTCATTAGACACTCATATCTGTATGTAAACTTGGTGGAAACTTGTGTCTGTATGTAATTTTATTAGACACTCATGTCTTTTCGTAAGCTCATTAGACACTCATGTCTTTATTTAAACTCATTAGACACTCATATCTGTATGTAAACTCAGTGGAAACTTGTGTCTGTATGTAATCTCGTTAGACACTCGTGTCTGTGTGTAAGCTCATTAGACACTCATGTCTGTGTGTAAGCTCATTAGACACTCATGTCTGTAAGTAAACTCATTAGACACTCATGTCTGTACGTAAACTATTAGACACTCATGTCTGTATGTAAACTCAGTAGACACTTGTGTCAGTATGTAAACTCAGTAGACACTTGTGTCAGTATGTAAACTCAGTAGACACTTGTGTCAGTATGTAAACTCAGTAGACACTTGTGTCAGTATGTAAACTCAGTAGACACCTGTGTCAGTATGTAAACTCAGTAGACACTTGTGTCAGTATGTAAACTCAGTAGACACTTGTGTCAGTATGTAAACTCAGTAGATACTCATGTAGAGATTTTCATATTTTAACCACCTTCTCTAGGATCTGACAGTTTGGTCCTAAATGTATTTTAAAACAGTTGACTAGCTAGGAGTGTTTCCTTTAAAGTTGAAGTGCACCATCTACCTGAGAGGTGAGGAACCAGCATTCTGCACACAAGAAGCCAGATTTGTAAAACAGATATGCATGCAAAACTTTATTTCTGGAACAAGACTAAAGTCCAGAAGTGGATGAACAACAATAATTGTCCACCAAAGTTTACAACTGGTGAGCGCAAAGAAGAAGAAAAAGAAGAAAAAAAGAAGTATTTCTCGATGAATTCATTGACTATAAGCTTTACATTAGAGCCTATTTAATTTGTTTAAGATAACCTATTTAATATGCCAGAGACCTGAAAGGCTTACCTGGTCAACAAATGCCCGCAGAAGTCGGATGTATTGGCCAAAAGCAGCAAATATCGCAGCCATGCTGTAAACGGACATAACACAATTACATCTTCCATGAGTGCAGAAGAAGAAAGAAGAAGAAATGCCAGAGTGTTACACACAAATGGAGTTTTATAATATGGTCAGTTTCTTGATGTTATAACCATTGATGTTATAACCATTGATGTTATAACCATTGATGTTATTTTATAACCATTGATGTTATAACCATAGATGTTATAACCATTGATGTTATGTTATAACCATTGATTATTCATGTACACATTCCTGCAATGCCTAGGTTGTGAACCTGTGCTGGGGACATGGCCTGTATGATGCCATCATATATGTGTACAACAAAGGAATGGCTGACTTCACAACCCCCTTGGAACAACTTCTGACACAGTTGGGTTCTGCTCTCAGTACAGGAAAACAGTTAACTGGTATGTAGTATACACTCAGTGTTTTTTTAACCTTTTTGCTCAAAGGGTTCCAATTAAGTCCAGTTCCCCTTAAATGTCACTTTTCCGACTTGTCTGTAAATGACTTGCTTATGAGAAACATAGTAAATGCTGTTGGCTGTTTTTGTGCCTGTAGAAACGTTTAGGAGGTTCGGATATGAGTACATTAACTAAAATATCATTTGGTGGGGGTTGGGATCCTTTGAGTCAAATAGTTTTTTTTTTTTTTTAAACCAGGTTGATGTACTTTCTCCCATGAACCTCAGTGATAGAGGTCACAGCATGAGTCACCAAATACATATGTTTTTTAAGGGTCAGTTGAATGTGTTCCATTTACTGCTTCACCCTGTTCATGTGTATAGATTACTGTCGGTATAAAGGGGAAACGTAGATAAATACTACTTTATCTACTATATCCTGAAATACCAGGGCTTTGATTTTAACATCGGGCTGTTTAGAAAAAAACCTGCTCTGATGGCTCTTAGACAATGGTATGAGAGTCACACTGTGGAAGAGATCAGATCCTGGCAAAGAATAGATTATTTGGTGTTTGGACCAGAGTACATTGTAAATCATTAGATAGCAAATTTAGTTGACTTATTCTTTCTTCTTCTTCTTAATGTTCACTGACTAAATTCCAACAGAAAGTTTTGGTTGTTCGTCCACTTCTTGAATTTTGGCTCATTCAAGAACCTCAGTTTTACAGATCTAGGTTATTTGTATGCAGACTGTTGGTTCCTCGCCTCTAGGGTGAATGCACTCTGAATTAAAATTATCACTTTGTTAGGGAGCAGTGGTTCTATTTTTTTAACCCCCAGAATCTGGATTTTTTCATCGGGTACGCTGGTGTGTTGGGAAATGAACAGACAGACAGACTGGCTGGCTCTGCACAACTTGGTGGAATACTGATGCTTGAAAAGGCAGACGTAGTTAGTGCCTTGTGGAAGAGCGTGTACAGTTCGGAGGAGCAGATGGATCACCACAGTCTGGTAAGATTGATACAGGGAGGAGTGACGACAGGTTCTGGCAGATGCTCAAGGCTCAGAGGAAAGGCAAGACAGATGTTTAATCAGAATGCTACTGGCACCATTAGTATCAGGACTCTTCCTGGCTGCTGAAGATGGGGACGGAGCGCTTATGGGAATGCCCTGAGTGCTGTGATGTCAGTTCTTGAATCAAATCAACTCCCAGAATGGGGCTACGAAACCCACACAGCAAGAAGGACATCGGATCCCGGCAAAGTATAGATTATCTAAGTGTTTGAGCCATAGTACATAAATCAATAGATAAAATTTTTGTTAGTTACCTTTATTCATGTGTTTACTTGCTTATTTTTTTTTCTGTGTATGTTTTAGTAGCTATGATCTGCTTCATGTTTAGTGTCACATATTATATTTCATTAACTGTCATAGTTTTCCTCTTTCCGCAGACATTCATATCAAGCTAGGTAACAAATTACTTGTGTACATCAGGTATGTCTTCATGATTATTGTTGTAACTGTTGAAAAATCTTTTACGTTTTTTGTTTTTGTTTTCAAATTTTGTTTGTTGTAATAGGAAGTTATGGAAGTCGTGTAATGGATAAAAACCAATAATGTGATTTTGAATTTTTAATTTTAAACTTTCATCATCATCATATCCAGTTGCATCGTTTATATTGTCACCAAGCACTTGCAGTCTATTTGTCCATTCCATTCTAACCTGTACAAAATTGTTTCAATATCATGGATGTAATCCGGTAAAGCACCTTTGGCCTCTCTCAACAATTTTAATCTTATGGTTCTCTTGAATGTCTTTATTTTCCAAGTCCATTTGTTTCCCATTCAAGTGCCTGTTTTGTAATACATTGTTTGCTTTTCCTCCAGATGTGCCCAACATTTGGCCAGTTCAGCCACTCTCTAATATAAAACCAGTAAAAGTTATCTTGTGCAAACCAAACCAGTTGCATTTGTAGTCTTCTGTTCTTTTTTTTTTTCTTTACTCCTGAAATGCCTCGTGGCGTCAGGGCATTAAGAGATCTCTGGAAGGGGCCTTTCTGTTTGATTCGTATAAAGTACTTTTCAGTGTCTCAGATATATGTGTGGTCCATCTTCTGCATGGTCGACCACTGGAGCTGTTACCGCTGCATCTGTATAACATTGCTCTCTGTGGGGCCCTGTCTGATGCCAATCTTGTTACATGGCCAAACCATTTGGTTTGCCTACCTAAAGTTGAATATTTGTTCTGTGTCAACTCTCTTCCTGATGTTATAATTCCTATGTCAATCTTTCTTTACACCTGGTATAAATGTAAATATTTCATTTCTGTCATGACTGTTTTCCTTCTGTCTTCTGAAGACGGTGTCCATGTTTGACACTGATAGCATAGTATTGGTAAGAATATTGGGTTGAACAGTGTTCTTTTAGTGTTCATATTCACATGCTTGCATTTCAAAATTGGTCCCATTTGGCCTAAAACTTGATTGGCCTTATTGCAACTTTGTTGGACTTATTTATTAATTCTTCCGTTTTCTGAAAAAATGCTCCCCAGAAATGTAAAATCCTTTGCCTGCTTTAACTGATGTTCATCAGTTTTGGTGGTGGTTCTTCTTCTTTTTCTGGAGAATATTATCACTTCTGTTTTGTTTACGTTGATCTTCATATCATGGCTGTCGCATTCTGAGTGGAGTCTGTTAATATGTTTTTGTATTTGTACTACTGCTGGTGCTATGATTGTCTGGTCATCTATTGGTGGTCATAATGCTAAATTTATGGTAGGGGGTGATCTGATTGTTGGTGTCTCTGTTAAACATATCTCAAGAAACAGCTTACTGGAAATTGTTTACAAGATAGTGACAGACATATCACAAGAAATAATTTGTCAGTGACAAACATTTCACAACAAACGATGTGCCAGACAGGGACAAACACATCACAAGAAACAGTTTCCTGAGTGGGTTCCGGGACCCTATTATAGGAAAAACAAGAAGGACCCACTGCCTACCCAAAAGCATGTCTTAAGAGTCGACTAATTGGGAGCTTCTTTCGAAGTCGGAGTGCGTCTGCCTGAGAGGCAAGGAAACAGCAGTCTGCATACAAATGAGTCAGATCGGTGAAACGGATGCACATGCAACACTCAGGTTCTGGAACAGGACTGCAGTCCAGAAGTAGATGAACTACCAGAACTTTCCGCCAGAGTGTACAGCTGGTTAATGTGAAGAAGAAGGAGAAGACAAAATAAACAGTATGTTGACATATGTTTCTGAAGAAACAGTTTACTAGACAGTGACAAACATTTCACCAGAAACACACTGATTATAATTATTTTGTCTCCTCTCCTCCTGTATTCCTCGACTCCCTCAGTTGCTGCTTGGCAGGTAGAGCTTACCCATTGGGAGACATTCCTGAGGACCACGTTGAAAGGGTCAAAGATGAGGTGATGCTTACTACCAATAAAAATAATAATATGTTTGAGGGATGTATTGTGGGATAACTGGAGCAGTTTATGTGTAGTTGTGAAGAAATCAGGAACTTATGAAGATTGTATGAAGATATGAGGATGGTATTAAAATATGGATTATGTGATGATTATTTAAAGATATAAATGAGGATTAAATGAAATGAGGATTGTGTGAAGTTATCAGGATTGTCCAAAGTCATAAGAACTGTAAAGTTATGAAGATTATTTGAAGTTAGGATTGTATGACATTATGAAGATTGTAAGAAGTTATAAAAGTTGTATGAGCTATGAAGATTGTATGCAGTTAAAGGATTGTTATGAAGTTATGTGGATTATATAATTATGAAGATTGTATGAAGGCATAAAGACTGTGTAAAGTTGTGAGGATTGTATGACATTTGACATTTTTTCTCAAGGTATGAGCATTAGGTAAAGTTTTGAGATTCGTATGAAATTATAAAGTATTTTAACACAATAAAGATATAAAATAACAAGAAATGGCTAAGGTCCTTTACTTATTTATTTAAGAGGTTTGAACAGGATATCTATTGTGACCACTGGAAAGATCTGTGGAAAAAGAGACAGACAAAGTCACCCACCCCCCCCCCCCCCTTCCCCCCACCACAAAAAAATAGATTTTTAACAACCTTGTGTCATGAACGGGAGTCAGCACACAAACTGATACATGCTGTCGAAGATTGCATATCGTGCAGGGACTTGATTGTCAATGCCAGTCGACAAGGCACCTGATGATCATGATGTATCTGGTAGCCATAATGTATCGAAGAAAATAAAATAAAAGACTCTTTTCCTACCAAAACACATTGGGTACCTGGGGCTAGACGCATATTTATTATAGACCAATCAGCATTTAATGGGTTATATGGTCAGCATCACGCCGGCCAACTTTTACTTTTCCAGGGAATTTCCTGATACTCATTTTTGACTGAATTGACCTTGGAGCCATGGCCCATTATATAACAACAACAAAAATCAGACTACGTAAATGTGAACTTAATACCTTTTGGCTGGCAGCCAAGAATCGGCTGAGATGTAGAATAATATAAATAGTTTTGTTTTCTGTAGGTTTTCCGTTGTTTGACTTGTCTTCACACCAACACTCCTGCTCAAGGTAAGGATCACACTGAATTTTTTTTTTCTTTATCTTAATGATCACCGCATTAAAAACTCTAGTTTTTAAACATCCAAAATGTAAAGGAATTTCCATGCACATTCATTAAGGAGTCAAGCTGCATGGGTGTATTCGTTATCGATGTCCAGTCATGGCAGTCTGTGGGACCAACTAAATCTGGAATCTCTAACCCTTCACGGTTATAAGCTTTTCTGTCTGGCCATCGATGTTGAAGATCATGTCTGACATACTTTGCCGGACCTCGGTTTTGTGTTCCACGCAGATAACTGTAGCAGTCTTATCCTGGACATTCGATGTTTGATTCATGCTTTATCCTGGTCTCCTGAAGCATTAGGATTATAAAGTCACATATTATATTTATCAGTGCACGTATATATGTTGCTTTGAGTTTCACTAGTTCCAGTAGCGTACATGAATGAACTGATTGAATTAAAAAAAGGTGTATGAGAACATTGAATGAACACAGAAAAACTTCGCAATAAATTATCAAATGAAAGAACACAGTAAAAATGACACAGTGAATGAGTACAATGAATTAACAAAGTGTATGAACGCATGGAATAAAAACAGTGATTGAACCCAATAAATGAACATGGTAATTGAACACAAATGAGCATGGTAATTGAACACAATAAATGAACATGGTAAAGGAACACAGGAAATGAACATAGTGCATGAATTAACACAGTGATTGATGATTGATGGATTGATGACATTAAAGAGCTTCTACATCGACGCAGAATGACAGTAGCCATCGCTGCCCATCTAGACTGCAAACTGCTCCTCCCCACAAGGCTTAACGGCAGAAGTGGAAACTCATTATGATGAATACATTAAATGAACACAGTGAATGAACACAATAAATGAACATGGTGAATGAACATAGTAAATGAACTGAATAAATTAAACACATTGAATGAACACAGCAGATGAGGACTGAGGACAGTGGCAAGAGCTTCAGTCTCCAGCAGAAGGAGGGCGATTATGTCTGATCCAGACAGCTTTGTTATCAACCCAGTCCCAGCAACATGGGTTCTAAAACTTTTCATGTCAAGTATGTTCTTCTATCTTTCTACTTCTTTCTGTGAGTGCCGATTACTACATTTTCTGATTGTTTATTTTATATATATATATATACACACACACACACACAAACGCGTGCGCACATACACACACATATATATATATATATATATATATATATATATATATATAACATTTTTAGGGCCTCAAGGGTCTCCCCCTGTTTATTTATTGTTTTTGTCAGCTTTCCGTCTTTCCAAATGATGCTGTTATATTGTGCTATATAGAGAGGCCATGGGAATCCCCATCCATCCTCTCCATAACGCAATCGCTGGGCAGTATTGTAGAGACCATGTGTTGCTCATGCAACGAGAACCCTCTCACAGCCCGCCTTGTTTACTCCAGAGGAAAGATAATACAATAAATATTTTAAGAACAATGCATGCTGCAGAAGCTGCCAGATCACAGGAGCAGTGCTATATCTGTCTGCCTGTCAGAGCTTCCCTCCTAGACCAGCTGCCAGATATGAGGCTAAGTGCCTGGTCTGCCCTGTCATAACATTATAACTTTCAGGTTGCATTTCCTGTTATACACACAGTTTTAAAACACTACGCCGAAAGACAAGACAGTGTATCCTTGTCCAGGTTGGAGGATATCAGGGGTGCAACCTGGAGCTGCCAGATATGAGCATTTTAATAATCAACACAGAACAGGTGTTTTGAGATGTTTTACATGTGTGTAGCTATTGAGGAGGTGATAAGAGAGCTATGGAACTTAAAAGAGTGCTGTGATGTAAGTCCTTCTAAATCACATGTGTAATCCTAGAATGTACATTAGATCTATGCTTCTGCAACAGAGTTTGTGACCTGTGTTCAGATTGTACTTCTATAATCTGTGGAAGAAGATCGAAAGCACTTAAGGTTTCCTTATTTTAAGAATCCATTTCTTAGCATGCCTTATAGCCAGTTTGTTTGTTTTGTTTAAATCTTAGATGAGCCTGTATATCCATACTTGAGGACATTGCTCAAGTTTGACACCAGAGAATTTCTCAATGTTTTAGCATTGGTAAGATCTTTCTGTTTAATTAATATAATATTATGTGTGTTGAGTATGGTCGTTAAATTATAGACTTTTTTTTTTTAATGTAACAGTTTTTCAGTTGAAGTCATCATTAGATCATCATCTTGTAGTAGGTCATTTGCAGAAGATCACTCCCAGCATAGACCACTTTCACATCCCTTGTCATTTCCCTTGCCTCATGTAATTTCATATCTAAAGTTATCACTCCCAGTATGGACCACTTTGACATCCCTTGTCATTTCCCTTGCCTCATGTAATTTCATATCTAAAGTAATCACTCCCAGCATGGACCACTTTCACATCCCTTGTCATTTCCCTTGCCTCGTGTAATTTCATATCTAAAATTTTTCCAGTATTCTGTGTCTATCTTCATGTTTGTTGACCCTTGCTCCCTCTCCCAGGAACTATCCCTTATACTGCATTTCTTCTAAGCATTATGATGTTGAAAATTGGTCAAAGTATGTCATTTGTTGAGACATGATTCTATGTAGGAGCCACTCTAGCTTTTCGGATCTTGTAGAATGTCAGCATTATTCTGCATCTTGGTCCGTGGTATTCTAAATTGTTCCTTATATTTAGTTTCAAAACTTCCAGATTCCCCTTTTCAGTGATTGTGAAAATGATCAAAGCTAACATCTGTATAAATAGTTCCCACTGTTGTTAATCTTGAAACCAAGATATTCACAGTATGTGACATTTTTAATATCTTTATTATTTATTGTCCATTTGTTGTGTAGTTTTGACATGTAGTTTTGTCTGGTGGTTTTTAAAACTTAAAAATAAGTAGAAAACTGCAAATGAAAGTATTGAAAGGCAGTAGACCATGAGGCAGACCAAGAAGACAGTGGAGAGATAATATACAGGCAGACCTACAGTCACATGGAGCCACCAACTTGGAAGAGAAGATCCGTCATAGGGCTGAAGGGAGGGGTAGTATGCAGCAGTGAACATCAAGGGTTCGGAATGCAGAAAACAAATAAAACAAGCAGTATTTTAAGTCTTTGGTAAAATCTAATGCATTGCTTTAAAAGTAGTTATACATTTTTACAGAGACACAAAGTATTATATGATTTAGCTTAAATATGTTTCCCCGTGTGGGTTCCGGGACCCTATTATAGGGAAAACAAGAATAGACCCACTGCCTACCCAAAAGCATGTCGTAAGATTCAACTAATTGGGGAGCTTTCTTCGTAATCGGAGTGCATCTGCGTGAGAGGCAAGGAACCAGCAGTCTGCATACAAATGAGTCAGATCTGTAAAACGGATGCACAGGCAACACTCAGGTTCTGGAACAGGACTGCAGTCCGAAAGGGGAGGAACAACCAGAACTTTCCACCAGAGTTTACAGCTGGTGAACACGAAGAATGGGAAGAAAAAGAAGAAGAAGCTTAAAAATGTAAAAATAAAAAATATTATTGTTTGAAGGTCTTTAGTAAACATCTTTGTCATCTTTTTGAAGGTCCTAAGTAACATCTTTTTCATCTTCATCATGCTTCTTTTATAGGTCATATAGGACGCACTATGTATTATTCTATACCATTGTACCCAGTGCAATTGCTTCAATATTCTGAGTGGAATCCAGTCCAGCAGGTTTGAACCTGCTGATACCAGTGGTTGCCTAGACATTTGTCTTATTTGTTTGTCTTTCTTGAGTTCAACCCATTTAATGTTCATCAGTTTCCTTAGGCATCTGTTCTTGAATGCATTCCACTTTCCTTCTGTATTTTAGTAGTTCAACTTTCACTGACAGAAGTACATCCTGTTTACTGTTTTAAAAATATGTTTATGAGTTACTGTTGATACATACTTTTTTTTTTTTTTTTAAATGCTCAGAAAAATTCTTGATGCATGAATATTTAATTAACCTATATAATTTGATGGAGAGGATCTTTAGACCCACCCACCTTGGGTTACTGGTTACTTCATAATCTTTTTTGGTGCCCTAATATAACTGTGCTACATGGCTATACAGTTGAACAGGGTTTCCGGGATTTGTACCCGTTTGGTGCTCAAATTTAGGTTGTCTTCTTCTTCCCGTTCACCAGCTGTAAACTCTGGTGGAAAGTTCTAGTTGTTCATCCACTTCTGGACAGCAATCCTGTTCCAGAACCTGAGTGTTGCGTGTGCATCCGTTTTACGGATCTGACTCATCTGTATGCCGACTGCTGGTTCCTTGCCTCTCAGGCAGATGCACTCTGACTTTGAAAGAAGCTCTAAGTTAGTCGACTCTTACAACATGCTTTTAGGTAGGCAATGGGTCTATTCTTGTTTTCCCTATAATAGGGCCCTGGAATCCACACTGAGACTTAAAGATGTTAATCCTACACACTGCGATCCTGGAGATGGGGGGGGGGGGGGGGGATAAAAGACTTTTTTCGAAGCCTTCATTCATAAAGTGCAAGACCTATATTTTGTAGACTTATCTGCACTTGGTGGGTAATGTGGTCAACATCACACAGGCCGCCTTAAGGATTTGAACTCACAATCTTCGGATCTGCTGGCAAGAGTCTTGCTGTTACACCATATCAGCTCCAGGAGGGACAACTATTTTAAAAAATAACAATAAATTTTTGTTTTTAAATATATATATATATGATTATGTTTACATTCATTACAGGCATTTGAGGAGCCCGAGTTCAACACAGAAGATGGGTATGTTTGAACAAAAAAAATGTTTTCTTATTCTTATGGTTATGTTGTTTTTGATGTCAATTATGTCTGTCCATAATCTTCATTCCAAAGTCCTGTCAATCTTTCTGATGAAACCGTTCTTCTAGGACATGACGGGGTCTCCATGGTGAAGTGGTCTAGCCGTTTGCTTCACGCTCTGAAGGTCATGGTTTTGTTTCATGGCTGCGCCCTTCAGTTCATGAGTTCAGTTTTTACAGAGATCCCTGGAGATTGTTGCAGGAGCTACAGATTTTGTGCTGTATGCGGCGCTCTCGTCAGGCATCAGGTGACTAACCGTTTTATGGAGAGAAACTGAGTCATATGGGTTCAGCTTTAACCTTTTTGACATGATACCACACTACTCGCCGTCCGCTCCCCTAGTTTCCCTCTTGTCTAACTTTTCTTTCACAACATACTCCAGTTTATCTCTTTTGCCATGGCGTAGCGACTAGACGCTCACGTGCAAATCAGAAGGTCGTGGGTTCGCTCCCTGGCAGAGCCGGACTTTTAACAAAAATGACCTTGACTCCCAAGTCGACCTAACCTTAAGTGGGTACGGGGTACAGTCCCAGGAAGTAAAGGCGATCGGCGTGATGCTGACATCACCCATCTTGTTCCATTTGGTCTATACAAATATAGGTCTAGAAATATATGCCCTGTACGCCTAAAAGGCGCGGAAAAGGGTCCTTTACTCACATTTACTTATCCCTTCTCATGACATGTAAAAGAATATATTGATTGCCTACTTCTGATGAATTAATTTCTTTTAGTTCTTTATTACATTTTTTATCTTCTGTGTTATTTTCATCACTCTTCTACAAAACCACACAGCTACAGCTTTCACATAGTTTTTAATAAATACATTTTAAAATATAAATGTTATTTACTTACATAGAGAGGTTGTAAAACCAGTTTTAATAATGATGTTTCTTTTGTATTGATGGGGTTGCAAATTATCAGCGGCAACTTAAGGTTCAGTTTGTCTTAGATGTCTGCTTTTAACTTGATAATGCAAGGATCAGATAGATTTGATGACAATATTTTTAGGACAGTTAAGCAATATTACATTTGCCACCTGATCTTGCAGTCAGCGTGATATTGACCAGTCACCTGTTAGGTCTTGATTGGTTGGTTTAGTAAAGAATTAAATTATCGCTATACATTCACTATGCCTGGAGATATTGAGGAGAGAATAAAGGACTTTTTTTTATAAACAATTTTAAAAAGGACTGTTATCTCTCAAAATGTTTTCAGCATCCAAAAAAGGCAGAGAGTTGTGGATATCTTATTACAAGTCATGGTGGAAAGTATAGGATTCACAGTAAGTGTCTTGCTCATCGAGTGCAGTACTTTCTTTGTGATTAGATTGTCTCTTCCACTTGGTGATGGCAATGGAATGCAGGTTACCAGATTGACACACTTTTGTTGATTTGGTTTTGACAAAAGGTAAAAGTCGAGGGAATTGACTTGACTGGTTTGGGTTTTATCCCATATGGCTCAGTCTCTGTCCATAGAATGGCTAGTTGAGAGCATCACACATAGCACGGACTCTGTAACTCTGGTGACAATCCCTGGGAGTCTTTGTAAAAAGTGCACTCCCATGAAACAAACACATGACTTTCAGAGCGTGAGTCAAAAGGCTTGACTACTTCACCACAAAAACCCCCAAAAGTAAAATCATTGTGCTCAACTTTCAGCCAGTCTTCATTGTGAACGTTTGCAATCAGTTCCCAGCACTTGCAGCATGCTATTTTACAGCCATATATCAAAATGAGATGACTGCAGTAAAGTTATGACAGTCTAAAACAAGGATAGGAATTTCATAAAGTATATGTGAGCTCTGCAGGATCGATAACACTAAACAAACACAGGACATTGCAGTGATAAGTTTACATCAGCAAACAACGATGAAAAATAAATCACAACTATGATGTGTGCGTGTTTTTTTGTTTTTTTTTTTTGGGGGGGGGGGGGGGGACTTTTTTTCTTGAATGTTAACAGCATAATCTATAGAATGGAATAGAGGACTAGACTTTAGGGCCATAAATGACATATCGGCCCAACAGGATGATGCTGATCATGTATAATTTAGGATTTAGATGTGATTGGTGATTAGACTGAAGTTAAGATGTACTTGTTGGAAAGATCACTATTAAAATCAGATTGGACCTGGCCAGTGGGCACTGCAGAATCAGAAATGAAAAAATTTTTTAAAAAGTAACGTGTGACAATTCCTGCCCAGGTGATGAAAGTGATTATCTATACAAATGATTGTGCATTGTGAGGCAGAGGAAATGAATGGCGTTCATTGTAAAAACAATTTGATGTTGCTTAATACAACAAACCCTAGCATGTGTTACCACATCTAGTAAGAATGGAGGCCATCTCAACAGCTTTCTGCTGTCTTGACAACCAGACGCATGCACATGTAATTGTAATAGACTCACAGTTTCTGAGAAAGGTAGAGAATGGTATGTGTGTTCTGATTGGCAAGTATGGTATTTTTTCTCAGGTTTTGTAAATTTGTTAGGAAAAGAACAGTTGGACAGATTGGCTAGTTCTGCACTACTAGGTTGCAAAACTATGCATGAAAAGCTAGACATTGTTAAGGCCCCTTGGCAGAAGGTGAAAAGTGCAGAAGTGAGAATAGATCATCACAGTCTGGAGTTAATGTTGCAGTGAGGAGTGACCAGAAAATTTGGCAAACACTCAAGACTCACGTGAACAGAACATAGAGTCAAACTGCTACTGGTACCGTCAGAATTGAAACTCAGTGCTGACTGCTGAAGCTGGGGGGCAGAGCACATGTGAGAATCTCCTGAGGGCTGTGATATCCATTCTCAGCTCAGTTCATTACATTTTAAAAGTAGTGTCTTTCTCCTGTTATCAGGTATATGTTTTATGCTTCACAGCCAACTCAGATCGGCATCCTGTTCACATTCCTGGCCAGACAAATGGCACGACATGAAAACACCATTCATGTTAACAGAGTTCTCTTTGAACAGGTAAGTATTTTTAGTCTACACATGTCAGGTTAGGAACTGTGGCATGTCAGGGTAGTGACTAGATGCTTGCCTGCCAGTCCAAAAGTCCAGTTCAAATCCACAAGGCGGATGTTTTTGAGACTTAATCTTGGCGCCCAGGTAGTTTCCTGGGAAGTAAAGGCAGCCAGCATGATATCGACCACGTACTTGAATGCTGATGGGTCTATAAAAATATAGATCAGCACCTGGTACCCACTCAAGGCTGGGTCTACCTGGTAGCCAAGATCATTTTTGAAAAACGTCCGGCTTGGCCAATACCCAAACCCATGACCTTTGATTCGCAGGCGAGCGTCTTGCCGCCACACCACAGCAACTCCAGAAATGCACATAATACAGTATAAAATGCAACAGATCATCATTTCAGCTGATGTAAATGCATATAAAGTTTAAAATTAATCTAAAGAATCAGAAATTATAGCATCTACACACAAAAAAGGTAACACAGTGCAATGTATTAGCAAAATGGACCTGGTATTTTTTTTTTTTCAATAGATACCAGGAAATTATCTTTAAAGTAATGACTAGCATGATAATGACTACATCACCCCTTGAATGCTGATTGGTCTATACTTTTTTTTTTTTTTGACTTAAAAAAAACAAGAGCTTGGCATACTGTCATTGTTTCACCACAAAAACCGAAAAATTGACATTTCCCTTTTCCCATAGATGTCACTTTACTGACTTTACTAAAGTGACATGTTTATGAAATGCATAGTTCTATTTCTTGTAAGCCTCAGTGATCAAGGTCACACAACATGTCAAATTATATTTTATTTTATTTTTTTTGCCTCGAGGATGAATTCCATTTAATGCTTCATCCTCTTTGTGTTTATTAATTACTCCTTTCATATATCTTTATATATTTTAAACATAATTTTAAAATATAGATAAATACATTTGTAATTAATTTATTAGGGACCATTGTAAATATTATTGTCTTTACAGAGTTTTTCAGGAATTCCAGTTATTCTAATTTATGGGGTCGTGACCAATAGTTTTTGAACCTTTTTTTTTAGTGTTTTTTGTGAATGAAACGAACGAACGAACGAACCAATGAACGAACTTTATTTTCAAAGGGTTACAAATTAGGCACGCAGGCCTGTCTTACATTCGGCCCTTCCAAACTTCCATTGAAATGGTTAATGAGCAGCTGGTCTATTCTTTTCCCCCAAAATTGAGCTCAGGAACCCACACAGGTGATTGGTCTATACAAAAAATGTGAGCCTGCAAACAAATGTTCATTACACTTGTAGGAATAAAAAAAAGGGGGACATTTATTTAACTTTTACAAGGAGCTTTGTCTCGATATGTACATCACTAGGTTCTGGAGTTTCTGGCTAACCCTGAGGATGAGTCCAGGCATGAAGAGAGGCAGCAGGCCCTGATGGAGCTGCTGCAGGCTGGCGGGTTGGCTCAGTTTAACGAAGGGCGCCTGCTCAGTTTAGCTCACACTGCCAGATTGTAAGTTCTTTTGTTTTTCTGTTTTCTTATAGTCCATACAATGTAGCTTTGGTGGTTATGTCTATCTACAACCTTCTATCTTGTATACTTTCAGTCATTTCTGACACAGATGATCTTCCATGTCATGATGTCAGACTGTCCAACATCTTCTCTCTCTGTCTCCATCTGTCTCTTTTCCCCTCCAGCTTTCCCACCATGATGATGTACTGCAGGTTTCTCCTTCTTATGGTATGCCCAAAGAATGTAGATTTGTGAGTCACTTTCTTTCAGGACATCTTCATTACTCTTTTCTGAGTATTTAGTCATTTGTCTATAAAACCACATCTCTTTTGTTCTTAGAACTGTAAATTTCCTTGTACTATATATTTCTTTTGGTAATCATTATCTGCATGTGGTAGTAAATTCTTTGTGAACATTGTTCTCATTTAAGTTAATGTGTAGGTGCATGTTTTTGCACAGTATAAGTAATTTGAGAATAATGGTTATATGAACAAACAAAAAAGACGTAGTGATAATAAAAAGATACAGTTGAAATGAATATTATCTTACAGATCCCCATATATTGGTTTCTGGGTCCCAAGCAGTCACAAGAAGAGACCCTCCCCCCCCCCCCCCCTACCAACCTCACCCCCCCCCCCCACCGCACCCCCTGCCCCCACCCCCCCCCCCCCCCCCCCCCCCACCTCCCCCCCCCCCCCCCCCCCCCCCCCTCACTTTTTTCTTCCTTTAACAAGAATATCAGAAAAGGTAGCATGGGGGGTTTTCTTCAGTTGAATGTATTAGGTTGAAAGACACAAGATATCACAGCCTAGCAGTAAACCATCAATGAATGAACAAATTGACTTTTTTTTAAAGGGTCACAAACTAGGCATACAGGTCTGTCTTACATTTAGCTCTGCCAAACACTCTTCTTTCACACAGCAATGGTATTTTATCACAACACACAATGATGTTGTGGTTTTACTTGTCTGAAAATTGCATTTGATTCCTGTGACTCTCATGCTACGCAGCATGCCAGTCACCCTTTTCAGGGTCCACATAAAACAGTAAGAATCAAATCAATGTCCTGTGCATCCTCGTTAGAAGATTAATTAATACATGCTTGTAGTGGACTTAATAGGTTGAAAAGAAATCAAATGGTTGAACCACGTAACAAGATTGGCATCAGACAGGGCATCACAGAGAGCAATGTTATACAGCTACAGCAGTAACAGAGCCAGAGGTTGACCACGCAGAATATGGACTGCAGAAATATCAGAGATGCTGAAAAGTACTTTATACGAAGTGAAAACTAGGCCCTGTTCCAGAGATCTCTTCCTGCCCTAATACCTCAAGGCATTCTAGGAGTAGAGAAAAGAAAAAGTAGTAGATTTTTTGCAGTTATTGATTTCATCATAACAAATTAAAAAGATTGTACACTCTCTGAAATGACTTGTTGTTTTTGACAGCTACCGAGTTTGTGAATATCTGTACGAGAAGAGACGAAGCTATGACAAAATTCTAACCTGTTACCTGAAAGATCCTGCAAGAAGGGTTTGTATACTTAGGGCGAATCTGTCATCATCATTATCATCACTGAGTGCCATTGTCACAGGTCAGCCGTAGTCAGCTTAGAGTGCAAAAGCACCATCTCCACAAGAACTGTGTTACAGTGCTCTCCTTCCCCTCTCCTGACCTGGATATCAGTAAAGTATGCATGACTGTTAAAAGCAGAAGGCATTGCACCTAGAAGGAGGGGCAGGGGCCGACCACCACAAAGATCAGCACAGGATATAAGTGACTCCTTGAATATGAAAGTACACGAGGCAGGAGAGCTGGCAAGAGACCGAGTTTCTTTCAGGCAGATCAAGATGAGAGCGACCTTCTGCAACGGACCTGCTCAAGATAAGATGCATGACTGTTACTGGAAAATTATGTCTGCACAGTAGGATATCACCAGGACCTTGCTCAGCACAGCACTGACAGGCTGGCTAGAATAGGCCTTTGTGGTCATTTTTTTCCTACAGAAAAATTATGTTATAAAAAGCTCATTTTGCTTTAGTGTCTTTTCTGAAGAAGCGGATGGCGGATTGTTTTAGATAAGATGACTTTTGAATTGGGGTATCTTGGTTCTAATTCCTGCCAGAACAAGGAAATTCTTTTTCCTTCCCTTCCCCCCAACCAAATCACAGCAAGCTCTTCTAATATTTTTGCCATTTCATACAATTCTCTTCATTCCCCCTTCATTTTTGTTTGTCTCTCTTATCCAGATGTTTTTAGGCTTCCCTCTGTCACTTTTACAATCAGTCAATCTGGTGCCATCTCCACAATGACGGTTGGCCACAATTTATCTCCAACACACTCTATCTCTTGTCTTGGTAGTACACTGTCTCATACTACTGTTTGTCCATCTCTTGATGTTGTTCTCCTACTTGTATTGTTATCTACCTCTTGTTTCTTTTGCCATATGGGCTCATTTTCATCTGTCCAATGAAAAATACCAATCTTAGCCTCTAACTACATAGGAACTATTCAAGGGCAAATTACTCTTGACCCTTAGCCCTGCTTACATCTATCTGGAAAGGTCAGCAGTCATATTCAAGTCATAATGATAGTTTTCTTGCGTGTTTTATGTGTGTAAGTGATTGAGACGGGGTGAGAGTGGACAAGTGACAGACTAATTCATATTAAACAGTAATATCCATTTGAGTATGCCACAATATTAGGATACCACAGTCTCATATGTACTTTATAAATGTGTGTGAAAACTATCCCGTTTTGTCAAAATATTTGTTTCTTTATGTTCACCGGCTGTAAACACTAGTGGAATGTACTGGTTGTTCGTCAACTTCTGAACTTTAGCCTTGTTCCAGAATTTTAGTTTTGCATGCATATTTATTTTACAGATCTGGCTTATTTGTATGCAGACTGTTGGTTCCTTGCCTCTCAGGCAGATGCTCTTGGACTTTAATGAAAACACCCCTAATTAGTCTACTTTTACGACATGCTAGTTAGTGGTCAGTTGATCTATTCCTTTTTCCCTCCCACAATGGGAAACCACACTAGGAGTTTAGAGATAAAACCTTTGAATCTTAGTGGGATCAAATGGTTAAGTATGAGACAGAAAGATTTAAAGTAACATTTGGGGAGGAATCGGTTAATGTAACAAGGTAAAAAAAGAAAATGTTCTGAAATGTATCCATCTATAGGTAAAGGTGCAAGGATTGACTTCATTGCACCAGGTTTTATCCCATTTGGCTTAGTCTCTGTCTGCAGAACAGCTAACTGCCTGCACGACATCCGTATCTCTGACCACAGTCCCCAAAGGATCTCTGTAAAAATTGTACTCGTGAAATGAACCCAAAATCTTCAGAGAACGAGGCAAACGGCTTGACCACTTTACCACAGAGACCCCCTATATCCATCTGTAATTGAATTGAGAAACATATCATGAAGTCCTGGGTACTGAAGTGTTGATTATTTTAAGTCACAACAAAAAAACTGAATGTTTGCTGTAGTCTGTCTGGGTTTCCTTAATCCACTAAAGTGAATTCTGGCATTGTGTTCTGCAGTATCATGTGTTCACCTACATAGACAGCATCATGAAGAGCCAGTCCTACACAACAGAGGAGAAAACAGCTCTTCAGGATGAAGCACTTAAAAATTTGGAGGTGAGAGTATTTTTTTAAATATGAGTATCTCATCATCTGTCTTTGGCAGTATGTTGAAACCAATATGGAAGCAGTATGTTTAAATCATTTGAGTTAATGTTATGTTATCACAATGCCTGCTGAGTCCTCTGATGCAGCAGCCACTCTAAGGTACCTCTACCGATTGTTCCCATGAGGAGATGCTATAGTATCTTCTGTCTTTACTTTGAAGACAACATTAATTTGTGCTTCACCAAGCTTAACTCCTCAGTCGTGCAGTTGTGTTAGCGTCAGAGATTCGCCATTATCCCCCAACCTAGTCCGTACAGAGTTGATGATATCTACTCTGTCCATGCTTGCTCCCATTTGCATTGGTGCATTACTTGCCACCTGGTCAGCCCTTTTCTTACCATTTACTCCTGCATGCCCAGATGTGTAGATCCAGATGATGGAGGTTAACTGCGACTTCCAAATGCTTTCTACCCATTCAGAGTGTATACTACCTGTTTGTGGCAATAAGTGAGAATGTCTGCATTAGAATACTTGGTGATGTGAGAGTAAGAGATTGCATGAGTGACTAAAATGAGTAAGTGAGAGGGTGGCTCAGAAAAAGTAAGAATGAATGAGTGATAATGCATCCCAGAAAATGTAGTTAGTCTGTTAGTCAAAACCGGAGCATTTTTCTAGGAGGAAAAAAGTATGAAAAAATTACTGGTGCTCACTATAGCAGGGCTATTAAACTAAGCTTACCCTATGGCCAACATTCTGAAAAAATATGGATCGTCACTAGCCAGAGATCGGAGCCCCAGCACAGAAAGATCATTAATGCCATGCAGATGACAGTGATTGATAAGCCACTTGCTAGACCTCTGCGGGTTGAATAGCCCGGCATTATAGGATATCTGTTACAATAGATCTAGGAAACAAAATACGCCTAAACAAATGTGCCAGTACTGCTTACCATTGCGTGCACCAGAAACAAAACCCTGGTCTCAACCATTTATTGCAATATCACATCCTAGCTGTATGCCACAGTATGATGTGCACACTGCCCTTTTAAGGGTGGATACAGAAGAAGAAGACTTACTTTATATAATACAATGTATGTCAAGTTGTTTGTAAAAGAACAGATTAACTCATTGATACCTGCTGATGTTTATCAGGACTTGGTGAGCATTGACTGCAAACAAGCAGCACACACAGTCATCTCTTGCTTGTCCAGTGGTCTGGTGGATATAGTGCAGAAGCTGCAGTCCAATAAGCCTGTGTTGTTTGAATTTCTGCAAGGTGTCATCTCGTACAGGTAGGCTTGTCGTCTCATGCAGGTAGATTTGTCATCTCATACAGTTAGGCTTGTTATTTCATACAGGTAGGCTTGTCGTCTCATACAGGTAGGCTTGTCATCTCATACAGGTAGGCTTGTCATCTCATACAGGTAGGCTTGTCGTCTCATACAGGTAGGCTTGTCATCTCATACAGGTAGGCTTGTCATCTCATACAGGTAGGCTTGTCGTCTCGTGCAGGTAGGCTTGTCATCTCATACAGGTAGGCTTGTCATCTCATACAGGTAGGCTTGTCATCTCATACAGGTAGGCTTGTCATCTCATACAGGTAGGCTTGTCATCTCATACAGGCAGTCTTGTCATCTCATACAGTTGGGCTGCATGTAAATCAAGCACCCAGACTTTTGTGTAGCTTGCAATAGATCTTCCTTATGTGGGTTCGGAGCTCCGTTTTGGGGAAAAACAATGTTAGAACCACTGCCTCCTCAGTAAGCCTGTTGTAAGAGTCGACTGATTGGGAGGCTTCCTTTAAAGTCAAGTGCATGTTGTACCTGAGAGGCAAGGAACCAAAAGTCTGCATACAGTTAAGTCAGATCTGTAAAAAGGATGTACATGCAACACTGAGGTTCTGGAACTTGGCTAAAGTGCAGAGGTGGACAAAAAAACAGAACTTTGCAGCCGTGAACGCAAAGTAAGAGAAGAAATAGATCTACTTTTTCTACTTTTTTTGTTTTGTTACTTTTTTAAACTCTTTCACTCTCCTTCACACATATACACCTTTTACCTTCTCTCTCCTCTCTGTCTTCACTTTCACTTTCCCATCTCCCTTTTATACACAACTTAGCATTCAGTGGGTTATGAGATGAGTATTATGCCAGCCATCTTCTCATATGAGTTCCGAGGATCCTTTTTTGGAAGGAAACGAGAACAGACCCCTGCCCCCCTAGCAAGCATGTCGTAACTGGTGACAACAGTTTGCTGAAATTAGTTGCCTTGAGCTGAAAGGACAGATACTGCAGTCTAGCTGTGAACTGCAACATAATGTCCTAACCACATTTTTAAGGACAAACGGGCATGCTCCATGCAGAGTAAAATGACCTCACTTCAGAGGTCCCGGGTAGTTGGCATCCTTTGGAAATTTTCTCCAGGTCATGCCGATATGTTGGGAAACGAGCAGACAGATAGACTGACCAGTTTTGCACCACTTGGTGGTGAATTGATGTGTGACGAGCTAGATGTTATGAGGGCCCTTTGGGAGTGAGTTAACAGTGCGGAGGCACAGATAGATCATTAGGGTCTGAGAAGAATGACACTGCGAAGATTACCAGGGGATCTGGCTGAAGCTTAACACTCAGGAAAAGGCGAGACTGATGGATATACAGTCAGACAGTTAGTGGTACCATCAGAATTAGAACTCTTCACTTGCTTCTGAAGATGGGGATGGAGCGCTTATGGTGGTGTCCTCAGTGCTATGATGTTGATTCCTAATTCATGATGATTCTCAGTTCAGCATTCAACATTAAGGGCAAACACAGAAGAAGAAATGCTTGATATCTTTCTTCTTCTTCTTCACTTCCTCTTTTACCGCTGTCGGTGTCGAGGGAGACATAAGGTTCTGTTTGTAGCTCTAAACACAGAAGAAGAAATGCTTGATGTCTTTCTTCTTCTTCTTCACTTCCTCTTTTACCGCTGTGGGTGTCAAAGGAGATATAAGGTTCTGTTTCTAGCTCTAAACACAGAAGAAGAAATGCTTGATGTCTTTCTTCTTCTTCTTAACTTCCTCTTTTACCGCTGTGGGTGTCGAGGGAGATATAAGGTTCTGTTTCTAGCTCTTAACACACAAGAAGAAATGCTTGATATCTTTCTTCTTCTTCTTCACTTCCTCTTTTACCGCTGTGGGTGTCGAGGGAGAAATAAGGTTCTGTTTCTAGCTCTAAACACACAAGAAGAAATGCTTGATATCTTTCTTCTTCTTCTTAACTTCCTCTTTTACCGCTGTGGGTGTCGAGGGAGATATAAGGTTCTGTTTCTAGCTCTAAACACACAAGAAGAAATGCTTGATGTCTTTCTTCTTCTTCTTCACTTCCTCTTTTACCGCTGTGGGTGTCGAGGGAGATATAAGGTTCTGTTTCTAGCTCTAAACACACAAGAAGAAATGCTTGATGTCTTTCTTCTTCTTCTTCACTTCCTCTTTTACCGCTGTGGGTGTCGAGGGAGATATAAGGTTCTGTTTCTAGCTCTAAACACACAAGAAGAAAAGCTTGATGTCTTTCTTCTTCTTCTTCACTTCCTCTTTTACCGCTGTGGGTGTCGAGGGAGATATAATGTTCTGTTTCTAGCTCTAAACACACAAGAAGAAATGCTTGATGTTTTTCTTCTTCTTGTTCACTTCCTCTTTTACCGCTGTGGGTGTCGAGGGAGATATAAGGTTCTGTTTCTAGCTCTAAACACAGAAGAAGAAATGCTTGATGTTTTTCTTCTTCTTGTTCACTTCCTCTTTTACCGCTGTGGGTGTCGAGGGAGATATAAGGTTCTGTTTCTAGCTCTAAACACACAAGAAGAAATGCTTGATGTCTTTACTTTTCAAAATATACCTGCTACCCATTTTGGGCCAGATTAACCTGGTAAATTATGTCCCATTGTTTTGTTTTAAATCTCTGCTTCAGTGTGAATTTTGATACCTGACCCGCCAAGGCAGAGGCAGATAGTTTTGTTATTAGAATTTCTCTGTATCATCCTCTGGAACATGCTGTGGCCACTGGAAATATTTGTGAAAAGTGACATAAAGGAAGGTAATATGAGAAGATTCTTGACAGCCTTTTTTCATAGCATGGAGGGATGTCAACACATGAATTAATACATGCTGTTGGAGATAACAGGTTGTGGAGAGGCATGATCGCTCATGCCAGTCAGCAAGGCACTTTTTTAGTGATTCACTCACTGATCAAGTACATTGCTGGCATGGGCAGTCATAGGTTACTCATTTTGGCCGCCCAAGGAATATTATGCACTCTTTAGTAAAACCAGATCTCTGAGGCTTCAAGAAATTGTTTGCCTTATTTACTAATTGTACAAGACTCACAGGCGTATGTTAAAACTGGTTCTGTGTTGCATGGGAAAACGTCTTCCATTCCTCTGGACAAATTCTCATTTGTGTTGTTCTCAGAGATGCTCAGAGCAGTGCCCTCAAGCCAGAAAAGCAGATGATCATAGAGCCACAAGTGCTGGAGCTGTACATAGACCTACTGTGTGAATACCGCCCACAGGATGTATGCAGCTTCATCAAGATGAATGAGGGCTACAGATTGGAAGAGGCCCTACAGGTTAATCAGTTGTGTCATCTTGTAGTGGTTTATTGTTTATTAGAGTAATACAGTGCAACATGTCTTTGTTACTTAGAAAGAGACTTCTTAAGAGTTACAGAGAGCTAATTTCTCTCTCTGTAATCCAACGTACCATGATCAAAACCCACTGCTGACTGCGTTGATTTTTATCATGGTATGGGGCGTCGCAGGTCGACCCAGCCTAAAATGGGTACCAGGATGGGCTGTCCTGGGAAAGTAAAGACAGCCTGCGGGATGCTGGCCACATTAGCCACCTAGTGTCGATTGGTCTGTACAAATATGGGTGCTCTTCCCCTATGCCTGATGCGCCTCAAGGCATGAAAAGTGATCTTTACTTTTTTTTTTTTTTTTTACTTTTCATTTCCCTATCTATGAATTAAGTTATTTCAGTTAACTCTGTTGTGCTATAAGTGTTTCAGTCAAGATGTATATTAAAATATTATTTTCATTTTCTTACAGTTAAATTCAGGTTTTAAAGCCTGTAACATATTCTAACTGTAGTAGAATAGAGAAAACAGACCAGCTGGCCAAAATGCAGAGTAGCCGGCTGATCTATGAGTTCTTTGTTTTCAGTTAGGATAGGCATGAGCTATATGTCTGGTTTGCAACCATTAGAGTTGGCACATCTAACAGCTACCTTATGCATTTTTACTGTGCATGTGCAAGCTTCATGATATTTTGTGTGATTTCCACTGGCACAGGAATGGAGATGTTATGGGACGAACCATCTGCAGTGATGTTGGAACTTCCACTAGCTTGCTAAAATAATGTTCACCACATGATAAAATGTTTATATAGTTTGTACAGGAGCTGTGATAGTGTAGTGGCTAGATGCTTGCCTGCTGGCCTGAAGATCAACCAAGTCTAAGATCAGAGCCAAATAATTTTCTGGGAACTGAAAGGTGGCTGGCCCGGCTCTCTAGCGCAGTTGGCTAAACCGGACTGCACAGTGACTGGGTGACAAACTCCTTGTGGTCCAGGTTCACGCCCGAGGCTAGGCAGAAAAGCCACATTTCTCCCAGATTTGCAGTACCCATCATGGAATCAATTCCGAAGGGTTGCGATTTCCATAGTACCGAGCCAAAGGGTTAAGAACTCATGGTTTCTGACTACTTAAAAAAAAAAAAAAAGAAAGGTGGCAGACATGATGTTGGCCATGCCACCTATCGAATGCAGGCTGATCTATAAAAAAAATATGGTTTTAGCATCAAATGCTTGATGTACCAATGGAAAGACAAGGGTCCTTCACTTTTACAAGATAGGGAAAAGATCTGCAGAAAGACCGAGGCTACGCTAAAAGGACATATGCAGACTTGACTTGAAAGATACCAGCATGTCGTCAGCCATGTGCATATGTGGACTGGCACCTGAGACAACAGGTCATGTCCTCTAAGACTGTCCCAAAATACAACATGTCAAGGCACAACTTTTGGCCAAGAGAAACATCGGTGCAAGTCAAACTTTACGGGTCGCTGAATGAATTACAAAAGACAGTGAAGTTCATACTAGAGACAACTTTGTAGATATAGATAATCTATTTCAAGCGAACGAAAGAAGAAAAAGATACCAACATTGACATAGACACTTGGGAGAGATAAGCTTCTAACCAGTGAGTTATGAGTTGGATTATCTTCACAGCACACCGGACACATCCATAGGTGCTCAGATTCCCTTCTCAGCATGGTTAATAGTGCCAGTCCTATGCTGGTTGACAAGACTTTATGTGCATCCTGTGTGCTTCTCATGTTTAGCTGTGCCGAATTTTACTCCTAATTCTCGTATTCCTAGCAGTGATTTGGACACGTTGCTTCCAAATACTCAGAATGTCCTATCTCTCTAAGGGCATTGACAATGTCTGCATGATCCATGGGCTGGCCATCTTCAATTAATGCAGCACTTGCCAGTCGATCAGCTCTTTCATTACCAACAACACCTGCGTGCCCTGAGACAAATATGAAGGTAACTGCACACACAGGAGAGTTTTGCAATGACTTGATCCACTGTATACATAACTAGCCTGCCTTGACCCACCGAATCATGCTCAAAGAATCACACAGCACACACACGCGTGGAAATAGTCCTGTGATTCTAACCACACGAAAGCTTGTGTCACCGCCATCACCTTCATCGTCATGCTACTGGTAGTCATGGAGAAGGCACCGCCTGGCCAAATCCTATGGATGCGGACAATGAAAGACAGACTGTCACAGTTTGCAAGAGACTAAACTTAGCAAGCTATAGAGAGGAGACATTTAAGAGAAAACCATCCTCCATATAACAGAGCATCAATGTTTTTACTTGAACTACATAGCAGAGACTGCCACTCCCATATTGGACTTTGCAGTCAAAGCATACACTGTTCCCAGAACTAGTGGCACAACTCCATAGTCCCTAGGGATTTACAGTTGCCTCCTGACTTTTACACTACACAAATAGTATGTTGTTGTTCTGTATTTATTTCTCCAGATTGTTCGTAAACACAAAGCTTGGGAAGCAACAGCCTACCTGCTGGAGAAAGCCGGTGACATACAGGGAGCCTTTAGGATTCTGTTGGAGGTTACTTTAATCAAATTTTTTGTGTTTATCTTCTTCTTAACTTTTTCGGTCCTAAACATGTGTTGTGTGATTAGCTCTTCTGTAAATCCTACCTAACATTGAATGTGTCCTGGTACAGTATACATTTGATCAGAACATACTTTAAAAAAAATCTGGCTTCTTAGTATTTGCTTCTTTGAAAGCAAAACACTAGATTTTCCTAGTGTTAATGTATGCATATGCACATCTGTAGGAAAACCTTCTAGTACTCTGAGTTACAGTCCATGCCATTTGTTGGTAATCATGACAGTCTACAACCATCTGTCTCATATACTACCTGTCACTTCTGATACAGACATTATTCCAAGATGTGATGCCCATCTGTCCAGCATGTCTCTTAGTCTGGCTCTAGCTTTCTTCCCCACAGCTTTTCTATCGTCACAGCAAACTCCAGTTTTCCTCCATCTCATGACATGACTAAGAATGTAGATTGTCTTCTCTCCCCCCCCCCCCCTCCCCCAAGTATTTATAAAGTATGTAGACTGTCTTTTTTTCACATTATTTATAAAGGATATAGATTGTCTTATTTCACCTTAATGGTAGAGAATGTAGATTGTCTTTTCTTTACATTATTTATAAAGAATGTAGATTGTCTTTTCTTCACATTATTTATAAAGAATGTAGATTTTCTTTTTTCACATTATTTGTCTGTTTTAAAAATTGTTTCATTGCTTTGAAACATGTTATGTTATTGGTGTTTATACATAGGCTTTGATCCTTCTTTTTCTTCATCATAATTTTGAGGAATTGCTGCAGATATTGCATTGATCTCTGTGGTTAGCACTCTTTCCAGTTGGTACTCTAGATGTTTGTACCTGTATATTTTCACTCCACCACCATCTTTGTTTGCCTTTTGTCTACTCCAGTTCAACTCTTTTGTGTACGCGGTTTTTGTCTCTCTATTAATCTACCCTCCTCTCTATATTCCCTAGCCCTCTATTAGACCTCACAATGTCAGTAACTAGTGGCATAGGCTTTGTTCCAGCCACATAAAATAGGTCTGGTGTATTTACTGCTAAACCAGTCAAAGAAATCTTTTGTTATTTATGGTGGTTCAGAAATGTTGCAAGCCGCTGTAGTATGCCTTAGTGCTAAACTTGCTGTGCTGGCTAATGCGAGTCTGTGTTGGTGTAAGGTGTTATTAATATTATTGGTTTATCTGCTCCTTGGTCTTCCTTGTATAACCTGTTCTTTTATAGTTCTAGACAAGCAGAGTAATTTTGTAATATAATGGATAACATATGCACTTACCAGAAGGCAATCAAGATGTCTTAATACTGTGTCATTGAGCTTACCCTTTTTTCTCTCAACAATCTATCTATCTTCATTTACCCCACAAGGACATCAAACAAGCGATAAGAACCCGATGACACAAAGTGCCACCATGTGGATGTTGATCATCATGGAGAGGTCCCAGAAACCGCGTTCAGCCATTAGACCATATTTATGGCCGGGCTATATTGCGGCCCCTGGCAAGAGCCAGAGTAGGGCTTCAAATAACAAAAAATTGCGTCCCATGCATGATGATAAGACAGGTCTTCGGATATCCACATTCTCTCAACAAATAAATGAGCCTGACTGTCTACCCCACCAGGACATCACACAAGTGATAAATACCCGATGACACAAAGTGCCACTATGTGGATGAGGATCACCATGGAGAGGTCCTAGAAACCCCGTTCAGCCATTAGGCCATATTTATGGCCTGGCTATATTGGGGCCCCTGGCAAGAGCCAGGGTGGGGCTTCAATAACAAAAAATGTCATCCTGAAAAGGATGATTAATATTATACTATAAATGAGCCTATCTTTGTTTATCTTAGTCTGTACTATAAAATTACAGACCATTATGCCTGTCTATGTGTCTATTCTTTTTCTGTATTATATGAACTTTCCCCAAACAGTGACCAATGGAGGGGTGAAATTTGCAGCTCTTATTTTGGCTGTAATGCCTAGATATGCTGTTTGCAGCAAAGTTTCTACACATTTCTAATAATTAACGCCACAATCACTAAAAGTTAACATTTACTGGAGTTATATCCCTTGAGTTACTACATACTTTCTTTACATCCCTTGAACAAATGCTCTCCTTTCCTGCATCCATGTCCAAGCCATCGTAACTTTGACTGACCCACTGAAGTTTGTTTACTTAATTCTGCAATAAAATTAAAAACATATTTTAATCATTTATGCAGTACTGCTTCTAGTAATGATTGTTGGGAATGCATAGTTGTTGAAAGATTGTTTCTAAAATATTTTTGGAATAGAATCTGCAGAATCTTTTGAAGACATTGAGCCAGCAGTTACAAGACTCTCCAAATGATACTTCAGGTTAGTGAAAGTTATTTGTCATTTTCATATACTGTCTGTCTGTTTAAATGTTGATGGATGTTGTCTGTCTGTTTATATGTTGATGGTTGTTTAATTTAAGCATTCTTATGTTGTTGTGTTTTTTTTTTTTTCAAATTGTCTTTTTGTTTAGCTTCATGGGCTTGATGTAAGCAGTTTTGTGTGTGTGTGTCCCTGTCCCTGTCAGGAGCTGTGCTGCCATAGTGGGTAGAGGCTCACCTGTCAGTTGTAAGGACTTGGGTTCAAATCCAAATCAGACTTATATGGAAAAACAGTTGACATTGGCTCCCAGGTTGACCTGTCCTAAATAGGTCACTGCAGTGCTTAGTTTCTTGAATAAAAGGTGCGGATACTCCCAAAACATATCTAAAAAGAGGTGCCCAGGTACTCATCACAGAGTGTCTTATACAGTAGTGCTTGAAAAAGAAAATTATGTATTTAAAAAAAAAAACGGGACAATACTGCATACCACCAGTTAAAAGAAATGTTTAAAAAGCCCTGAATATGTACTGGTCAGTGGGCTGCCGTCATGATGATGACCACATCACAACTTGAGTGACAAGTGCGGCACTGATGTGGAAGCCATATAAAACATTTGAATCTACGTCACATGCCAAATGTGGCACTATTAGGAAGAGTAAGATGACCATAAATCCCATTTTGTCGGGACGGTATAGCTTTTTAGGTAGGCCTAGTCCCGTCAGTGCTCAACGTCGATTGGTAAAATTGAATTTTGTTTAATTTTTTATTATATTTTAAATTTTTTTAGGGTAGTCCAGATCAACCTAAAAAAAAAACCTATACTGTCCCAACAATATAGTCACCTTGGGGAAAAGGTCCTTTACTTTTGCTTGTGGTTTTCATGGATAACCGCTGCTTCATGCGAAGTATGAGACCTGAAAAGTTAGCTGCTGAAGGTTACTTGTGAATGAGGCAGTGTCTTTCTGTCAACAATATAGGACACATATGAGCGTACTTACCTTAGGTTTGTCGGCATGTGTATTGATTTTTCCCATGGAGAATTAGAATTTTTAGTGAACGTTATTATTCACGTGTTTGCCACCGGCCGTCGTCCCATTATGTTTGCCGATCAATAAAATGACTGAAGCACTATGACAGATGCCTCCAGATATGTTGCCGTTATACTGTTCACAGAGTATTAGTTGTACTATGTGACCTGCCTTAGTTAAGCACTCACCGGTAGGTGAGTTACCAGAAGGTTGACTTGGGAACTGTTGCATATATGGGTGAAGTGTTAATCATTCACCTCTAGACATTTCGCAAGGAGGCGGTGCCTCACAAGCATTTGGCTTTGTAAATGGACATTCCCTTCGCAACACTCCCTCCACCCCTTTTCCCCTCCAACTGTCCCCACATTTATGATGTAGGATAGTTTTTCTCCTCCTCGTGATGTGAACAAAGAATGTAGCCTGTCTCCTACAGATGTTGGTTTTCTAAACAAGAAGTTGTAAAATATTGTAGAGATAATTCATAATGGTCATTGTATTCTTCCTTCAGCTACTCAAGTCCTGTTCTCCAAAGCTGAAACTCGGCTCTTCATTATTGTTCAATTATGTCAGAGGAATTCTGGGAAGATAGATGAAGCAGCTAGAGAAGTAATAATTTCATTACTTTTTTGCATGTTTATTTTTAGTGCATTTCTTCAACAAATTTGTCTTGTGTGTTGTTACATGTTTAGAATCGTGTCAAAGTTAATTACTATTTTATGCATTAAAATATATTAAACGTCTGCTTATTTAGAGTAAATTAATTTGCTTGTTTCTCCTTGATTTTCTTAAAAGTGTAACTGTAGGAAAGTTAGGATAGAGCAGTGGCCATCTCTGTGATCCTGTGTCATTTTTGTTTTATGATATCTCTCTCTCTCTCTCTCTCTCTCTCTCTATGTGTTTGTGTAAGACAGAGAAAGAGAGATCCTGCTGTGTTTGTTACACAGTCTCTATCTGTGTGTGTGTGTGTGCCTGTGTGTTTATGAGTGGTCCTGTGTCATTGTTGTTGTATGATCTGTGTTTGTGCGAGTGTGCACACACAGTTGGGAGACCAGAGTTGGTGTGCTGGGGATTCTCCCTTTGTGTGTTCTTGGTGTAAATTGTTAACCCTTTCACAGCCATGAGACACATGTGCTCCCATATTTAAAACTTAGTTTAGTTTTTATGTGTTTTGAATTTTGTGTGCACCTCTGTTCTAAAGAACTGGCTTATTTATAGAAACCAATTTTTCACTGCCAAAATCCCGCATTTTCCTGTCAGAAACTACACTTCTATTGCTAAAAAATATTTAAATTGCCAGAAACCCATATTTCCATGGTCAGAAAACATATCAACATGGTCAGAACCCACATTCCACCGCCAGAAACTAATTTTTATTGCCAGAAAGCATATTTCTGTTGCCAGAAACCATATCTCCATTGCCAGCAACTATTTCCACTGCTGCCAAACTTTTCAAAATTTGACACGTTCCAAATATTAGTTTTTATACAATAAATAAATTCTGATAACATCTTTACACATCCTATAGTCCAGGCTGTTGGTAGTCATGTCTGTCTACAACATTTTTGGTGTACTTTCAGTCATTTCTGACACAGATAACCATCCATACCATAGTGCCAAACAGTCCAAGATCTTCTCCCTTGGTCTCCCTCCGCCTCTCCTCCCCTCCAACTTTCCCGCCGTCACTTTACTCCAGGTGTCCCTTTCTCACAATGTGACCAAAAAATATAGATTGTCTCCTATTAGGATAATAAATATTCTTTACGGGTTAATTTCTTTCAAGGCACCATCATTACTTTTGTTTCTGCCTGTAATGTTCTCATTCATCTATATTACATCTCTGCAGGCTACACATAGTTGTTCACTAATCGGTCAACTATCTCGAATACACTTCCATACATTTTCTTTACATTATACATTGGCACCTTTCTGTCTTTCCGGACGATGGTGTTATATTGCGCTATGAGGAGGCATGAGACTCACAGCCCATGGCGATGGCAAGTGTGACTAGCAAGACCCGCCCGTGTCAAGAAAAGTCTTCCACTATGATAGCATGGGATTTCAGGACCATTGTTAACAACATTTGTGTTTAATCCGTTTCTTTTCAGATGCTCAGCTCTCATCCTTGCTGTAATCATTTCTTTCTTCACTCTCATTCCCTTCCTGATATGCCCTTTCCACACAACACGGTCCATGGCATTTTGTTCTCATGAGTCCTCCCCAATACCTGTATCATTCATGTCCCGCTTGCACACATCTTTATACCGTAGTAGTGGTCGGCCTCGACATCCTCTTCCTCATTATCTTTACACTATCCCTATAAATATATGTATATTTTTTGTTTATATGATCATCACATTCTCACCTTTCACAGGTTTCAAAGAGATGACTCATCATGTGTTAAATAGTATGATGGGCTACATCTCACCACCAGCCATTCTGCAGAAAATCGTGCAAGTAAGTCCACCCTTAACTTTCCTAAACAGGATGCTGTTAATGAGCCTGTATTCTTCCACGTTTAGGTCTTGTAGAATGTCAGTATTTTTATTCTTTTTTATAAATGTTATGCAATTGTTCTTGACAGTTAGTTAGTTAGGTGGGTTATCATCATTGCACTCCAGACTATGCAGTGGAAGTGGTCACTGAATAATCCAGATGTTTTTGTAAACTATTACCAAAAACAGAAAATCAGATAACATATGATGACAGGTATTTCAAGTGGAAGGGCCACAAACACATTACGCATTTGTGACTTTTGAAGAATTAAATCCTTTGCTGCAGGGTCCTACATGTGTAAATTTTACAGTCAAAAAAAGATAGATTGATAGATAAAATAAACGAACAAACAAACTTTATTTTAAAAGGGTTAAGAATTGGGCACGCAGTCACTTCTTACTTTCTACCGTTTTGTTCTAATTCCACCTCATTATTTCATTCACACATATAACATATAGCAATAATAATACACATCAACAGCGTGTAATTTTTAGTTACAACTGCTGGGATATGCAACAATTATACCTTTATAATACTAAGCATAGTCAGTATTAAATAGTTTGATTGGCTACATAATATAGCAGCATAAGATAGACAGATGCGTGGATGGATGGATTGACAGATGGATGTGAGACGGAGAAACAGAAAGTCAGAGAAAGAGAGAGGGGAGGGGTGGGTTATACAAAATGATAGCGTCTGCCATTTGACTGTTTTCCCACTTATAGGATCCAGCCTATAACACAGGAAAGTTTGGAGAAGTAAAGGAGCTCATTATTGGCATGCTGGAGAATTACAATTATGAAGAGGTAAGAGGTTATACGTGTGTTTTCATGTATTCTCTATGTTAGTAGTCTAGCTGTGAATAGTTCATTAGGATTATTCCAAATTTAACCTCAAGTAGTGATAGAATGTTTTTGTTTTTAATTTTTGCTGATCATGGTTTTTGGGCAGTAGTACAAGAGTCACACCATGGGAAAGATTGAAGCTTCACCAGGTATTATTCCAAAAGACAGCAGTAGATGCACTGGAGCCTACCTTTATTGTGAAGGTGGCACAGAAATCAATCAAATAAACGGCTGCTCAGAGTTGCTGTAGGAAAGTGGTGAGGAGCAACATGGCTGCTAACATCCAGATTAAAAACCTGTACACCCCACCCTTAACTTTTTCTTTTCCAGCCAGTGTACTTAGTGTGATTGGCTGTTTTACCCATACATCAGTCAGTAATAAGTTTTTGATTGGTTGTTCTTTGTGTATACCTATCAGTTAATAATGTGTTACTGGCTGTTCTTCATAGGCACCAATCATTGTTCAAAATGTGATTGGCTATTTTACACATACATCAGTCAGTAATCAGTTTTTGATTGGTTGTTCTTTGTGTATACCTATCAGTTAATAATGTGTTACTAGCTGTTCTTCATAGGCACCAATCATTGTTCAAAATGTGATTGGCTATTTTACACATACATCAGTCAGTAATCAGTTTCTGATTGGTTGTTCTTCGTGTATACCTATCAGTTATTAATGTGTTACAGGCTGTTCTTCATAGGCACCAATCACTGTTCAAAATATTATTGGCTATTTTACACATACATCAGTCAGTAATCAGTTTCTGATTGGTTGTTCTTCGTGTACACCAATCAGTTATTAATGTGTTATTGGCTGTTCTTCATAGGCACCAATTGTTTTTCAACATGTGATTGGCTATTCTTCCTGTACCCCAATCAGTCAGTCCTTTCACTATCATGGATGAAATCCAGTCCAGCATCTTTGGCTTCTCTCAACAATGATCATCTTAAGTTTTCTCTTCTGTGTTCTAATTTCCTCAGTCAGTTTGTTTCCCATTGCAGTGTCTGTTTGGTGATTCTGTGTCTGCTTCTCCTCATGATATGCCCAGTATACTGTCTTCTTCTTTGTCTTATAACTGTGGATATCTGTGGTTGTCTAGACATTTATCTTTTCCTTCACTTGAATTTTCCCCATGTTCATCAGCCATCTTAAAGTTAAATGCATTTTTAAAAAAAAACACAAATGCCTGTTTCCAGATATGTTAACACGTTTAATGTTATTTTATTTTACATTGTAAAATATTTGCAAAACCAATTTAGAGGATGTGTCGCTGTGCTATAGGTGTGTGGCCACTTAAGATATTCCTATTCAATAGAGACAATTAAAAAAAAATCAGCCAACAAGACAGTAAAAGGAGAAAATCAGGCATTCACTTCAACTACTTCTGTTGTGACAGTGGAGATAGCAGTTGGCAGAACAGAAAGCAGCTCATGCATTGATAGTGATAGACACAAGGAGCAGGCTTATAAAGATCCAAACTGGCAAACTCTGCCCAGAATAGGTTGTGCACACTGAGACATGCCAGGATGAATGGAAATTAAAGGGCCGACAGACTGGCCATGTCTTCAGTGGCTAGGCTAGTGAAGAAAAAAAGTATTGACAGGGCAGACATACTGATTATGCTGTGTTCTGGAGTCACTGAGACAGAGGGGTCAGAGACAGGGAACCGCCTGTGGCAAGTGGATATTAAACAAGGACAATCATGCAGAAACCAATTGCGGGGTAAAGAAAGACAATATGCAAATCAAGTACTACTGGGTATGCTGAGCTTGGAGATGCTGCGATGACTGTTGCATTGAAAAAACATATCATGAATTTGTCAGCTCGGTGGGATAAAAATTAAATGGATAACAAGTATTAAGTTGCAAAAATTGGCTAGAGACCATATGCACTTGTTGCATACCAAAGTCTTCAAAAAAATCACTTCCCTGCATGGGTTCAGTAGCTCCATTTTGGGGAAACAAAAAATTCGGTCACTACCTTCTAGCAAGAATGTCCCCACTGCCTCCTAGCAAGAATGTCCCCACTGCCCTCTAATAAGAATGTCCCCACTGCCCTCTAACAAGAGTGTCCCCACTGCCTTCTATCAAGATTGTCCTCCCTCCCCTATAACAAGAATGTCTCCACTGCCCCCTAGCAAGAATGTCCCCACTGCTTCCCCCCCCCCCCCAACAAGAATGTCCCCACTGCCCCCTAACAAAAATGTCCCCACTGCCTCCAAACAAGAATGTCCCCACTGCCCTCTAACAAGAATGTCCCCACTGCCCCCCCCTCCCCCAACACACACACACAAGAATGTCCCCACTGCCCCCTAACAAGAATGTCCCCACTGCCCCCTAACAAGAATGTCCCCACTGCCCCCTAACAAGAATGTCCCCACTGCCCCCTAACAAGAATGTCCCCACTGCCCCCCCCCCCACCCCCACAAGAATTTCCCCACTGTCCCCTAACAAGAATGTCCCCACTGCCCCCTAACAAGAATGTCCTAAAAGGCAAAAACTAATTAGGGATTTGCTTAAATTCATGTGTGGTGCATTAAAGTGTGCAGATTTCATAACCTATCTGTAACTACAACACAACATGGCTGCTGCCTTTTTAATAGTGAATGTAGAGGAAGCATCCATTCAGTTTTTGAAAACATCAACATCTTCAGTTATTGTATTTGCTTTATTTTCTTCTTCTCCTCCTCTTTCTCCTCCTCCGCCTAATTTTACTGCTTCTTCATCTTTACCTCCTCCGTCTCCCTTCTATTTTCCTTTCCTTTCTCATCATTTCTCTGCTCCTGCATCTTCTGCTACTTCCTCCATTTCTTCTGTAACATCCTCTTCTCCATTGTTTAAGATTTTTAACCCAGGTGTCCTTCTGTTGCCTGACATTTAGACACTAATGGAGACTTGCAAGAACCTTCTGTACCATGACCTGCATATGCATCTGCGCAGCCTGACACAAACAGCGATGAAAGGGTTCATCCCCAGAGACAACATGTGTAATCTGTGCAACCAGGACTTCACCGAGTCCTCTCCCACTGATACAGTTTTGGTTTTCAGGTCAGCATTCTGTCAAAAGAAAATTGTATATATTTTTATAAGCTTTTATTTAGATCGTTTTTTTTATTTTTATTGAATGAGTGAACCAGGAATTGACATTGCTGCACTTGGGGCATTCCCGTACATCTTTTGTCCCCTTCCTAGTCAGCGAATAGTCCCAAACTGATTATGCCAGTTGCAACCTGATAAAAAATCTGCCTATCGTTTCCATATCTCTTTGTAGATGTAATTATTAAGTCAGAAATGTTTTATTGCTGTCATTGTAATTCCAGTCATTAGGTCAGAACTGTAATATCTTTGTCCTTTTAGATGTGGTGATTAGGTCAGAAATGTAATACTGTTGTATTTGTAGATGTAGTTATTAGGTCAGAAATGTTGTACTGTTGTTCCTTCAGATGTGGCATTAGGTCAGAAATATAATATTGTTGTCCTTGTAGATATGGTAATTAGGACAGAACTGTAGTATTTGTATCCTTGCAATTGTGATCATTTGGTCAGAAATGTAATATTGTTGTCTTTGTAGGTGTGGCGTTTAGGCCAGAAATGTAATATTGTTGTCCTGTGGATGTGTTTATTAAGTCAGAAATGTAATGATGTGTTGTTCTTGTAGATGTGGCCATTCCTATCACACACCATGTCTGCGTGCTGTTGGCTCGATTCATGTGTTCGACGGCGAGGAGATGTGGGTGTGTTACCAGTGCAACAACACCCGTCGGTCCCACAACATTACCAGCACCAGGTTCCATCGCTCACTGTCCAACGCTGGCCAGGATGCTAAAGTTGGGCGGCGAGAAAAGAAGGACAGTGCAGAGGTAAGAGCCTGTTCTGTCTCAACCAACAGTCACGTTCACTTTTTATTCCTTGTGCTGGGTCTCCATAAACAGGTGGACTGAGGAAAGGTGGATGTTCTAGAGAAACCTAAAGATAGATAGTTTAGAGAGAGGCTGAAAATTCTAGACTTGATTCCATCCGTGATGTTGAAAGGATTGCACATGATAGAGTGGTATGGAGGACTAGACGGTGAGCCGTATGTGATGTATAACAGCAGGGCAGGATGATGATGATAAGTTTCTGGATAATTGTTTAAGCTACTTGGTTTCTGAGATCTCTGAGGGTTGTTGTCAGATCTCTGAGGGTTGTTGTCAGATCTCTGAGGGTTGTTCTCAGATCTCTGAGGGTTGTTCTCAGATCTCTGAGGGTTGTTGTCAGATCTCTGAGGGTTGTTCTCAGATCTCTGAGGGTTGCTCTCAGATCTCTGAGGGTTGTTCTCAGATCTCTGAGGGTTGTTCTCAGATCTCTGAGGGATGCTCTCAGATCTCTGAGGGTTGCTCTCAGATCTCTAAGGGTTGTTCTCAGATCTCTAAGGCTTGTTCTCAGAGTTGTGGAGTTTTGTACAACCATCTCACCAGGCAGCAGCTATTCTGCAGAGACAGACAGGGTTTGTGGGATAAAGTAAAAACCTGGTGCATCAAGCTTTAAGCACCTTTTTAAATTTATTTTATATGTTTGTTCAGCTATTTCTGATCTTTTTCATCATCCTTCATCAGAGCGATGTAAATGTATTGTGCCTGTTTATAGCATAGCTGCAGTATTTGCCCCTTTTGGCTGACACCTCCAACTTCTTCAGGCATTTGTTATCCAGAGTGACCTTCCTGACTGGTTTTGTGGGACATTTTCATAGCTTCATATGTGTGGTGATTTCATCAGTCCCCTGATCCACAGGTGTTGTCCCTCAGGGACAGGGCATGGGCATTCTCGGCCATCCAAGGAGGCTTCCATAAATATAGAGCTGATACATGGTGCTCTGGGACTGGGCTCACCCAAGCAAGGATCTGGCATGCCCTGCATATGACTGCTTAACCTCACATCTTTACATTGAGCCTTCGACTCACCACAGTAAAAGTATTCTGCAGACCTCAGATTTTGATTTCATGTTTAGATGGGCATCTCACTTCTTCAGCATTTTATTTTAGACTTCTCTATTTGACAATGGCACCTTTCACATGGAGCCCGACTTATTTCAAAAATGACCTTGACTCCCAGGTCGACCCAGTCTTGAGTGGGTAACTGGTGCAGTCCGGGAAGTAAAGGTGACCGTCATGATGTTTACCACATCATCCATCTTGTGCCGATTAGTCTATAAAAATATAGGTCTAGCCCTATATGCCCTTTAGCCTAAAGGCTTGGAAAATGGACCTTTACTTTAGTTCCCGTTCACGTTGATACCTCAGAGTATTTTTGCAGCATTTATGGTAAGCATGCATCAGGCTGGATTGACTTGGGAATCTTCATTTATTTTTAAATTCAAGTTTTAATCTAAGCTCTTTGGTTAGCAATTAAGTTGCTAGCCACTTGCTGCTGCGGCTCCTGGGGAAATTATTTGTTGTATTTGTCGGTGTATAAGACAATATGTTTTCCCAAATTTGGTTGAGTTTAAAATTTGGGGTCATCTTAAACACGGAGTGTGATTAAACTAGTTATTTTCTAATGTTAGGCTTTAGAGCTAAAAAAAAAAAAAGGGTGTTTTCTTATACATGCAAAAGTATGGTATCCAGTGAACAATGACTTCATACAAGAGACAAAAGCAGCAAGTGTTCTTATCATGGTGGGCAAAAGGGGACAGTTATTGTCCTCTGTTATTTTATTAGTTTAAATAGATGACTCTGTGATACTGCAGTTCAGTACATCTAATTGTTGTTCTCAGCTGATTCTGGATTCACAGCACATTCAAGCTTTTGAAAATATCAGGAAGTCGATGAAGATGCGATCTCGGGTGAGCTTTTCATTATAAAATTTTTTTTACTTTAGTCTGTCGTGTTATAGTGTGCCGCTCCTCAACCCTTTGGGTTAGCATCAGAGATCCAAAGGATTGTCATTCAATTTTGAAATGTCAAAAGTGTAACGCATTAAAACAGACCATGCTAATACAACTGACACGCAACATATATATTTTATACATGAAAATGACCAGGAATTGTTGAGGAATATTAGAATACTGATACAAAAATAAATTGTATTAGTAGTTAATTATTAGTAAATAAACAGATTGTATGTTTAGAGAAATTAGTAAAAAGGAAATAATACTTTTTCCTCTTACCACCATGGCATTCAAGGAAAACTTGATAAAATATATCCAAAATTAATCACACATAAACATGAACCACATAGTAATGTATAAATAAAATAAAAACTAAATCTGTCCATGAGATCTCATTCCAGAGAAACTTTTAGAACATAACAGAGCACCTTTTTGTGGTAAAGAAAGATGACATCCAAAATAGTTAGTATTTTCACCAAAATAAAAAAAAATTTTTATATAATAATCAATGTACCCCCTAATTTTACAGCCTATGTTACCAGATAATAAGGGAACCACACAAACCTAACTCACACTGTAGAATGTTGCCTTTTTCACTAATATTTATTCTCTTTGAATCAGCTAACTTTGTTATCACTGTACGCTTTGCGTGAGGTATTTATAAAAGCTCATCAGATTTTGACTCTATCAATGACTGAAACAAGTCTACTTGATAATTTTCTTTGTCTAGCTTTGGATAAATCTGATAAACGCATGTTTGATTTAAAAATGAGACTTCTAAAGTCATAAATCATGTTGGCATGCATGAAGAAGTCTGCTCGGAGGCCATATTGTTTTCACACATACACTTAGTAACTTGGTAAAGCTCACAAACATGCCAAATGTTATGCTTTTAATCACATTTTGGAATAAGCCTAATAATCAACCTTGTGACTTCAAACACCAAGAACAGAAAATACCACTCAAAGCTGCCAGTTTGCACTGTTATACTGGCCTGTGGTAAATTAAAAACCAGTATGCATTACATGTGGATTGGGTGGCTGGTTAGTACACCTATTCAAATTGTATTATCCAACACAAAGTGAGTCCTTGGAAACTTCAGCATTTGGGCTTGGCCTACTGACCTCTACAAAACATGTATACATTGAATAATGCATCACCTTCTTGGTTTTGACATGTGTCTGAATATGTTAACTTGTCTTTGATCTCAGCCTTCATCTGTTATCATTAGATTAAAGAATAATAAGGATGTCTTGAAAAAAAATATCTTTGTAAAGAGAACTGATAACGTATGTGGAATGGAGATACTGTTTCTTTGTTCACTTCCTGTGATAATGATGATGTTCAACCCCACCACATCTGTACAACGAGCGACCAACGCCCGGTGATACAAAGTGCCACCAATCGGATAAGGATTACCTGGGCAGAAGTGCCAGAAACCCCTCTCAGCCCATAGGTTGGGTTATATTGTGGTGGTAGTAGTAGTACATTTTACCCTACAAGGACATCACACAAGCGATAAATACCCGATGACACAAAGTGCTACCATGCAGATGAGGATCACCCGTGGAGAGGTCCCAGAAACCGCGTTCAGACATTAGACCATATTTATGGCCAGGCTATATTGCGGCCCCTGGCAAGAGCCAGGGTGGGGCTTCAAAATAACGACAAATTTCATCCCACAAGGGGATGACAGGGATGATATTTAGAAATGATTGGGTTATATTAGGGCCCCAACTACAGCTAAAGAGGGGTTTTAAGATAATAAAAAAAATGTGTCATGTATGGGGACAAACTTCTTATATTGTAACATTGTGATGATGAGAGTTGGACAAAAAGAGAAGCAGTGGACAGTCTGGCGTAGAGGATAATTTGTGTTTAATGTTATTGAAAGTAGGAGAGACAGAAGGCTGTGGACCGACATTTGGACAGATGATGGTTATTCCCTTTGTTTCAGCTTATGTTAGTTCTTTTTCTTTGATTCAGCTTATGTTAGTTGTTTATCATTTATCTTTGTTTCATCCTACCATGGTTGTTTCCCTTTGATTCAGCTTATGCTAGTTATTTCTCTTTGATTCAGCTTATCTTAGTTGTTCTTTTTGATTCAGCTTATGTTAGTTGTTTATCTTTGTTTCATCCTTTCATTGTTGTTTCCCTTTGATTCACCTTATGTTAGTCGTTTCTTTTTTATTCAGCTTATGTTAGTTGTTTATCTTTGTTTCATCCTTTCATTGTTGTTTCCCTTTGATTCACCTTATTTTAGTCGTTTCTCTTTGATTCAGCTAATGTTAGTTGTTTCTCTTTGATTCAGCTAATGTTAGTTGTTTCTCTTTGATTCAGCTTATGTTAGTTGTTTCTCTTGTTTTCATCCTTTTATTGTTGTTTCCCTTTTATTCAGCTTATATTAGTTGTCTATCTTTGTTTCATCCTACCATGGTTGTTTCTCTTTGATTCAGCTTGCAATACTGACAGAGCTAGCTAAGCCAGAAGCTTCCGGTGGGCAGAGATCAGGGACAGGAGTTTTCCAGCATGAGAATTTTCGACTCAAGCTTGCAGCTCCCAGCCCTGTGGCACCAAGTTAAGGACAGGACTGAGGAGAAGAACAAGAGGAGTGACAAAGTTTGTTTGTGTGTGTCAGAGAGAGGATAGGATAACAAAATTATTGTGTAAATATTGTGTAGGTGTTAGGAAAGAATGCTGTTTTTAAATTGGTACATTTAAACAATCAGTTATATTTAGGATTAACTGATATTGTTAGGGACCTACTTACTGTTGTCAGCAGACTACGTCGTAACCATCACGTGCCCCAGTTTGCTATAAGGTCGTTAAACCGAGATTTCTAGAATTTGCTGCTGTGGGAAAAGAAGCTGATATATTTTTTTTAATGTATGTGGCATCTTCACCATGGTTTATGTTTAAACAACGGATCAACATCATGGCATAAGGATAGTAACCCGTAAGTGCTCCATTCTAGTTTTAACTCAAGTTTGAGCCTGAAGAATCTCAGCACAATGCATGAACTCTGTAGCACCAGCAAGGATCCTGAAATACTTTAGGTAGATATTTAACTCCAAATTTTGCCAATTTTTAGGTTACTCTTTTCGATTTCCAACTGCCAAGGGATATTTTACGTGCACAACAGTACACATGGACGTCCGATCTGACTACCCAGAGACTAGAAGAAATTACTAGAAGTCTATGTGAAAAAATCCCAGCCTTCACCGGAGCCTTAACCCAGGACCACCAGCACTCGAGGCGGATGCCATGCCCTGAGACCATCCTGTATAACAAACCACCATTGTCTACTCACTGCTATCTTAGGGAAGTTATGTGTTGGGGACCCAGTCTCCTCAACAGTGTGACACTCATAAAAGTAAGAAGTAATGGACCCTTTAAAAAATGTTTCAATGAAATACAAATTGTGTTGTTAGTATTATACACACAGGACTGAGGGCAGTGCCAGGTTGGTGTGGCTGGTGCCCCAATAATAGCATTTTCTTTTAGAAATTGAACAGGGTATCTGGGCACATGCGCACACATGCACTCAAGCCTGCCCATGTGTGCGCACATAGGCTGCACACACATACTCAAATGAGTGTAATTGTGATGGGTGTCATAATTACAACTTCTTAAAACTTGCACTTGGGATCTGAGATTTGTTCAATTGGATTGCCATCTATGATGCAGCTCTTTGAATCACAGAGGTATCAGATATCTGTCTTACCTCATGTGGGTTCCAGGCTCTATTATATTTGGGGGAGGGGGGGTGTAGACACACTCCCCCCCCCCCCTTCCCCCGCCCATAAGCATGTCATAAAAGTCACAAATTAAGTGTGTTTTAAAGTTGGAGTGCATCTGCATGAGAGGCACGGAAACAATAGTCTGCATACAAATATGTCAGATCTGTTTTTTTTTTTAAATCTACAGATGTAAAGCTCAAGTTCTGGGAGAAGACCTAATTCTAGAATTGGATGAACAACCCAGAACTTTCCACTGGAGTTTAGAGCTGGTGAATGTGAAGAAAAAGAAGAAGCAGAAATATCAGTGTAGCAACCTAAAGAAGGGAGGTGGGAAGGGAGCCAAATTTGGGCTTATATTTATTCGATAGGAGGGCAGGAAAGCTGCATTTAGTAACAGATAACTTGTTAAACAGATTACATGCAGCTGATTGTGATGTTTGTTTGTATTTATTTGAGTTATGTATTGATTCAGTCATACATGAGTGCAGGCACAATTTTGTTTTACAAATTATTGGCATTTAATCATTTAATCGTTACATAAAAATGTGATAACAAAGGTCACTTTTATCTCAGAAACACTTGCCAAGTTTTATGTCTGGTTCATTTGCTTCAGTGTCAAAATATTCTGTATGATCAAACATGTGCATTCATGTCTGTGCAATAGATATTAAAGCTACTTTCAACAGATTTATTGTCTTATTAAACTATTGGTGATTTTGAATGAATGAGTGAATCATAGAACCAACATCACAGCACCTGGGAGACTCCCATATGCGCTACCTTCTAATCTTCAGTAGCAAGCAAAGAAGAGTTCCAGTTCTATGGCACTAGTAACTGTCTGTTTGTACATCAGTCTCGCCCTTCCCTTGAGTGTTGAGCAATGGCCAAATCCCCTGGTAACTCCTCGCTGCACCATTTTCCTCAGACCATAATAATCTATTTGTCCTCTGCACTGTTCACTCGCTCCCAAAGGGCCCTCACAACATTTAGTTTGTCATACATCAATTCACCACCAAGGGGTGCAGAATTGGCCATTCTATCTGTCTGCTCATTTCCCAACACACCAGCATTACCTGGACCAAAAGAGAGGCAGTGGGTCTATTCATCCCCCCACCCCTCTCCCCAAATGGGACAGGAAATCCACAGGGAATAGGCACATAATATACTAAATGTGCCAAATGAAACAAACTAAAACATAATCAAAAGAAAGGTAGTGTAGGCATAGTATGCCAAATCCACAACAGTTCACAGTTCTAAACAACTGCTATATAAAGTGGTATCCAAGCATAAGGCCTGTGCAGGTGTTCATGTAATAAACTACCAACCATATTGAGATACTGTACACTGTTTCTGACAAGACTGGCCCATCACCAACATTCAGTAGCCTAGATGGTACTGACATTGATCTCCTGTGTCAAGTTTATGTTGTACTGGGACATGGTTTTGTAGTTGGTGGCAAGAAGGGCTGCATGGTGTAATACTGGCCTGTCTGGCAAAGCTTGTATACTGTGAGTATGACATATATATTATTTGTATTTATATTGTTTATATTGACTGCAAATCAGTTTTATTTTTTTTATTCAGGATGTAACTATAGGGAAGTTGTGATAGAGCAGTTACCTTCTCTGTGGTCCTGTGTCAGTTTAGTTATATGATTTCTCTCTGTCTCTGTCTCTCTCTGTCTATCAGTCTGTCTGTCTGTCTATGTGTGTATGTTATGTACCTGTGTGTTTGTGAGGGAAGAGAGATCCTGCTATGTTTGTTAGTTTGTTAGAAAGTCTTTATTGCTCTCTCTCTCTCTCTCTCTCTCTCTCTCTCTCTCTCTCTCTCTCTCTCTCTCTCTCTCTCTCTCTCTCTCTCTCTCTCTCTCTCTCTCTCTCTCTGTTTGTGTGAAAGAGAGAGATCCTGTGTCATTTTTTTGTCTCATGCATACTTTTTTTCTCTCTCTCTCTCTCTCCCCCTCTCTTTCTCTCTCTCTTTCTCTCTCTGTCTCTTTCTCTCTGTGGTCCTGAATCATTTTTGTTGTATGATACGCTTGTGTGTGTGATCCTGTGTCATTTCTGTTGTTTCAACACTCATCGAGGCTGATGTTGTCAATAACTTAACTAGACAAGTGGATATAGCTCAGACATCGAAGCTGATGTTGTCAGTAACTCAACTAGACAAGTGGATATAGCTCAGACATCGAGGCTGATGTTGTCAATAACTTAACTAGACAAGTGGATATAGCTCAGACATCGAGGCTGATGTTGTCAATAACTCAACTAGACAAGTGTCTATAGCTCAGACATCGAGGCTGATGTTGTCAATAACTTAACTAGACAAGTGTCTATAGCTCAGACATCGAGGCTGATGTTGTCAGTAACTCAACTAGACAAGTGGATATAGCTCAGACATCGAGGCTGATGTTGTCAATAACTCAACTAGACAAGTGGATATAGCTCAGACATCGAGGCTGATGTTGTCAGTAACTCAAATAGACAAGTGGATATAGCTCAGACATCGAGGCTGATGATGTCAATAACTCAACTAGACGTGGATATAGCTCAGACATCGAGGCTGATGTTGTCAGTAACTCAACTAGACAAGTGAATATAGCTCAGACATCGAGGCTGATGTTGTAAATAACTCAACTAGACAAGTGGATATAGCTCAGACATCGAGGCTGATATCAATAACTCAACTAGACCAGTGTCTATAGCTCAGATATCCAGTCTGATGTTGTCAATAACTAGACATTTACCTACAGCTTATACATCCTAGTTGATGTTGTCCATAGCCATCTTCGTGAGACATCCCAACCAAAGAAACTGGCGTTGTTTTGCAAAACTTCCCTTTTATTCTCCAAACCGAGAAGCCAGTGGAATAGTCAAGACCTGTACTGAAGTTTTGTGTCTGTGAAGTCTAGAAAATATTGGGAAAACATAACGTATATGTCAGCTTGACATGTTTAATTACAATAGACAAACATAGGACGTTGTAATGATTAGCATTCCTCCGCAAAACAAAGACAAGATACACAATACAACACCAACAGATAAACTGACTCTGAAATTATTAATTAGGGGCGTATCCTTTACAGGGCGTTGCAGAACCAACCCCAGCTTCTTTTTTTTTTCTGTTGTGGTTTTTTTAGGCAAATTTACGCCCTGTAGTTTGCCATTGCTCTGAACGGTGGGCATCTCGATACCACTTTTGAAACCAACGCAAGACCCGCAGCTGGGATCGAACGTGGTACTCCAGCATTACGAAGCACGTTCGCAAGGCCTAAGTCACAGACACCGACCTGAAATGATTACATAAGGGTAGTCAAATGTTATGTAAATAAATGAAATATAAAAAAATAAAAGTCGGTGTTATATTAAGTATAGGATACTTACCCTGACTGCTATGAATTTTGTAAAGGAAAGAAATTCGACATTTCTTATAGAGAAACGGGGAAGCAGTGAGTGCAGTTTCCAGTTGTGACGAGGCATCCTATGATATTACCAAATTATAGTTAACACAACACTGACTGAGATCAGAACCAAGTGTGTAAACAAATATTTCATATACTTCAAATTTTTAATCTGCAAATTTAGATTATGTGTATTCTTTGTCTTTTTTCATATAACGGTAAATATCATCATAATACTTCAAACAAACAAACAAATTACGAAAGAAATCCTCTAATGTCACTTGTATGTGTTTAGTAAAACTGTTGCACCGCAGACAATTAGTTTTCTTTATTTCCCGCAGACGATAAAATGCAAGCCAGCAAATCAACAGTGGGCACTTGCTGCAGACGGCGAACATTCACTAATAAAATCCTTCCCGCCATTTTACAAGCTTTCATCGCAGTGGCTTTATGGGAGGGTCTGAAATCAATTTTACCTTTATCTAAGACAAGTGATGAGAACTCAATTAAAAACGCACGGTCTCTTGACGAAACCAAATGTCCTGTCACGGATGTTTCTCAGTCTAAGACTTTGACTCTTCTGGACCTCAGTTCGGTTATTTCTCTAGCCCAGATACCTTCACAAGGACAGTCTCCGACCTACCATACAAAAGTTGATGTTTATGCTCGAGATGAAAAAAGAGATACCCTAATATTATACCCCGCCGGATCAATTGTAGATTTCGGAGGACTGAAAGCAAGAATTACAGAGGAAATTTTGACCAATGAAGATATTGGTAAGACAGATTATGAAGTCGAAATCGACGAAAATGAAAATAACGATGTAAAAGAAGGGTTGGCAAATAGAAAAAGCGGTCCACCCGTAAAAAATGGGACTGTCGGTCAGGTTCCTTTTGACAAAGCACCTCAGATTACTAACTATGTAAGTAAGGACAATGCTGAAGATCGGGTTGAAAGATTCAAGCCTGAAGATGAGTTATCACAAGAAAGTCATGGAGGGAGTCGTAACAACGCCAATTTTAGAATCCCTGAAAACCAGGAGAAACTAGCTGTTCGCGGAACCTCAAACGTAAAAATACCTCAGTCAAACAAGCAAAGTGCAGCATCGAAGGGGGTTGAAAGTAAAAGACAATCAGATCCTTTTGAATATTTAAAGAAACTGCACCAAAATTTAGCAAAGAATATGGCTTCGGTTGATTCTCTTGAGGCCAGCAACATGGGAGGTTATGATACACAGCGATTAGGCAATGAAATGTCTAGCTACGGAAACCAATTTGGATACAGCGATAAAGATAATATCCACAATGCGGACAGTAAACTTTTCAGCCGAGGAATTCTTATAGATGAGACTGGAGAACGTCTATACGCGGACGGTTTCTTAGACAGAGTCAGCAAGTTATCGACAGAACTATTTGGGAAATTAACGAACAACGTATCGGCTAACGAGGAACCAATAAAACTGTCAATGAACAGCCCACTTATTTGCGCAAACGTTAAAGATGTAGAAGTTTTCTTCCTAATCAACAGTGCACCCCAAAACAGCGATTTACGACAGCGCATTAGAGATACATTTGTTAATCCGCTGTATTTTCGCAACGTAAAAATGGCTCACGTGTTTTTGGTGGGTAAGACATCTTCGACAGGCCTTCAGCAGAGTCTGTACCAAGAACAGTCAGCTCACCAGGACATTGTACAGGGAGATTTTGTGGATGCGCCAGAAAACGACACAGTGAAAGGCCTTATGGGCATGCGATGGGTCACCCAGTATTGTTCTTTGGCTAAGTATATAATGAAAATTAACGACATAGTATTTGTGGACACTGATAAGCTCTTTCGTGGCCTAATTCCGGCTACGAAAAAGATTGCCGGCAAAAGGCTCATGTTTTGCGATTTCAATCCAGAAAGCGAACTGACCCGCTCCGGGCCTAACGGTATAAGTCCGGAATTGTTCCCGGGAAGATCTCGTCTAAGGCCGTATTGTAAAGGTTTCGCAATTTTAATGACTCGTGGAGTTATTTCAAGTTTGCTTGCTGCCTCAGAATATGTTCCATCAATACACTTAGATGATCTATATCTATACGGGATTCTTCCCTTTGTGGCTGGCAGCATTGATGTCTTTGATGTGGGCAGTAAACGAGCTTTCCACGGCTTCGGCTTGGAGACCGTTAACTGTTACAAAACGTTAATGGATAACTGCCCTTATGTGGCATCTGTGGCTCTTAAAGAACGTTTTACAGATCTCTGGGAAATGGTTAGGGCAAGACTTCAGAAGCCACACCAAGGCTGGGAAAATGAACGTTCTCTCTGGGACGTTGTGAACTACAGAAGAAGGTTTTAGAAAGCAGACAAGAACATGCACGTGTCCTTTCTCTCTCTTGTAGCTAGACTTGCTTTCTTGCATAATCTTCTTGTTTACACATTTGTACGTTTGCCATCATCTAATCTACTTGCAGTAGTAGTAATTTTTCAAAAATATTCTGTTCAACCCTCAGGCGTATATTTGGGATTTACAGTGTTAATTGAATTCTCAGAGTATATTTTTGTTATTTGTAATTTATATCACTTGTAATTACTTATATGGCTATAATGAATGAAATTGGTATTGTTTCACATTTTGCTTTGATTTGGTATGTGATTATGATAGAAATTATACTACAAATAATTAGACAATCTTACCAACATTGTGTCACTAACGTAATGGATATATTATCTCCTTAGTGTGCAATCATTGGTTATTCTCCTTGATTTTGTCTTTAAGGGAAACTTCTTCAAAGATGACATGGACATTCGTTACTCTCGTATATATGGATTTTAGTCCTAGTTAAGTAATAAATTGCTTGACCTTTCCACGCAGCTTTCTGGGGCTGTTTATGTGCAACAAGTTTTCCATTGTCATAGGTAATTTACAGAGATTCCTTTAGTCAGTTAATGGTTTCCTTTGGTTTTTATATTCCTACACTCCAGCAAATAGTAATCTATAGTAAATATAATCTACTGTGGGTTCCGGGCCCTTATTATAAGAAAAACAAGAGTAGACCCACTGCCTATCCAAAAGCATGTCGTAAGAGTCGACTAATTAGGGGCTTTCTTCGAAGTCGGAGTGCATCTGCCTGAGAGGCAAGGAACCAGCAGTCTGCATACGCATGAGTCAGATCTGTAAAGCGGATGCACACTTAGGTTCTGAAACAGGACTGCAGTCCAGAAGTGGACGAACAGCCAGAACTTTCCCCAGAATTTACAGCTGGTGAACGCGAAGAAGAATCTACTTGCACCGTTTTACTGTAAAATGAAAGGAGCTTTCATGAGCTTGACGCATCCGACATGTGATACAAGACCCATATGTTTTGTAGACTCGGCACTTGATGAGTAGTGTGTCTAACGACCCCTTTTAATTCATTTATTCATTCATTCGTTCATTCATTCATTCATCATTCATTCATTCATTCATTCATTCATTCATTCATTCATTCATTCATTCGTTCATTCATTCATTCATTCATTCATTCATTCGTTCATTCATTCATTCATTCATTCATTCATTCATTCATTCATTTATTCATTCATTCTAACAACACAAGAAGAGGCAGGGCTACTAATACCAGCATTAGAGAGAAAGTCAGACTGCATATGAGACCTTTTACAGCAGAACATCTATGAGGAAGGCGAGAGGAAGAATAAAAAAGAGATTGATCAATGTTGTAGCAGAAACCTGCACAAAGATAAATAAACCCACCCCTTAAGCCACCCGAGAAGCTAAGACAAATACAGAAAACGACGACACCTGGTATCATTGAGACGACAAAAGGAGAAGAAGAAGATTCATTCAATCATTTAGCTATTGTGTCATTATGTGTCACACAGGGCTCGCAGCCTCTTCCTCCATTCCATTCTATCCTGGGCCATTGTTTCAATGTTATGGGTGAAATCCAGCCCAGCACCTTTGACCTCTTTTATCAACGTTCGTTTTGATGTTTCTTTTGAGAATCTTCGCTTCCTCAATCCCTTTATTTCCATGTCCAACAACCGCCATATGATAGAATAACTAATAAAGAGCTTTGGGAGAAAACTAAACAGGCTCCAGTGGAACAAGAGGCGAGGAAAAGACGGTGGCGTTTGATAGGACACACACTGAGAAAACAGGAGAACAGCATAACTAGAATGTCTTTACATTGGAACCCACAGGGGCATAGGAATAAAGGAAAGCCAAAAAACACATGGAGAAGAGAGCTGGAAAATGAAGTTAGAAAGATGGGGAGGACATGGGAAGAGCTCTATGCAATGGCGAAGGATAGAACGACTTGGCGTGAGTTGGTTGGGGGTCTTCATTGGGGGATAGAAAGGCAGAAGAAGAATACAACAGCCATAAAATTTGGTAACTACAGGATTTTTGTTTTTTAATAATAAACCAAATTCGATACCTATTGCTTACTTGTTTAGTATTGTCTCCAGCTAGACGCACAGTCAACAACCATCTGTATATTCTCATTCTACAATATTCATGCTATTTGTTCTTTATAATATTATAAATTTAAGTACGTTTACGCGCAACAGGGTTTCCTTGAAGCGTGTACTATACAATAACGATTCCTCGTTATTGTCGTTCTGTTGTGCCACTTTCTTTGTCCTGTTGGTTCCGGTGGGGTGATGATCTAGTTATACTAACAGCACGTTTTCCCACTATTGGAATTTTGAAACGAAGAAGAAAAAGATGTAGGAAAAGGAAAAAGGAGAAGGTCAAGGAGGATGAAAAGATTATTGTTATTATGATGATTATTATTTTCGTTATTACTAGGATAAAGAAGATCGCGATCATAATAAAATAGTAAGTAAAGGACCCCTTTCCACCCCTTCAGGTGTATGGGCATATAGGGCTAGACCTATATTTTTATAGACCAGTCAGCACTTGCTGGGTGATGTGGTCAGCATCACGTCGGCCGCCTTTACTTCCCATGATTGCATCTGGTACCCACTCACGGCTGGGTCGACCTGGAAGCCAAACTCATTTTTTTTTAAATCCGCTCCGCCAAGACCCGAACCCACGACCTTCCGATCCACAGGCGAGCGTCTAGCCGCTGGACCACGGCGATTCCCTCATGATCATAATGTACGAACAAATGTATTACAATAACAACAGTCGTTAAACATGTGGTTTTATGGCCACTGAAATTTTTTGTCAAACAAACACACTACACAAAGAACAAAGGTGCTTTATTAATATCCTACACAAACAGGGAAAACACACAGGGCACGGGACAGTCTAATATTTCAGGGGGTGGTTGATAGGTTGCATGCAGTTGTGGGACCTAGGCTGCACTCTTTCGTTGGAAGTAGGTGGGTTGGGGTTAGGCCAGTTCTAGATGTTTTGAAGTCGTTAAAAGCATCGAAAAGTCAGGAAACCCAGTCTTACCACCCTCTAAAATGTTGGACTGTCGTGTGGTGTCATCTGGGGTAGGATATTACGAAAGAACCAGAAAAAAAATAACTGTGCACTTTAAAGAACACATTGGTTATAGATTTACACAGTTGAAACAAACGTACAACCACTGCACACATGTATACACACACAAGAGTGCGCCCTAACGCGCGTGCAGAAACACCACGGTAACAAACAAACAAACAAAAAAGCCTGGTTACTCTAACAAATAAATGTTTTAGTCTATCCATGATCTATTTCTGAGCCAGCAAAGCGAAACGCTTTCATTAGCAGCACAGACTTGCTACATTTATGGTCTGCGCACGGTAACATATCCCATATAATAAAGAGAACTACCAGGTATACAGACAGCAGTTGCTCACACCTGCAGGCTGATAAATACACAGCAATCACTGGCCGCCGTCAGTCTTTAGATCAGAGGTCGGCAACTTTTTTTGGGGTCCACGGGAAAAATTTAGAATTACCAACCTGAACTATATAGAGAAGAAAGCATATCCATTATAAACACAGTGTACAGATATCCTTATAACAAGATATTTTTGTAGGATATTCTAAGATTATAATCCCTCTCTACGCCTCTGGTCAAACAGAAACACACTCACTCAATGAAGCTCTTCTGTATATTCCTAAATACGTCTATTTAAGCTGGTTATTTGCAGAAATCATATTACTGAGGGAAAGATTATATAGCAATATCACACAGGCCAGTAAAAACGGCTCGAAGGGCCTGTATCGACCCGCGGGCCATAGTTCGCAAAGCACAGCTATAGACAACCAGAATACTTTTCACTAGCCATAAGGCTTTAAATCTTCAGGCTTTAATAAATCCTGACTGAACCGCAAAAGTAGTAAATACAAGCAGTAATGGTTGATAAAATACAGTTTATTGAACGAGCTGCTTTACCATATACATGTCTTGGTAATCTTAGTTTCAGGGTTACAGAAAACGGGTCACCTCATATTTGCTCCGCTCCTGTGCCAACGAAAAACGCACAGAATGTTCACCACAGTCCTTTGTGGGAAGATTGACAGACTGCTGTCTCTCATTAAAAGCATACGGTAGCCATCCGAAGTGATAATACAAACAGTCAGACATTAGAAATGCAGTTCGACATCGACAGTGGTAGAAGTTACCAACAGATCAGCAGTTGCACACGCTATCAATTTTAAACACACAAGGGTCCTACCAATATTGCCACAACAGGCCACGCGCCATTTTCTGAATCTACAATTTACAACACCACGTTGGTCACAGTCGAAAAACATTCTCAATGAAAAAAAAACGCAGATTACAGTGTCGCGCCATGCACTCAACTCAGTAGCTTGGCGACGAAACTATATATTTTCAGTCTACAAATAGCCTATAGCAGAAATGCAACGGCCACCGTCTGGCAGAAGCAAAAAAAATTACCACGACTCAAAACAGTGCCCGTGCCTAGCGTCCATTTTGACCGGAAGACGAATATCCCTATACATGTTTGCGTTTTGTGTGGCTATTATCGTTTGTCTGAATAGTGGCTCCACATTTAGTCACTGTGAGTGAGCATTTAAGGCTGCAATGCGGCACAAAGAAAGATAAGGTCCTACTTGCCGCAGGATGCGGGATATCGGTTTCATAGGGTTGGGGTGTAATAAACAAACAGACAATGTACTGATTGGCACTCATAGAAAGAAGTGGAAAGATAGAAGAACACACTAGACAACATAAAAACCGAAAGCTATAGTTACCGTGCCGGGAATAGAACCTGTCACCTCCAAATGGCGTGTGCGCCTCGCTATAGAAATAAGTGCACTAAGAACATGGTCAAAAAGGCACCTTCAAAAATAAAGGTTTCATTGACCATGTCTATTGTACAAATGGAAAACTGTCAAGATGTTTGTTTTCTTCGAGAAAGAAAGATGTG